AGATGTGTGATAGAAATTTTGTCCACCTGCAAATGTGCATGAACTACATTGACCGCGATACCTGGGAATGTGATCACCAGGTAAACTTGAACTAAGTTCAGAGTGTCAGTTGAACTTAGCCTACTATTCATTATTTTCTCACACCAAAAAAACCTTGTAATTCTTCTTAGTGTATAAGTACACTGTCAGTGTAAAATAAACAAGTTAATTAAAAAAGTCTCGTGACATTTATGCTTAATTTCCTTATGTTATCTAAAAATAGCTCTGACGTATAATGCTGGGGTGCGTTCAAGCTAGAAGAACGATCGGTTTGTAGGTGTTTATGTAATTTTAAAATTTGTGACCAAACGAGAGGATATTTTTGAAAACTTTCTTCGGCAATATTGTTCTAAATTATGGCAGGAATCGATTGGTACATGTTTCAAGTCGCTAAGTGGTCTGGTTGCCGAGATATGGGCCAAAAACTGCTTTTTTTCGAGGTTTTTTGGCTTTTCCTGGAAATCCATGAAAGAAACCCGGAATTTTTATGGCCTATGTTCATTCTCGTAACTTGCTTAACATAATTGCTTTTGGAACTAGTCATCGATATTGCTTCGTTGAGGAGGAGATACGACTTAAAGCCGGGACACACATTCATACATCCATACATTCATCCATCCATTCCCAGAAATGACGAGTTAATAAACGCAATTCTCCAGAATGGAAATTGCGCTAAAAAGATGTGATATAATACTAATAGTTAATAGCAAATGCATTACATAAGCAAATCAATAGTCTTTCATCAATAGTTGTGATAAGTTTCCACTTACAAGCTTTATTATTAAAATATAACAATTAGTAGCATGATTTTTGTTTACAATGTCTTTTTTAAAAATTATTGTTTTCACAGATATTTAAACCACTTACACCATGTAGAATTCAACAATAAGTTTTTAGGGAGACAACTCTTCAAAACTTCAATGAATCAAATCTTTAATCTCTTCCATAGCTCAAGCTCAAGTTCTTAGAATATGTCAAGGCTGACCAGTGGGAGTTGACGCTCAAGGCCATTGATGAGCTCAGGGGAAAAATCAACTCTTGGGTTTTGATTGGCATAGGGATCCATGACAACTTCGACACTCCAAACATCGTTAACAAGGTGAACTAGCTGATGGCATGTTTCATTATTTTTCAAATTGTTACTAATGGCGCAACCAAACACTTCAATACAATGAATTACCACTGTAGCTTCTGCACCCCAGGACATACAATCCAGATGTTTAAGACAGAATAGCTCTCTAAATCATTCCCCACCCATCCTCCATCATTTATATTGTTAAAGATTATACAAATTATAATTGTAAAAAATAAAGTGACTGCTGTTACATTGTCTTTTTAAAAACTTAATTTCTCTAATTTGATTGGATCTAGTATTCAGATCCATTTTGAATAAATTATTATTTATCCTTAGAAATACAGAAAAAAAAATCTGGAATACTTTTACAAAATTATTACATCAGCTAGTGCTACTGTGTAATGATTTTTTTTATTTTTTCAGCTTTTAGTGCCACTACTGAAGCAAGCATCACAATCGACCTGGCCCAGAATAGTCTGGTCTGCCACTCATGCACCTGGACTGCTTAAAATAAAACACCCCGAGTCAAGTCCCAAAGCACAGAGAGTATACTAAAATACAACGAGAAGATTCACTCCATTTTAGATGTTGTTGGTATCCCAGTGTTCGACACCTTCAGACTAACTAATGGAACTGTTAGCTTTGACGGCATTCACTACGGAAGGGGAGTTAACCTCGCAAAGGCTCAAATTTTTTTGAACTATTTACTCAGTCAAAAGTATAAAGAGGGTGAAAAATAGTTCTCGCAGTGCACCTTCAATGTTTGATTCAGACAAAAAGGTTAAAAAGTAAAGTTCCCTTTTTGAACCTGACAGTCCATGGGACAAGCAAAGTAGATTTCACCTGTTTCTGTGACCTCAGCATTTGAAGGGATAGTGTGGTCAGCACTATGCCCAGTGGCAAGGAGGTTAGGCGATTATGAAATAGGCAGTCAAAATAAATCATCTATTCTATCAAGCTTAAAGCACCTCTTTTGTTTTGAGCTGGTACATTAAAAAAAAAAGAAATTAAAAGTTTTATTAAAATTTGTAATGAGTTGAGTTTATCTAACACATTAAGTATTTGCCACTCAATATTTTGAACACAGCAGACCACGTTTTGAAAAATAAATGTGTTGTGCAGATGGATATTATAGAGTGCAAAATACAACTGCAGTTATAAACTTAGCTATTATTAAATAAAAAGCTGAAGGGATAAGTAGCATATTTGCTTTATATTTATACAATATGGGGATTTTGTAAATAAACAAAGTGCTAAGTATCTCTATAGAGCTAAGATTTAATTAGGATATATGGGGTGAAAACCAGAGATGTATAAACTGCATTCAAAGAATAATTTTTCCCAGTTTAAAAATCAGAAACTGCAGCATACAAAGTATGAATATTGTATTGCTTAATATATAATACACAAAAAAACATTAAAAACAAGATAGATCAAATAAATAAACAAACTTTTTTTGAAAGAATGGCTTTTATTCTGTCAGTCTTCAAAGCTTTCTAATACACCTGAAAACAAATAAATTTCAAAATGCAATGAGATCTTAATAATGAAGTAGTGAAAAATAATAATTAGGCCTACTATTTTTACAAATGAGTAATCTGTAAACAAATTTTTTACAAGTCAACTCAACACAAGTGTGGAAAGTGAAGCGAATAAATATACTTTTAAGTAAAGGGGAACTAAACAAACCACTGAGCATCAACAAAATGGGACACTTCAGATATTTTGCACTTTAATTTTTTTTTTAATTACATGCCTACATAGTAATAATAAATAACCCTAAGGGGTCATCCATAAATGACATCACGCTTTTTTTAAATTTTTACCCCCCCCCCTTCCGTCACACGTCGTCACAAAAAGCCAGACCCCCCCCCCCCCTAAAATGACTTCACACCTCAACCTACAACCCCCCTTAAAATTGCAGTTGAATTTTTTTAAAACATCGATATTTTTCTAAAATATTACAAACTATTACAATTTATTAAAACAGTTATCTAAAATGCGAAATAACGTCTAAAATTTGTTTTCTAACATTGCTTTTTTATAATGCAAAAATGTAACGTCGCAACATCTGACCCCCCCCCCCCTCATCACACATCGTCACAAAATTATGGACCCCCCCCCCTCCCCCCTACAAGTGTGACGTCATTTATGGATGACCCCTAACCAATAGAAAGCTACTATCATAGTATGCAATATATTTTTTTAACTCTCAGTCATCAACACATAAGGGTCATTAAAAGTTACTAATGATATTAAGGATTTACCTTCCAAAAATGAATAACAGTCTTTTGTTTCAAATACAGTATCTGAAAACAAAACAATAAAGCAACTTTATGATATGTGGAGATTTTTATAATTAATACACTAGATCAAATTACTGTAACCTTTCAAAAGATGAAGCTAACCATACACTTCAAATAGAGTGATCTAAACTTAACTTTTCAAAAGGTCATACTCAGTGTCACTTTTCAAACAGATAACCTATTAAAGGATTATGTATATTGTATTAGACATTTAGTTCCCACATTTTATAGCTCACCTAAGTGTTTCCGTAAAACTGTTTTTCTTTTCTCCCTCAGTGTTCGAATGGCAGCCTCTTTAGCTAAGCTTTGAATAAAAAGTTCCTGGAAATTTTAAAGATAATATTAATAAGTAATTAAAATTAATAACCATTTTTTCTTAAACATTCATAATATGATGGTAATCATATAAACAATTATTCATTATTAAATGATGTTAATAATTATTTTTTAGAATTAACATGCTATGACAGATCTACAAAACCAATTTCAATAACTTAGGGCCTATAAGTTATTCAATGTAAGTGAGTACTCATTAATGTTATGCCATTAATTAAGTAACCATCTGAGATGAGTGGACACATAGATGTCACACAGTATGGAACTGTGAGCCTAACATGAGACCTTCTGGTTAGTAATCATATTTTCCCGAAAAGGCAAGAGGCCAACATTTCAACATAACATAGCAAGCATTGGACTGAAACCCACAGGGGAAAAAGTATTCAGACCTAAGCAACCCTAGAGAAGGATAGTGAAGGGAGAATAAGGGCTGCTCTGCTTAAGTCGGTTTAAATAAAGAGAGCCCCTTAGTCACGCCTTAGTGGCTTCAAAGGAATAAATAAATGCCAATGGAAAAATTAAATTAAACCCCTCAATTATGCTATCCCAGACAAAGTTTTGATCTGAATTTAATACTAATAATTAGAAACTACGACTTGCCTTCGCGGCGATATTTTTTATGGTACTGCGCATGCGTGTGTTTACAACCACAGAACCCTAACACCAACCCTAATCCTATCCCTAATCCTAACTCTATCCCTAATCCTATCCCTAACCCTACCCCTAATTCTAGCCCTAACCCTAGCCATAGGTCACTGCGCAAGCGTAGAGCTATCTTTTGCTAAGTAAGTGGAGACGTTGGGAGAAAAATCTTCCGAGTAGTCAATTTCGAACACTAAAACTAGACCTATAACTAATTAAAAACTAATCAGTAATTGGAAATGATATTCTAGCCAGATCTAGCAATTACTTATTAACTAATTAATTACTATTAGATCTATATCTCTTAATTAATATTAGATCTATAATTACCGCAGCTTTAGCAAGAGCTACAACTGCCTCCTGACTTGCGATTTTGACATCGGTATCAGTTTTAATAATACTTCTAATACGAGATAAGGGAAGCTTTATAAGTTTTTCTTGAGGTTCACTGTTGGAAATTTGAGCTTCTGTCGAATTTACTTCAACTTCAGTTGATTCAATATTATTGTCAAACTCCAAACTGTCTGGAACTGTGTCGATTAACTGAGGAGTATCTATCGCAGATCCCGCCATTGTTTACAATATGAGTTTAAAAGGATTTTCATAAATAAGAGCGATACAATTGAATCAGTATTTTAAACTTTGTTGAAAAAGATTTCTCTACTCCAGTCCGCTGTAAATTCACCAGGGTTTAAATTAAATTAAACTGAAATTAACAATGTTGTAATTGAAACTTCCAACGGAGAATATGTTATCTAAGTTTCCTCTCAACACCTATTCTTATAGGTTATAGGCTTGGATGGAGGGACGTCCACTTAATTAGGGGCGGGGAGGTGGACTTTAGAAGTGCGGGCGGGGGGGGGGGGGGGTGATAATGTGCATTGTAAGAGATTTTTTTAAACCTAAAATTTAGCAATTATTAATTTTAGGTCTAAAGAAATGTTTTAGAAATGGGTAATGTTTTTAAGTTGTGCTTAAAATTGCCTCGGTGGTTCCTTCTATTTTCTAAATCGATCACATAAGGGCCAATGCAAGCAGAGGTGTAGCGACCCTTCCCGGCGCCCGGGGACAAACTTTTCGATTTGCACCCCCCCCCCCTCGAGATTTCGATTTGCACCCCCCCCCTCGAGATTTCCATTTTCACGCCCCTCAAACTTTCGATTTGCACCCCCTTCAACCTTTCAATTTATCTTTCCAACCCATTTTGGCGCCCCCTAAGGTCGGCGCCCGGGGACATATGTCCCCCCCCGCCCCTCGCTACGCTACTGAATGCAAGAACCAGAATGGAGACACCCGAAACTCAGACCCATATGAAACAAGCAAAGCCACCCAAGTAGCGTTTGAATGAGTAGAAAAAATATCAAGATTCTTAGCCTATGAGAAACCCGCTGGAATGGAAATGGCAAAATCAGACTACGAACAAGAGATTATTTTTGGCCAGAAAGACTATAAAGGGAGTAGTAGGCTACAAAGTCAATGCTGGCATAGACATATTAGAAACCAGAGTTTCTTCCAGGCATCTCTTCGGGGGCTCTACCCCCCCCCCCCCCCCCCCCCCCCCGAAATTTCAAGGGCCCCCTCTTCGGAGAAAAATGTCTGGAAGAAACACTGATGGAAACTTATAGCGACTAATAGCTGCAATTTTGATGCCAATTATTGTAAGTTGGCTGTTTTTAATGTTATGTGCTCACTAGTGCAAAAAAGGAGAAGAAACATTTCTATAATGTTTTGCAGGCCTTTCTCGACTTATACTGTATAAGCTATACATAGAGAGAAAGATCATAAAAGACAAGAATGCAAAAATATCATGGGGACCAGAACACAAAAGTGGGAGATGAAAGCATATGCAACATTTGTAAGAGGCTCATTGTGCGACGCCAATGATAGGGCACATGCAACGAAAACATTGAACTCTTTGCAGATGTCTGTGCTCCAAACAATCTTGTCATTGGTCAAACAATATTCCTATACGAGCAATCCACAAGACTACATATCCATTTTCTGATGGAAAAATAACAAACCAGGTCAATCATAACATAACGGACACATTTCTGCTGACGTGGATGGGGAAAATATGGATGTTGTCTATGCAGTGGCGTAGCGAGGTCAGGTGTCACCCGGTGCGGCACCTAATGGTGTCACCCCCCCCCCCGTAAGAAAAATATATATATACCATATACACTTGTATGTGTATACGCATTCACATTTTTTGTCTTTTGAATGTGAGGTTTGATGCCTGCCTTACTAAATAACATTCGGCGGATACATTATTGTGTAGATTAAAGTGTAGATGAACAAGCATATTGAATTAAATTCCTTTCTTCTTTGATCTCAGCAATGCATGACAGGTCAGCTAGAATACTTATATATAAAAGTGTTTTTGCGATAATAAAATTTTGAAATAATGGGCATAAAGTAAAACCTATAACATGAGACAATTGAGGGTGTAAGTGTGTGTTCTATTCTTTCTTCCAACACCCATTTCCTTCATCAAGCACTTCAGTGCAAGGTTGAACATAGAAACATGCATTAGAAAGTGAAATAAATGTATCATTGTATTAGGTGTTTGCGAAGGCGTGGTGAATGGTAGAGTGTTCGGCGCTAGCTTAAAGGTCTCAATTCAGACCTGTGACTGTAGGATGTCCCTAGGTCCACCCAGCTCTACTGGGTACATGACTAAGTGGGGAAAGTAAAAACAGTTTGGCATATGCAAAGGTAAAGAAACATGAACTCTACTTCATCTGCCCAATGGATCGCTTGGTTAAAGGAGGAATCTTTATGTATTCAGTGTTAAATATTTTGTTAAAGAAATTATCATTATTATGGCCACCTGATTAGTTTGTGATGCAGATTTATTTTAGCACTTATCATTAAAAAAAACAACTATATACACACATTGTCACATGAAATATAAATAACCCAATTTTAAAAAAAAAATCAGTAGTTTAATACGTTTTTTAACCTCGAAAATGTGACCAATTCTAAAAATCTGTAAAGAAAAATATAATTTTAAAAAATATAATTAAAATTTAATAACAACACCATGAACTAAAGTTTGGTCTTTATAATTTTAGATTTCCTTGTTCAATACAGAAATATAGCCTGAGCAAACAGTAAGCTTCACAAAAGCCAAAAAATTTTTTTCTCTTACATCATAATGCAGAAAATGGCTGCTACTGCTAATGTACATGAATTCTAACAACTAATACATATTATTAAAAATAGACTTTAATATTCACCATAAAATTACTTGTCAATGTATATAATAAGATAATTTAGTTATATGGATTATGTAATAGGATCACAATGACAATCTCGACATTTGAAGAAGGAAAAGAAGTAAAGAACCAGAGAGAAACTGTCCACTCTCAGACCAGACCAGCTCTGCACGTGCTGGGATCAAACAGGACCCACCCATATAGGTTTAAGGTCTTGTTATCATAACTCTGACTGAGGAGTGGAACTTTATTTCTCACTGGTAGTTTTACTTGAATTCTTTAGTCAAATGTTACACTTGATTGAATTTTGTTACAATAAATTAATAAACAGACATCTGTGATATGCTTCAGTTTGCACTACAGAAGGGCAGTGATATCTTTTTCAATGTCCTGTAAAAGAAAATGTAGGTTTGCTCATTAAATACTTTGTATCCTAAAATAAAAGGGAAGCATGGTCAAATGGTAGAGTTTATAACTGCTAACCCGAAATTTTCAAGTTATGATCTTGGGCTTGAGTCTATAGGACGTCCCAAAGTCCACCCAGCTCTGATGGGTACCTAACCCACATTAGGAAAACAAATGCGGTTGGGCGCAGTGCTGGCAACAATATCCCCTTGTATGACAAGGTAATTGAAACAGATGAACTCTACTTCATCTGCCCCCTGTGTCTTGGACACAAACAGAAAAGGATGATGAACCTAAAATTCAAAGTTTGTATAGATATGTATTTGATTCTTATTATATTTTTAAAGACTTTCTTTAGCTCTGGCTTAACTGGGATCTGGCTAAAGAAAATCAGCATGATTCTATCAAATAGCTGCTCTGAGGTATAGCATCCATCTTGGCATACATGATAGTAATGAAAGGAACTACATAGAGTGGGATCCAAAGAATTCAATGAACTCCATTAGTACATTGATGAGTTATACTGATCAATATCTTCTAAAAAAACAATTTAGTATAAGTTGATAAACTTACAAATGGTTCAACATTTGGGGCATATCTTTTCACTGGTTTGCCCTGTCTGTCAACTAGAAACTTTGAAAAATTCCACTTGATAAAACTGGAATAAAACAATGTAAACATAAAATATCACCATGTACATCCCCCTGCACATTGCTTTTTTTGAATACATTTAGAAAAGAAAATGGGATAAGGTATGAAATCAATTTCGAAAATATTACTTAAACATTTACAAATGTTTTAAAATATAATTTTATATTTTGGGTACAGTATGAATAAGTTAATCTAAAATTACACTGCCAGTAGAGTACTAAGCAGGAGACAATGGTCAGGTTTGCAACACCTTATGGTTACACCAAATCACCATGGTCTATTCACTAACAAGGGTAAAATAGCTTTGGTGGTTTTTTTTCTCTGACAGAAAGCACATTTTTTGTATTTTCCACTTTCTAGACTTCAGCATCAGTAGAATGTAGGCAAAGATTTATCATAAGTATTACAAGAACTACTTACTTTCCAAGAGTCCCTTTTTGCACATGTTTAAGATATTCATAGAGAGGATGAGCTGATTTCCCGTTGACATCAATCTTTGCAAACATGTCAAACTGGACCTTAAAGCCCTCAACAGCAAACTTCTTTATCTCTTCATTTGTTCCTGGCTCCTGAAAAGTTCAACTTTTGGATTACAAATCATTCCTTAATAAATTTTCTTCAGTAGCCCATTGTTTAGAGCCAATTTTCACTGTATTAATTATAGTAAATTTACTTTTTAAAACAGTCAACTGTAGGTTTGTAAATAATTTTCAGATTCCCCCAAAATTCCATGACCTTAATAAGAGTTAATCACAATTATTTAGTACCAATAATTTTTTAAAGCGTAAATATAAAAAAAAGGAAAAGGGAAATACTAGATAGCAATAGAAACAATTAATTTTACTGCCAGTGATAAAAATAGTTTGTAGGTATCCTGTAAAACAGATTCATCCACACTTTAAAAGGTTAGCTGACAGATTCAGAAGGGTAGGCCTATCTGTGGAGAAATGCAATCACTAAGAACATAAGAATCAGTCTAGAGTACCTGATTCCCAAACTGATTGCAAGGGAAAGCCAAAATGGCCAGTCCTTTCTCAGCATGCCTGGAGTGCAGTTCCTGCAGCTGAGTGTAGTTTTTATTGGTGAAACCTCATTTAGAGGCCACATTCACAATCAAAACTACTTTAGACCTGTTATGAGAAAACAACAAGTTACATTTTACACTTATAATATGGAGTATTATTTGGAGTATGATTATGTAACACAAGTTGAACTAATCTAAAGAAGCTATTAATTGAAAATTAAAAATAATCTTAAGTACCTGTATTTTTCTAATGATACATTATTGCCATCGATATCTACAGCACTAAAATCATATATAGATTTGGCGTTCTTCCAATTTTCTTCACCAGCAGCCTAAAATATCAAAGTGAAGTTGTTTAGTAGGAAATTTGGCTATTTAAAAGCATGAAGCATTTTTCTATAAACAAATCTAAAACCAACATAAATAAATTTAGGCATGTAGAATTAAAAAAAAAAAAAACATGAGTTACCTGTACCAAAACAACCTAGCCCTAATCTCCCCCCCCTCCCATTCTAGCTTCAGTGACCTTTATCAATTAAAATCTAAATGTTCAGTTCCATCCATGACTAATGCATGAAATTTAAATCAACTTCATTTAAAAATTTAATTTTTACCAATTAACACACACACTGAAGTGGTGTATCATTACATACAGCCAGTACTGCTGCAGCCACTTATTCCAAGCTATTAAACATGTGAGAGGTGTCTGTTTTCATCATGGTAATTTAACAATTTCAAGGAAGTAAGGGTTAGTCAAAACTTTACATTTGTCCGGATCATTGTATGAAATGGCACTATTTTTTTTTTATTGCTATGCAATGTTGAGAAATTCTATAACTTAAAAAAATAAAGGAATATTGGAATTTTAAAATATTTTCTGATTTTGTCATATCCCCAATAACATAACATTTATCAAAGTCATATAAAACATTTTGGTTTCAAAATATCTTGTATCTTTTATTCTAAAGCTTCACGCTAAAACTGAAACTCTTTGTATTAGCCATGATGATATAAAGCATGACTTAAGCCTATATATCATAATTGTACTTGATGCAATGTTCAAAGTGAAAATGTTAGCCCTCAGACATGATTTACAAATAAATGTTCCAGATAAACCATACTGTTTGTAGTCTTTGTGTTGTAGATTTACATTGGCCTACCAAGATCTTTGTTATCTTGTAAATTTAAATACAGTGTAAAAATACTATAATTTAATTTGTAGCTTTAATTAAAATTTTTGTTCACAGAAACTTAATTTTATTCATCAGCATGGGCACAAGATGGTACTGTGATAGACACAACTATCTATTATGGTTTTACCACAAATGCTCATTGTGTTAACCCACAAAAACCCCTCTGGAGAGATATTGTTTTCAAAAGGTGTTATAATTTTATTAATTAATTTTAATGAGGTAACATTATGATAAGATAAAGCCCAAAATTATTTTGAAGCATAGGTAAAAAAAGAAGAGATGGAGTGGTTGGACGGTAGAGTGAACGACTGCTATCCCAACAGTCTTAAGTGTAGTTCCCCTAACTCTAGGTTAACAGGAGTCCAGCCCACTCAGCTGAGTACTTAACTCAACCTATGGAAAACTAAGGTGGTTGTTCACAGTACTGAATAAACTATCTCTTTATATGACAGATGAAATCTACTTCATCTGCCCCACGTGCCTTGGACACTGAAGAGAAGACCCATAAATATTAATACGAGTAAATCAGGTTTTCAAATTAAGTATCAGTCAAAGTAAGGGGGGGGGGGGGGGGGAAGCAGTTGCCAAACAATATTAGCAATTATTATATGGTGACCTGGGACAGAGTGGTCTAGCGGACTGCTAACCCAAAAGTCTCGAGTTCGAATCCGGGTTCAAGTCAGTAGACTGTCCCTAAGTCCACCCAACTCTAATGGGTACCTAACTTGCTGACCACACTATCTATTCATATGCCGAGGTCACAGAAACAAGTGAACTCTACCTCACTTGCCCTATAGACCGTCATGTTTTAAAAAGAACATTACTTTACTTACTTATATGGTGACCAAACTTCATACACACCTAAAGCAATATTTTACTTAATGCAAGTGACTCTTAAAATATTATTTTCCACTAATTAAAGGTGTTCTACAAACTGAGACAGCTGAACACAGCCACTTGCCTAAGAAAATCTCTTGCATTAATATAGTGCATAGTTATAACATTCAGCAACACTAGCAAAGTTTTAATTCATCCCAGAGGGGATATAGATTAATGGATTAGAGATAGATCTAGAATCTAGGTTTAGCAGCAATGGACATGTTGCAATCCAAACCTAAAGCCAAAAACTTGTATAACTAAAGTTGGAATGCACATTGAAATTAATAAACAAAGAACAACAATTAAAAACTCTATTGGTAAAACTCCATACAAACAAAACACAACATGCTAGGAAAACTCTGTAACACTTCTATTCTTTATTTTTTATGAATTTTTGATAACTTTGTCAAAGGTTGAAAAAAATTTAAGAAGTTAATATAATAAATGGGCCCTATTTAACTGTTTGCTTTACACTTGAAAATTATGGTTGAGTTTTCATGGGCATGGGTAAAATTAAAATAGGAACCTCGCATATTGTTTGAAGTATCTTGTATATGTGGAAATATAAACTGACGTGAACTCACAATGACCCTAAAAATGACATCAACACAATTTTCAAATAAGCATAAACGACAAAGAACATAAAGAGGTCACACAGTTTTGTGTTTTTATTTTTGTTTGCCGTAGGACTTTCCACGATGAAAACTAGATCTATAGGCTAACGGAATTTAAGATAGTGTCTATTGGTAGTTAACTACAAATAGCTCTCAGGAGGCTATTTGTAGCTAACTAATCAAATTTATTATTATTTATCGTCCTGTAGGCCTACATATAAATATAATAATTATTTTTATTATCTTGTGTATGACACTCGACTTTAGAACATTACTGGTGGTGAGAGTGGTTGTGCATCTGCTGGTTTGTTTTCAAGGCATAGGTTTCCATTCCTTTTGGCTCAGTTTTATTTTGCTTTTTTTTTTAAATTTTACTTTAGGTCTTTTAGGTTTAAGTTTAGAGTTAGGCATTAGGGTAGGTTTAGATGGTTTAGGCCATTAGGGTTAGAGTAGGCATTAGGATTAAGTTTAGGGTTAGGCGTCAGGGATGGACATTAGGATAGGGTTAGTTAGGGTTCAGGGTTAGTGATAAGGTTAGATAGAAAAAAATTAGTTCTACATTGCATAAAAAGGGGAATTTAAGAATCACAGAAAAATGCCTCGTGCTGATTGGTCAGAAGAGTATGAATAGCCTAGCCTTCATAGGGTTATTTAATCATATATACGAGCCGACCCGCAGCGTATCATACGCCGCTATTTAGTTGTTTTATTTTCTACTTTTCAGTAATTCATAATTTGTGAATTCAACAGTACCAATGCTGCCACTGAAAATATTTGCTTTAAAACACTACCCCCCCCCCCTTTTCCCCTAACCCCGACCCTACACCCCCCCCCCCGTGAAAGCAGCCTCCTCTTAGTTATTTCTTAGTTACCTCCTGTAAGTTTAATATTGAACTAAATTATCTGCCCCTAATAGAAACCCGGCTCTACAATTTGTAAACATTTAGCTTTGTAAACATTTAGCGTGACCACAGCTCACCAGACAATGTGGGGGTGGGGTGGGGGTGGTAGTGATAGTGATAGAGAGAAAGAGAGGGGACTGCAAGGAGGCGCTTGCAGCTTGTTTTCTAACGGCTCCCAGAAGAGAATTATATATATAGATTATATATCAATGCAATTAAATTTAATTGTAAGTTGATTTGCAGTTTTGGAAAACATAAAAGAATGAACACAATCCATAAAAATAGAGAATCGGTCCACAAGGTCCTCTCATCCGGCCCGCGGAGATCTTTTTGTCCACGGAAAAAACGTTTGTTGGTGATGGCTGAGGAAGTTTGCCCAGAAAAATGAAAGATATGGCCCCCGAACTGAAAATTGATAGTTAATTCGGCCCTTGGACTGAAAAGTTTGGAGACCCCTGGTCTAGATCTACACAAGTGACAATCTAGTAAAATCTACACATTTGTGACTTATTCATGTGACTTTATTTTTATTAGGTAGGCATTTCACTTTATTTCCTGTAATTTTTTTGCTTTTACCTTTTTTTACTGTGATATTTTTTTTGCCTACATTTAAACTAAATCATTATGTACTGTCACAATTCACTTATCTTCTGTAGGCCTACGACTGCTACTAAGACCTAGAATCTAGATCACTTACCATTTTTATGTTACGACTTGCACTAGATCTAGTGCTAGTACAAATTCCAATAGCTTGGACTATACAACTACCAAACTCTGATATCCGCACCCTACAAAACCTTCCTACTAATAGCATTGCCTATTGAAGAGACAAATGTCATTGGGAGATCAAAATAAGTATCGATTAGCGATTTTTACATGTGTGTATCGGCAGTATCGCCACTAACAATACAAAAACTAAAATAATTGTAAATTTTTCTGCTATGATTGTAGACTTACTAACACTAAACCTTTTCAAAGTATTTAAAAAATAGTCTTAAAAGCGTGTATTAGGGATTGAAGTATCATTGATAAATAACAACCGAGTATGCTTTTCTAATAATGCTACAGTACAAGTCTATGACGATGCGCAGTAACTCAAGACTAGGCTACATTAAACCGTGGCCACCTTTTCATTAAAATTTGCCCCTTTAGATTAGAATCAGTTGGGGAGGGTGGTATCTGAGGAGAACATCGGATGGGGTAGGCGGGTACAGTTTCTGTCAAGGAAGACCATAGAGACAGAGTGCCTAAGAGGTCATAGATAAATGACATGACACTTTTAAAAAAGATTCCCCCCTCCCCACCGTCACAAAAAACCAGACCCTCTATAATAACGTTATTCCTCAACCTTTAATTATTAATACGCCCCCCCCCTCTTCGTGGTCGCAAATTTCCGACCCCCACTCCCCCTTGCGGTGTGATGGACGACCCTTAAAGGGTTGCAGAACTTCAGATGCAACTTGATTTGCTAGTCTCAATCCGAAGAGAAAAATAATAATTTATAGAGAAATTTATAGAGACTTCAAACAATAGAATAGGTGACCGTAAAATTAGTTGTCACATTACATTGCCATCAAGTCTTGACCCCAAGTCAAAAGAAATCGGCCCTGTAGAAATTTCGCTTTCCAGTTTCGACCCATGGCGGACGAGGCTCGAAAACAAAATAACGAGTAAAATAAAGGTGTTATACAAAAATCGAAGTAAAGGCTGCATTTCAGTTTCTAACATTACTTTTTAAAATGCAAATTGGTGTCATCATATTTCTGAGTGAGCCCCTTCCTCCCCGTGATCACAAAATTTCGAACAATCCACCCTATGAGTATGACGCTGTTTATGGACCACCCCATTCCCCGCACATATGGCCAATTAATTGAAATAAATCCCCAAAATTATCAATAACGTTTAAATTTAAGTTACATGATTAGGAATAACCATAATTAAAAATATAAATATAAAGGAATTTATATTTCCAAACAATTGTACCCCCTCCCCGAGAGTTTCGCGGATTTGATATCTCTTACCCTTTTAGCGACAAATGCGCTGTTTATGTTTCTCGAAACACGTTTAGCGGTTTAAAAATAATTTGATACTGCTGCTACATTACCATTCTTGAAATTTTACCAAGCCTAACAACACTCAAAACATCTCCTAGGACCTAGAATCTAGATTAGATTTCAAATGGATGATCAACAAGAAACTTATAAATTATGGAGAATTCGAAAAACAGTAATGCAAGTAGGTCTATTTGTATTTTAATTTTGTATGACTGAGTTGAGTTATGAGCAGGCCTAAATAAAGTACACGTCATAGAATGAACACGCGTACACGAGATGGTCGGTGTCTTGACTTCTCTCTCTCTTCCCCCCCCCCTTCTTCAAGCAAATTGAAAAACAGACCTACTTCCCTACTTCTGGTCATTTTTTAAAAAAGTTTGGTCATTTTTTTTTTAAAGTTCACATATCAGTCAGGCATGCTAGACAGCCAGTTGTATAAAAATTATTTTTTTAACTAGATCTACGTCTAGCTTAAAAAAAATAATAAATGAACGCTTAAAATGACCGTAAACAGAGGCGGAGCGAGGGGGGCGGGGGGCGGGACGGGGACATATGTCCCCGGGCGCCGACCTTAGGGGGGGGGGGGGGGCGCCAAATTGAAAGTTTGAGGCGGGGGGGGGTGCAAATGAAAAGTTCGAGGGGGGTTGCAAATGAAAAGTTCGAGGGGGGGGGTGCAAATCGAAAGTTTGTCCCCGGGCGCCGGGAAGGGTCGCTACGCCTCTGCCCGTAAACAGATTATTTAGCGCCAAAAAAAAAAAGGGCCGCTGAACGAGCATTTTTTTTAAATACGCAGCAATGAAAAAGGCTAACGGCCTATCAATTAAGTCTAAAAATCGCCCGTAATTAGGCCTAGCTCTGAAAAAGGCCACTGAACGAGCATCACTAATTATATAAACGAATAGGCCACGCAAAAGCGTTGACGAGGTTAACCACCGGTCACGAATTAAATGCAGCTACTGTCGGCCCACAGTGAAGAAAAAAAATCAATATACTAATAAAATTACTAATACAATTTTACTTCCACAATTTTACTTTTTCTGCATACGCTACAGTTGAATTATAATTAAAAAACTAGCCTTAACAGTTCATTCCGCAAAAAACAAAAACTAGTTGTTTCTGTGAGGTAACTAGCGTAACTATGACGTCACGATAGTAAACAAAGCGGACAGAAATGTTTGCATGGGTACCTCATATGGAAATTCGATATAAAAAAGTCAAATCAACATAACTGTAATTACTCATTATAAATATCTCAATTATATATTTCTGCATCTGTACCAGGGGGTTTTGACCATGTACTGGGCCGTTTAAGGCGGCAGTTCAGTTTTTCCCAAGAGTACTTGACAAGAATAGCGTGTATTAATTAAAACCACATATCTAGCGATTTTTTCGGTTATTTTCAGGCATAGCGTCCAATTATTTAGCATATCGCATTAAAATAATAATGAGAATTTGCGATATTAGCAGTTTATTCATTTGTCGTGTATAGGACCCATAAAATAAACGTAAAAACCGTCAGAAAACGACGCGTGACGTTTCAGGGTCAGAGGTCAATCCAGCCATCTAAGCAATGAGGCGGCCTAGTACATAGTAATGATAGCTATCATACATAATGAGATAAAAAAGAGAATATAATAGATGAATGAGAAATGTTACAATGAGTCAGTTAGGTCATTAAATAATTTTAGTTTTAGTTTAGATTTGAATATATTTTCAGATCTAGATAGCTTTATTTTATTAGGAAGATTGTTCCACAAATTAGAACCAGAGTAGGCGAAGCTATGTTTTTGGAAAAAGGTTGAATAAGGGAATGGTAAATTAAGACGACGATTTAATTTTATGTTAAAAGAAAATAGATCTGATAAGTAAGAGGGGGCTGTTTCGTGGAATATTTTATATAAGAAAATTGATTTAGTATATATTATCTTTTTATTTAATGGAAGTATTTTAGTTGTAAGAAAAGAATCCAGACTACTAGACAAGCCAGTAACCAGTTTTATAGCCCTTTTTTGTAAAGAAAGAAGAGGACGCTGCTTAGTTATAAAGCTGCCGCTCCACACTACAGAAGCATAATCCAACCTGGATTGAATAAAAGCCTCATAAAAAACCAGCCTGCTCCTATAGTTGAGAAAGTTTTTTATCCTTGCTAATTGAAAGGTTGTCTTTAATAAGGACATTCTTAGAAAATGAATATGGTCAGACCAAGTGAGGTTGTGATCTATAAACAACCCTAGGCATTTGTAACTATCTACCTGTTCAATGTTTGAATTGTCTATAGTAATGTTTAATGCGGTGGAAGGAAGACGAAGGCGTTTCTGATGAGTTGTAATAAACATTGACTTGGTTTTATCAGGGTGAAGTTTCATTTTGTTAAATTTTGTCCAAGTAGCAAGCTGATTGGCACACGTTTGAAGTTTGTAACTGAGTGACTCAGCACTGTCTGCAAAGACATGTAAAGAAGTATCATCAGCGAACATCTCGCACTGACCAGCGTCAATGTGTAATGGAAGATCATTAATGTATAAAGAAAAAAGTAAAGGACCTAAGATTGAGCCCTGTGGAACCCCTATATTAACATATTTCTGTGAAGAGATGGTATTAAGGTGAAACACGCGTTGAGATGGGTTAGATAAAAAGGAGTGAAGTAACCTAACTGTAAAGTCGTGGAATTTGTATGGAATTAGTTTTTTAAGAAGTATGGTGTGATCAATAGAATCAAAGGCTTTTCTGAAATCGACGAACAGCGAGCCACAGAGTAGGTTTTTGTTAATATTTTTTAGCCAGTTTTCACTCATCTTAATCAGAGCAGTGTGACAAGAATGAAACTTTCTAAACCCAGACTGATTACTATGGAAAAGCTTGATGATTGTACTTGCAATGAGTCTTGAAAGAAAATCCTATGTTTTTAATTAGGCCTAGAAAAAAAAATAGATGTACATTTTTCAATTTCAAGAAATAGAATAGAAGAGCAATGATATCTTTCTAGCCTTGCATTATAATAACAATGAAAATTGAGCATTTGAATACTCAATACATCCTAGACACACCCAAAACCATATAGATCCAACTATTGTTATGGTAAGAAGTTTGTGCGACATGCTATTAAAATCATCATTAATTTTTAGTTTTAAGCAATGGTAGCAAGTTCTACTTATCTTCTGGAAAAGTAAATAAATTAACTGTTTTAAACTAATGTACAATCGTACAATACATAATCGTGGTGTTAATTTCTCAATGTAGTCTGAGTTTCTGTCTAGTTACTAGCAAAACCATGGCTTTAATTCCTGAATTTTTTTTATTATTACCTGTCGGAGAACAGAAAAGTAGCGGAATCACAATATGTTTTTTTATAGTTAGGGGATAATATTTATGTGTTGTGTAGGCCTAGTTTATTATATTATTATTATATATTAAATGATGCATAATAGCCAATACAATGTTTCATCAGCTGTGTCATGACAGAGGCTACTTAGTGACCCAAGAGGAGTTGGACCAGACTCTAGATGGGTTTAAACAACAGTTTGGTGATAAACCCAGGTACAACCTCATAAGACATTTTTTTTACATCTGACAGTTGTTTTTTTACATTGCTCTTTTTGCAGTCATTTCTAAATTAGTTAATTAGAATTAATTGTAACATATGTTTACATTGCCATTTCCTCTATTTGGTAAATGTAAGCTTTCATCAGAAGCAGGTTTTTAAAAAATTATCCCTGCTATATAGAATAACACAAAAATAATTTTATCACATACACACATTTTCCTATAATATTCAGTTTAACATCTATTCTCTATGTATTCTATGTTTTTTGTATATCTTCTGTATTGTCAGTGCATTTTGTACTGCTGTTCTGCTTGTTTAAATTTGTTATTCGTTACTGCTTAACAGGATACGTTGTCTGTATAAATATTATTTAGTTAAATTTGAATTATATTTGTTTGAACAGTGAAAGAAAACCCAGCCGGAGTGACCTCATTGTATTAGTGGCGCATAATGATGACCCTACAGGTGAAATAAATAATAATAGTAGTATTATGTGTTGGTGAGGAAAAAAATTGGTTGGTTGGTTGTTTGTAGCAAGTATTCAGTAGTGAGTTGTATAATATGATTATTATTATCAAGCTTTTAGTTTTTAAAATTGTATACTTTGGAAGTGCCTATGGCAGATATTAACAGCCTCACACTATTAGCATAGTGAAAAAAAATAACATGAAACTACTGGAACATTTAGTCCAATTCTAAATTAAACATTGCATTGATGAAGAATTAGCTATATGTTCAAATAAATGAATGCTGTTTTTAACCAACTATTGCAATTATTTGTTACCAGATCAGATGTTTGTGTTTTTTCCTGATGAAAGCAAAGTGGGAATTAAAACCATCAAGACATATTGTCAGAGAATGCAAGAGGAAAATATTATGAGGGCTATTATTGTAGTCCAGATGGGTATGACACCTTCTGCCAAGCAGGTAAACATAAATCCTATTTTTCTAAATGTCATTTCGTTTTCAGACACATTGACTGTCTATTCATATGTATGCACTACAATTGTTGCTGTCATGACATTTACACCCTGTGTTAATTTATTTGTTGAACAGGCTCTGGTTGAAATGGCACCTAAATACATATTAGAACAATTCATTGAGTCTGAATTACTGATCAACATAACTGAACATATGGTGAGTACATAGTCATGAGTTTTTAAAAAAAATGTTTATCTGCTACATCTTAGGACTCAAATCTAGACATTTTCTTTACTGTCACTTTCAAAAAGTATTAAAATCCAACACAAACTTTTTAAATTTATTGTTCAAATTTTTAACAATGTGTTTTAATTGTTGAATGTAAAATATATAAACTTGATTTACTATCTTGAGTATATATTTAATTTTCAGTTAGTGCCAGAACACAAAGTCATGACTCCAGAAGAAAAAGTGGAATTATTAAACAGATAGTATCCTTTAGTTTTAAAACATTTTAGCCAGTGTAAAGTGGTATACTAACATTTGTCAGGATATTGCGTAATTATTTTGAAACCTTATTTGCAAACCTACATTTACCAATGATATGTACTAATTCATTATTTTAAACATTCAACACAAATATTTTGTAAACCAATGTGTACACAGAATGAAGCTTATTTCCATAACTTTGTAGCAAATTAAAAGAATCTCAACTTCCAAGAATTCAGCAAGGTGACCCAGTGGCGCGTTATTTTGGACTCAAAAGAGGGCAGGTTAGTAATTTTTCCATGTTTGTTCTCCATGGTCTCAGATTAAATAAAAGATATCATACTGTGTGATTTTCTCTTAATAAGTACACAGATATCTCCATGTCTATTTAATTTTAATTCAGAAAACTTGCAAGGTACAGATACTCAAATTTCCATTCAACTTCAACACCCTGATAAACTGATATGAATAAATGTTAAAAAACATTTAATTTTAATTTTATTTTTAATAAACATCTAAAAACCTTATAAAACCACATACTTAAAAAACAATGCCAAGATTTAAAAATGCATCATAACATCATAAGCATGCTTTGATTTACAATTTAACTTGAGTCTTTATTAAAAAAAAATAAAAATAATGCATAAAAACACACTATTTTGTTATTTACAACAAATTGGACACATTTTTAGAATATTCACAGTAGTACAATTCACAGCCATTTAGCTTATCCCTATAACAAAAGCACCTCTCACTCTACACCAAAATGCTTGTTTAATGATGTAGTCAGGCATGGGCATGATACCTATATATATATATACATATATTGTAATGTGTTTATCAGATTATTATCATATCTAATATTTTTTGGACTTCACAGGTGGTGAAAATTATCAGGCCTAGTGAAACAGCTGGAAGATATGTCAGTTATAGATTGGTTGTTTAATTCTTGTTAAGTATGTTTTGTAAAGGTCATGAATGAATTGTATGTATAGTATGTTTGTTTTTACTGAAGTGTGTTCATTTGTTGAGATTAAATACACATTACAAAGACTGCATTGTCTTATGTTTTTGTTTTTAAACAGTTTACTGATACAGTTTAATATAAAGGTGATCAACAATAAGTCAATTGACACCATTGTCCATAAATTATGATGGGCACCTGAAAAAAAGATGGTTTGGTTCTGTTCACAAATCTCTACTAAAAAGTAGTTAGAGCAAAGAAAACAAGAACTGCTGAACTGTACAGAAAAAGTAAAATTTACAAAAAGGATACATACATGCCATACAAATGAAAGAACAACAAAGATTCAACGTTTCTTAAATAACTGTCTCGTAAGTAATTTAAGTTTTTAAATTAATGTAATTATTACCTGATGTTATCAACCTAATCTCCCTTTTTTCAATCATTTTCTAAAATCTCAAAATGTGGGAAGCAGTAGCAGGAGGTTAAAAAACTTAGTGATTGTATCTTTTCTATCATAGGAGTCTTGTTTAAAAGTAAAACTCGCATGCAGATGCTCACTATAAGTCTCTTTGACAACAGTACTGAAGCTGAGAGAAATCTGGCCATTCATGATTAAAGAAATACTTCCTTGCTTTGAAAGTTGAGCTGCCATTTAATACAACATTAATTTTTATATGTTAAACATTACACTGGCTGTGTAGTAACCAAGAGGTCACAACCTTTACTTTCTTGTCTTTGACAGGAGCTGATGCAGGGCTTTATTTGTATTGAAAATACAATACCCGTGCAGACCAGTGAGAACATATATCTGCTTACATTTTAATGTAAACTAAATTTGTGTCCCTGTTAAATGTGTTATCTTAAACCTCCTCCTGCCTATTTAAACAATGATTTTTTAAAATACATTTTTGGGGAGCCAAAGTTGATCAATATTTGTACCATCATGATTTACCATGCTACGTCATCAGTAGTAAAGCGAGTTCCCATGGATTTTTTTTCCTTTATTTTATAAATGTATTAAGGGTTAAAAAATACTCCTGTTCAATCTCAAAATCACCACTCCCTTATGTAATCTTCAAACATTGTAGTAATATAAAATTATACTTGTTGAACATACTTGTATTAATGTACAACATTAAGGCCAAACAAGTTTATAGGCTTGGGTTAGTGTGTCACCAGGTCACAATATTAAGGCACATCTATTTTTAACCGGGCATTTCTATTCTACAGGATTCAATTCCTTCTTAACCAGCTAATACAACCAGCATCACCTTAGTAGAATGCGTTGTAGTTGTTTACATACAATGGCTGATTGTAACCATGAACAACCTGTGCTGTTGTCACAGGTTCAGTGAACTCAATCTGCCTGTTTGATGAAGTGAGCCTCATGATCAACGAAGTAATAGCCATCTTCACGCTTAGCATTCATCCTACACAGCTGTAAGCTGCTAACATGTTGGGACCCAAATACTTGCTGGCAGTATGGCTCATACATTTCAGGTTTCAGTTTTGACACACCTATGCACACACAATAGAAGAATTATTATAAAAACTAGGATGATTTAAAAGAGCATTATATTTTGTACATATTTTTTTTCAAAACATACAAATTTTAACTAATTAATGTGACATTTATTAATAATAAAAGACATAAAAAAATTGATAAATTTAGCACAAAACTAAAACATAAAGCAATTTTTAAATGTGATCGTACACAATAATAAAAATTAATAAATTTACCCTCACCATATTTTTTACCCTTGTGCCCATCAAACTTGATAAGTGTCAAGTGGGGATTGAAGGCTCGCTGATCTGTTGATAAGATTCCACTCTCCCCCATCAGCCTATGCACTTCACCTGATAAATGAGATTGATTTTGTTGGTTTTAACATATAATGGCTTAGATAATAAACAGGAAATGTTTATAACACCAAGTTTATATTAGCACTAAAACAAAGCATTATATGATAACTGTATCTAACTATAACTGAAAGTGTGTGTTAGTAGTTCTATTAAGTGTATTGAAAAAAGTTTGGAAATTCATAGGCCCTTCTCTAAATATAAATAGGCCTACAGACAAATTCATTCTTATTTATAGGTATTTCTAAAGGTGAATAGCATTAGTAAATATTTGCAAATTAATGCTTAAAATTAAAATTTCATAAAATTTCCACTCTTTTATATAAGGATAAATACATAGTTATATTTTCTTTTTTTTTATGTATATATAAAAGCTTGTTGTAAAGATTTTTCAATATTTTTTTTACTCTTTTGCAACTAAAACTTTACACCAACTGAAAGCACTAAGTGACTAAACGAGAGTTCACCAGTATGTCAAGACTCAAGAATTTTGTTTTGCTAATATAAAACAAGATACAGCAGATGTATTAAAAAACTTGTATCATGATACAACTAACCTGATATTACATGTAAATGTTGCAGCCCTTGTGTAGATTTTAATGTGGCAAATAGAACACGCCCTCCATTAAATGCTGATAGACCTTCAAAATCTAGAGTCACTTGCTGGCCTTCAATTTTTTCATGAATTTCAAGTACACAATTATCCAAGGTCTGGGAAGCTCTGAAAAAGTAATTAAACTCCGGTTAAGATAAACAGATTGGGCCGGCTAAGGAAGACATGGAGAAGAATGGTTGAAGAAGAGGCAAAAACAGCTGGGCTCACATGGGCACAGATTAGGGGAGCAGCCCAAAACCTAGTCCGCTGGAGATGTGTGGTTGCAGCCCTTTGCTCCCCAGGGGCCACAAAGGAATGATGACGATGATGAAAAACAGCTGTCAATTTTTTAAATGGGAGGCAACTCTTTTACTCACAAAAATCAATACTGAACATGAGATTAAACAAAAAAAGATCCCAGAGGGATAGCCTACATTTAACTTTTCAGTTAACTTTTCAGTTGTTTAAACTAAAATTTGGCAGTGGGGTGTATCAATTAGCATGCTAGCTGATTGCAGAAGTATAAATTATTATAGACAATGCAGAAAATAAGAAGTATTCACTTACAATTGAACATCTTCCAGATTCTTAAGGTGCATCACCATTAGTGTTATATGAAATTTTTCTGTTCCAATTATTGCCTTCGTTATATCTGCTTTAGAATTATCTGCAACATCTGACTGCACTTTCTTGGCCACTTTGTAAATCTGTAATTAGCATAAACAATTAACCTAATTGCTGCTCAACATTATTAATAATCTAATAACTTTAGGTAGGGAACAGAGAAAAAACACTAACTGCACATTTTAGAACATGAAATGTCTGTTGTACAGTTAGTAAAGACTTAAGTGGTTTTCTATCAATATGATTTTCAAGACTTAACAATTTATTCTGCAGCTTGTGTTTTTCTACAACTATTAAGGGCAGGTTAAACCCATTTAAAATACATATTAAAGTCAGAAATATTAATTTTTCAAAATCTATTGTTTCTGAAACTACATTCAATTGTGAACATTTTAAAAAAAATTATTTTGCCCAATTACGTATTGCTAGTATTTTTTTTATAAAATTATAAAAAAATTGACACATTGGTCAGCAAGTATGACAAGATACCAGTTACTTCTTTGACCATGGACTATTTAAACTCAACCAGAAAATATATATTTAGAGTTAGGGTGGGTGTTGTTTAGCAATCAGATATACCATTCCACATACCTTCAGCGTTGGACTATAACATGATAAGCAGTGATTTGCTTTACCTCAGGGTCTGTTATCTGTACTGCAACAAAGTAATTTGGCCTTGTTCTTTTTTTCGCTTGACCATCAGTTTGTTTTTCATCTTTCTTTAGAAGTTTCTCTGAATCATGGCTAGAGTCTAAAGAGGTCTATGTAAAAAAAAAAAATTCAGATAAATCATCAGTCCTTTTGTTAAGAATATGTATAAAGGGAATGAACTAATTAGGTTAAAAGTGAAATCAATTTAAATGTGTCGCTTTAACAAAATTCAGGTTTGTAGTACAAGCAGCACTTGTAAAAAAAAAAAATCATATTCAGATTTTACAAGTAAAGATTAATGGACGGCTGCAGGGATATTATTGTAATGTAAAAAAGATATTTGAAAAAAAAAATGAATTACTTCTGAGCTCTGTAAAAGGCTTTCATCCGTTTGTACATCTGAATCTGATGTAGTTTTACAACTCTCAAAACCTTGTCAGTATAAAATAGGAAACTGTTTTACATGTTGGTAACATTTTGTAAAGCAGAGTAACATAATACTCATCATATGATATTACATTAGATTCGTAAAATTGTTAGATATATTTCTTTGCACTTATAGAACTGATATATTTTAGTGGTCATCACATTTTCATGGGATAAGGTTGGTATCAATGTACTTAAAAAATAAGTGTAGATAGATGAGAATAAAATTTTAAAATGTATATGAAACTGGTTCAACAGTACAGCTCATAGACATGGCAACTTATCATCATTGTTAAAATACATTTACAAGTTATCTTTGAGATGATACTGAAACTGGTTCTCTAAACTGATACAAATAAAACTTCAAGTGTTTTAGTAAGTTATTTACAATTTAATAATATTATGGCGGAGCACTTTTAGTGATGTATATAATTACCCTTTCCTTCCAATTGTTTTGAAACTGTATTAAGATCTTGGACAACAGGTTGACTCGGAACCAAATCAGCACCACAGGCAATTATTTGCTGCATGATAGAGTCTTTTTTGTTTGTCAGCACTGATTTCAATTTCATCAAAACAGAGTTGGGCAGTACCCCTTGCTTTCCACCAAGCTTTAAAGGTTTTTTTAAGACAAGCTTACTGTAAACCATTTTCTATTTGACAGTAAAAAAAAATCGAACTATTTTAATAAAGACAATTGAAGTTAATTCTTAGTAATTCTAGTAATTTCAATCAGATAAATAATGGAATAAATAACTGGGTCCTAAAGCACGGAGGGGGGGGGGTAACCAAACAAGGATGCACACCTCTTTGGAGAGGGTGTGGGGACAGAACTAGCACTGGAGAGTTTTTAAATATTATAGAAATACTTAAAATATACAGATAGAATTACATATTCATATTGTAACACTGATAAAAGTAGCAAGTTGTCTCTAGAGACAAGTAACATTCCATCTGTGACACATAGATTTTTACATTATCATTAACAAGTAAACCAACATATCCAGTTTATTAAAAACATATTTCAAAATGATATGTTATGTATTTATTTTTAATTTTGATAATCTGTATCTTATGATGTGTTACTTGTTGTTTTATAAGTTTAGACTTCAGAATTGTTTAAGGGTTTTAATTTGTATTAGTTGTTTTGTTTTTTTTGACAACCAACAAAAATAAGGGAGACAACCTACACATTTGTTCCAAAAAGTTAACATTTTGTGACAAAATAAATAAATAATAAATATTTATTATTTTAAAATTAATAAGCCTTAAATGACCAATGTTCAAAGTAGGGGAGGAAATAATCATTGGTCAAACAGTATAATTCTCAGTTACTAACTTAATAGTTTCAAGTTTGGTTGTCTGAGTCAACTCAGCTCTTATGGATACCTGGCATGAGACAAGGAAAGTAAACAACACTAAGGGCATATATTGCTGACAACACAATCTGTTTAGGCATGCTGAGATAATAAAAACATGTATAATTTACTATTTCTGCCCTAATGACTATTAGATTTATTTTTACTAGTATTCCGTGTTCTTAATTTTACTTAGCGTACCAAATATATTACCATCATTAAAATTAAATAACTGTAAAGTACAATGCATAATGATTAAGAAAAAATACTCATATCATACCTGAAGAATTCTTCTAAAACTTAATTTGGAAATTATAAGAGGCTTAATGTACATGCTTGCTGTCTGTACATTTGCACATTAGATTTATTTTGTTGTCATTTGTTCCTTTTTTTTAGGAATAGAAAATGATTTTAAAAGACTATTAACTGACATTAGAATTATTGTTTTTGATTGAGGAAGAATTTTTTTGCCATGATCGCATATTATGTCTTGATATTGGGTGTGGGGCAAACAGCTACTAAAATTTAAAATAGCTTGATATCATTTATTATCATTAATTATTATTTACTGTAGACCATAACTAGTACTACTTTTAAAATAATATAATACAATTATCCTCCGCTTGTGTATGTGAAACGTCCCCACACACCACTAAATTCGGATGGATTTTAATTTTACTAAAAATGATTAATGAGATTGAGATTAGGCATAGTGCTGACCACACTATTATTCGTAATATGTCCAGGTTAGGGTTCTTCCATACACTCATAGGGAGGAGGGGGGGGGGGGTCTTTAGTTTTGTGACAATGTGTGATGAGGGGGAGGGGGTTCAGATGGTGTGACGTCACACTTTTGCATTTTAAAAATAATGTGAGAAAATGAGTTTCAGCCATTATTTTGAGTTTAAGAAAACAGTTTTAATAAATTGTAATAGGAATTGATTAAAATACTCTATGTTGACAGAGTTCAGACAAGATTTTGGAAAAATATCTTTTAAGAAAAATTCAACTGCAATTTTGAGGAGAGGGGGTGGGAGGGGGGTCTGGCTTTTTGTGAAGATGTGTGTTGGAGGGGAGGAGGGAGATAAAAATCGTCCAAAAAAGCACGTCATTTATGGATGACTCCTTACAGAAAAAGGTGGAGGGATATAGATCTATATATTATTAATATATATATAAATATGTTCAATTTATGAAATAATTATAATTATTATATTGAATATTGAGAATGTGACTATTATTTACTTATTTTCACGCATCATTGTGGTTGATCTCATTGTTGATGACATCAAATGATCAAATCAAGACTATTTTATTACTATCATTGTTTGTATCAATAATCAATATCAACTATCAGCTACAACACAGTGTTAATTAAATGTTAATAAAAATAATATTACTATACTAATACTAATCTATAATCTATACTTAACTAATAACTATACTATACTAATTAGTAATTAAAAGTAATATAGATCTATCTATAATTCTATATAGAGGATCTAGTAGAATATAATAATATATAGATTTAATATTACTTTAATTTTTTTTTATAGTTTATTAATATTATTAGCCATTAGGCCTATATTAAATAATATTATTTAATACAGGGCTAATATTAAATAATATCTTATAATAAGTTAGGCCTAAGTTAGGCCAATTAATAAAATTATTATACTTAGGGCTTAGGCTAAGCCGGCCTATCCTATACATTTAAATAATAAATAATTTAAATATCAAATAAATAATTGCTAGATCTAGATCTAGTTACTAGTTAGGCCTAGTACAAGTTAGAGTTAGTAGTAGATCTAATCTAGATCTAGAATCTAGATTCTAGATCTAGATCTAGATTCTAGGTGATTTAGATGTCTCGGAGTAGATTAGTAAATTCTATTTTTTAACAGATGTTTTTCAACAAATAATGTCAACAATTTCTAGACTAGACCTACACCGTAAACAAAAAAATTATCCTACCCTCTTTTAGGCCTATCGATAAGATAGGGCTTTCTAATCTAAACTAACATTACAATGAATGAAACAGGGCTTTGAAGCACTTGAACATATCGCGCTATCTGTGTATTCAGGTGTATTTTAGAGCTAGAGCTAAGATCTAAATCTATAAGAAACTAGTCTAGATCTAGATTCTATCTACTTTATTAAAATAAAATTAATTTAAACGAATAAACGCTTTAATATCTAGATTCTAGATCTAGTTTTTAAATATGGCTTTAGTTAAGAAACATAGATCTAGAGCGTTTCATTTCTTAATCAACATTTTCGTTGTAATGAGTTCGTTGTTTTTAAAAGACGCGAGTGAAGCTTGTGGGGGCGTCACACACATTGAAATAAGTAAGTAGAGTATATTATGTTTACTTAGTACTTAGTAGGCCTAACATTTTTTTTAACCTTGATCTAATCTAATCTAGATTATTGTATAGATTATTTATAATTTATTAGTTATAGATTATTACTTGCTCTAGCTTGTGCTAGTCTAGAAAAGTAGGAGAGCTCAGACTGTCCCCCATAACAGGGGTTGGGGGGGGGGAGTTTGTTTAATTAAAGTATACTAAAGTAGGGTTGGGGTAAAATATTCAATTTTATGTGGACCTCATAAATGGACAGTGTTTCTTCCAGACTTTTTTCTCGGGGGGGGGGGGGGGGGGCACTTGAAATTTTCGGGGAGGGGGGGTAGACATTCTTCGGGGGGGGGGGGGCTGAGAGATGCCTGGAAGAAACTCTGTAAATGGATCTCCAAAAACTACAATTAATAACAGGGAGAATACCCTTTTACATTGTCTATCATTTCAGGTTACAGAGCACTTGATAGCTACATTGATGCTTACAACAGTACAGTTTACAATGCAGTAAGTAATGCTGGCTTTGATACTATTATAATTATAGTATGATTACTTTACCAGACCAATCTTATGCTTTACTGTACTAGATTGTCTCTTAACCTAATCTAACACTACTCAGGTCACTGAAACAGGTGAATTCTTATTCACCTGCACTACGGTTTGTCAGGTTTGAAAGGGTACTTTACTTTTTGATTACTACTAGACTTTTGTCGGTTGTAGCTACTTTTTACCAAAACATTGTTTTTCTTACCAAACTGTTTGAGATCATTTATTCTATCACTTTATAACAAGCAAAAAAAACAAACAATTATGACACATTGATTTGAACTATACAATAGCCTTGCAAGACATAAGGAAAATTTATTTCATGTGAAATCAATTTTTAAAAACAATGAAAGGTTTACCATATTCAGGTCGGGTGTCACCCGGTGCGGCACTTAATGGTGTCACCCCCCAGAGGCGTAGCGACCCTTCTCGGGGACAAACTTTCAAGTTTTCGATTTGCATCCCCCCCCCTCAAACTTTTGATTTGCACCCCACCCCTCCCTCAAGTTTTCGATTTGCACCCCCCCCCCCCTCAAACTTTTGATTTGCACCCCCCTCAAGTTTTTTCTCTATATTTTGCTATTTTTTGCCTTGGTGTCACCCCCCTAAATGGTGTCATCCGGTGCGGTCCGCACCCCCGCCCCCCCCCCTCGCTACGCCCATGACCTTAGGTTATCTTAATGTTTATAATAGAATATTGGAATAGGGTAACAGTACTTAAAACATTTATCAAACAGACTTTTACAAAGGTTATATCACTTTACATTTGTGGATATTTTGTGCTATATTTTTATAATTTTATCCCTGGAAAATGTTTTCTCTCTCATTATATTCTGTTTCAGATCCTTAAACAAAATCAAGATGCGCTTGAGGCAGGAAATGTATTTCCTGATGCATTTTATCCAAATTTATGTTTTAATGGTAAGTGGAACAGGTGAAATGTGTTTATTTTTAAAAAAGATACAAGTGCATATCATTTATTGTACTTGTATCTTAATAAAAAAAAAAGATAACAGAATTTTCTATAGTTAAAATTTTTAAAAACATTCTTATTCATTAAATCTCAAAGAGCTAGAAGGCTATTACTTTTCATGATATTTCTATAAGTATGGGCTACCTCTGAAATTATGTTTGCTTAACTCTTTACAGTCCTATGATGCACCTGAGATTTTTCTTGCATGGTGCAGTTCTATGACTCCAAAAATGCTGGTTCTGTCTAGACCACGGGTTCCCAACCTGGGGGTCGCGACCCCCCTGGGGGTCGCCAAGGGCTTTCTGGGGGGTCGCCAACTGGTATACTAATCTAAGTAATGAGAAACAAAACATAAATATTTAGAAGAATATCTGCAGTTCTGCTTTACTAACATCACTGGAATTCAAATAGAGAAGAAGCAAAGCGTAGGCCTACTGTGCAAAGTTGTTCTCAGTCACGAGTTTATAAAACCTTCAAAACTAAAACGTCATTTGAGACGAGTCATTCGGAACACACCAAAAAAGATATCGTGTTCTTTCGTCTGCATGAAGCTAGTTGCAAACGTACGTCAGAGACTTGATCGAACAGGAAGTTTTCACCAAGGAAATACAGCATTAGCGCAAGCATCAAATGAAGTTGCGATAGAAAATGCCAAGCAAAAAAAAAAACCACACACAATAGAAGAAAATCTCATCAAACGCTGCATGTTGAAGATGGTGAAGTTAATTCTTGGGGATTCCAGTGCAGTAAAGATGCAACAAATATATCTGCCTAATAATACTACTCAGCGGCTTGTAGCCGACGTGTCCGTAGATATTAAATAACAAATTTTTAATGAAATCAAGCGTTCACCATTGTTTGCTTTTCAAGTTGATACATCAATAGACGTGAGTTCGTGTTCGCAGTTGCTGGTCTTTGTCTATATTCATTCAGATGATAGCAAAGAAGAGTTGCTATTTTGTGAAATAGCATGGAGAAAATAAATACATTTTTTTTTAAAACTGGAAGATTAAAGTTGGTTAAAACGGCTGGTGGGGTTTGTACTGATGGAGCGCTATCCAGGTTTAGGTAAAAATCGGGCATTCAGAAAACAGAAAAGATTTAGCTCACTAGCCACTGCATGATTTACCAGTACGCCCTAGTCATCAAGACTCCATTGCAAGTAACACTCGTACATTATATTTAATCTGGAGCAAAGACATTAGTATAGATCACGAGGTTCTGCTTTTCTACACTACAGTACGCTGGCTGTCAAACGAAGTGTTGTGAATCGTGTTTTTGAATTGAAATCTGAAATCAAATTGTTATTGGAAGTGCAAAGGCAACAAGACCTTTTGGTATACTTAAAACGACATAGAGTGGTTGGAGAGAGTATCATACCTAGCAGATATATTCGAACATCAACGTAAGCTTAACCTGAAGCTTCAGGGAAAATGAACGAGGATTATTACTTTCCATAATAATCTCGGGGCATTTTATCAAAGCTGCAAAATTGGCGAAGAAAATAAATCTTGGAAATGTTGTACATTTGAGAAACTCTGCAGTATGGTAGATGAACCTGATTGTGAGATAATTAAAATTTTGAAAGAAGCGATTTCTGGGCATCTTGAATCTCTTGAAAACGAACTGCGGCGCTATTTCTCTGAGCTGAAAGAAGAAGAATCTGCATACCCATTCTCTACTTCCCTTGATGTTGCCAGCATTCCCGATGAATTACAAGGTGAATTCTTTGATTTGCAGAATGATTCCACCTAAGATGAAAAACTGCTCACACAATTTTGGTGTATTATTCACCATTCATACCCAAACGTAAAATTGATCGACTTTTCGAGAATAGCCTTTCAACACTATTCTTTGATTAAAAACAAAATTAAGAAGTAAATTGAATGTTGATAATGACATAGGTTGGCGTTAACAAAAACTTAACAGTGAATGTTTAGTAAATAGCATGCAATTTTACACATCGTATTGAAACAGTTATCAAGAGTAGTTCATATTGAAAGTCTTCTAGAAAATCTTATTTTAGTGCTTATTAATTTCCATACTAAATTCGGCTTTTTTAATTTTATGGGGGTCGCGGGTCACTAACTATTTATAAAAGGGGGTCGCCACTCGAAAAGGTTGGGAACCACTGGTCTAGACCATTCTTTTCACTATTATGTTAATTTCATGATAATTAAAGTAATGCACACACAAATCTGCATCCATTTTGCTCTGTGAATTACATTTTGTCTTAATTTTTAAATGTGCATGAACTTTTTAATTTATTAATTATTCTGAGCAACAAGTTTTAAAAAGTGTGTTATTCCCCTTTGCTTGGCCATACACAAGAAAAAAACATTTAGAGCACAGACTGTAAAGTGTTAAAAGTTTTGCTGGTATTTTATTTTGTAGAGATTAAATCTAATACCACTGTTTATAAAAATTTAAGTTTTACAGCATGTTGTTCTTACATTTATAAAAATTTTCTAATGAAGCTACCACATCTGTTAAAATTCCTTCAGGTCAATTTCATGATGTTGCTGAAGACGCACACTGGACTCCATTTCTCAATGCCAGTATTAACTACATTCATAGAAATTACCCCAAGCCATGGAATGAGGTCAGGAGTCGTCTGTTATGCTCCACTTTTTTTTGTTTTCAGCAAATAGCTGATAGTATATTCTTTTGTACTGTTTTCTGGAACTACATTTTTTAAACTAAATAACCTATAATTAGTAATATCACAAAGAATATAAATTAGTATGAAAGCTGTGAATAGACTGACCTACAAACCTAAATTTTAATGTCTATTTGGTCTCTATTTGATAATCTCAATTCAGTACATGTTGTTAATATCTGAACTCTATATTTTCTTATAATTTTTTTCCAATGACCTAAACTTCACCTTTTATAAAATTCAATCCAATTTAAATCAGTTTATTACTAGATTATTCTAGTTTAGTAAATGACTCTTTTAAAAAATATGGAGCCTCATAAGCTGGGCTTTACCTTGACTAGTCAAGACAATTCAATTGAAAATTTTAGATGTATAACTGTTTATTTTTTTCAAACAGGTTTTGTTATTTTGTGTTTTATACATTGTTTTTCTGTAGCAAAGTTTGAAACTGGTAACTTTTATTATGGGAGTTGTCTCCCATCAAGTTGCAGATGTCAGCTGGCATTCCCTTGGTTTGGATCAAGGATTCTTGCAGGCTATGGCAGGGGTTAGCAGCAATCTTCTTTGTTACAAATTAAATATTCCGCGCATAAAGTAATGGAGTAAACTTTACAATTTATGTTAGGGGCTAGAAAGATTCTATTTTTTTTTGCACCTCAGGTATTTCACTTGTTTGTTATTTGTCAATAATGACACATTTTAAATCTACTTTCATTACATCCAGACAAACTATCATGGTGATTTCCCTTCAGCTCATTCAGATGGAGATCTAGGTAAAAACTTCCTTTTGTTGCTGTTTATAAAATGAAATGCTTTATTATACTGAATGTTGCCTTCAGTTAAAAAAAAAGCATCAACATGATTTCATTTCTATATCTGTAGGTGGAGATGTCTTAAACTTGTTTCAATTGAACCTCAACTACAGTAATTTTACAGGAGAGTGGTATGTATTTGTGGGAAATGTTTTTACTAATTTTTAAAAAAAAAAATGATAACATACATAGTAATTTCTATTGAGAAAAACCCTAATGGCCAGATCTAATTGCATGTTTATTTAATGTAACTTTAGTTGAGATTGTTTTGTTGTTCAAAGTTCTTTATTCCTTGAATTTATGCATATTTTAATGTTAAAACCCCTAATTGTTCTGTTTTTACTGTTCATAATTTTTTCCTGTTTGTGCCCAAGATACATGGGGCAGATAAGATAGAGTTAATGTGTTTCAATGACCTCTGCATACAAGGGGATACTGTGGTCAGTACTATGCCCAGCCGCCTTAGGTTCCCTAACATGAGTCAGGTACCCTAACATGATTCAGATACCCTAACATGATTCAGATACCCTAACATGAGTCAGGTACCCTAACATGATTCAGGTACCCTAACATGAGTCAGGTACCCTAACATGACTCAGGTACCCTAACATGAGTCAGATACCCTAACATGAGTCAGATACCCTAACATGAGTCAGATACCCTAACATGATTCAGGTACCCTAACATGAGTCAGATACCCTAACATGAGTCAGATACCCTAACATGACTCAGGTACCCTAACATGAGTCAGATACCCTAACATGAGTCAGATACCCTAACATGAGTCAGATACCCTAACATGAGTCAGATATCCTAACATGAGTCAGGTACCCTCACAGCTGGATAGACTCAGGGAAGTCCTTCAGCTGGATCTCTGGATTATAACCAGAGACTTTTGGGTTAGCAGTCATTAGCTCCTCTATTTGACCATGGCGTACCCAATTTTTACTGTTACTACCTTTTAATTTATTGTTTATTTTGCCAATCTTAGTATAATTATTGATAACCTGAAATCTATTAGGTATGTACCTGTTAATGACTTGTTGGGAATCTTTAAAGACTATTACGGCAAAGAGGTCATAAATGAAACTGTGGTGGTTACTTGCACACAAATAATGTTTTTGGCCAGGTAAGCTTGGAATGCTATTTTCACAACCTTTCACTTAGGTCACTCTGTCTGTGAGTTTGTTTTTTAGTTTGAATGTGTATTATTTACATTTTAAAAAAAACCTTAAAATAACGTTGTTGTTACGTCTGGGCTTTATTCAATGCAAAAACAATCAGAGAAAATGTTCATTACTTTATTTGTTCTTGTCTTTACACATTACACAGCAGTCCTCGTCCCTAGCTGCTGCTAACTAAAAGCCCCTTACAATCGTTCACTCCAGCTTTTATACCCGCACTTGACCTTGGGATAACAATACCTAAACACCCTGGGGTTAACTCAACTCACACACCTCTCCCCTACCATCTGGACTATTCTAGCCTATTCTAATCTGTTTCAATTTTTACCATTTTTAAATCTTGTATTACAGATTGGCAGAAAGACTGGTTGTAAAAGAGGTAAAGTTTGTCATTCTCATAGCAGTTGATTAAACATGATAGTGCTACTATATTTAATTTAGTAGTTATTCATCAACTATTAACAGCTTTTTTGTAGCTAGCTCTCCCTGAGTTTTCTTTTTGCTTCTTTTCTGAAGTACTATCCAATCATAGCCAAAAAAAGTCCATTTTTGAGGAATGAACTGTACAACTATTATCTTGGAGGAATAGAAGATATGGCTGCTTGGACTCAGAGAATATGGAAACATATCACTTATGTTCTTGAAAATGGATACAAGTTAGTAGCCCATTGAAATTTTCTGTATAGATATAGATGATTTTTACAAGTAAATAATTATTAATTATCATATACCCATGTATATTGTAAAAGTATATTGCAGTTACATTTTTAAAAAAAATGTGCTGGTATTTTTTTTTTAGGAACTGTGATATGAATCATAGCCCATTGCTTATCAGATGTAATCAAACTGCTAACACTAACATACAAGGGGAGAAAAGAACAACCTCATTCAGAGGATCAGTAATTAAGAAAATGTATGATAACCTACTAGCCTCTACAAGTTTCAGTTTTAAGGATATAATTGTTGAGTATAAACATGGCGGCGTTTACTTGAGACCATCTTCAAGTTTGCAGGTTTGTTTAAGTTCATGATATATTTTTAAAAGTTCTATTTGTAATTTTGAATTGTTGTATTAAAATAAAATTTTAAATCTCATACTTAAGGTTCAAGGTTAAATATGAATACATTTTCAGAAGCCAATGTATGCCTTATTACTATCATCAAAAGTTTTCAGTTTAAAGTTTATAGAAAAAGATAACATTTTCCTAGATTTATTTTGTTCAGTTAGATTTAGCTTTGGCCTACCAATCATTAAAGATAGTACTTTTCCGAAATGATACCAAAAAGAAACACTAATCATAAGTTGGTTTTCTTTTTTTGTAGGAAAAAATATCGAGTCTTAATACAAAGAACACAGAGAGAAAAAAATCCAGTTTTGTTGAATTTCCTAATGCAATACTTACAATAGCTGCAAACTATTCCAAACTAGGAAGGTTAGGATTTGTCTTTTATAAAAGTAAAATGATTACTTTTTATAATATTTTTATAACATTCAGTTCTCATAAATCTATAGTCCCTATAAATCATACATGCTTCTAACTTGATAAAATCAATGCTATACATGAATTCAAAATTTGCAATAGTTATAAAATTTTATGTCCATATAACTGCTTATGATTTATTTATTTCCTAAACTGTTGACACAACTTAAAAAACTGCTGTTACTTTTTAGTTCCTATGCTGTTGCTGATCTAAACAAAGATGGGAACGATGATGTTGTGATTGGCTGTCCAGGATGCATAGATCCTGACACAAAGAAGAAAACAGGGATAGTATTTATTTTATATGGTCAGTATCAGAAGATTAATTGAATTTATAAAATAGCTATCAGTACATTATCAGGGAAACAACAATATTCATTTCCCCTTCCCCCCTCCCCCCCCTCTTTCTTCTGTGTTAACTGCATTTACTACATTCTACATAAACTGTTAAATTATTCAAAATTAAATTAAAATCTGTTGTTTAGAAAAAAAAAATGTGTAGTTTTTTTTTGCACAGAAAGAAGATTATTGTTAACTTAGCTAGACTTTACCTTAGGTATCAATTTGTGTAAAAGAAATAAAAATTGAGTATATTTTAAAATATAGCTCTTTGTGCTTAAAAATAACATTAAACTTTCTATTTAATTTATTTTAGGTCATATATACAAGGCAATAAATGCCAATTCCTGTTATCCCCCTTATTTCAGGAACTGATCAAGGGTTAAATCTATCAACAACTGATATTACAAAAGCTGCCCATTTTAAAATAATAGGCCCACTGGATACAACCAATGTAAGTATTTGACTTTAAGCAACTTTTAAATCTTGTTTGTATGTTTGTTTAACTTTTAGTTTGCAAACAAGTAGATTTATTTTTCAGTTTAAGACTTTAAAGGTTTTTTTTTTTGTTCAGTCAGAATTTGGTCAGTCCCTTGCCATTTTTGACCTTGACAAGGATGGGAATCTGGAGATAGCTGTTGGTGCTCCCAGTTTTGGGTCAGAAAGCCTAACATACCTGGTAAGTTAACATGTAGAGTTGTGATGGATTGGGTGTTAGAATTACCTACATGTAGAATATGATTTTTCATATGGAAGATATTTGCTGGTGTGTACAATTGTTTAATATATTTTTTTCTTGTTGATTGTTTGGTTGGATGGTAAATTTAACAACACATATATTGTTTTCAAGGGCAGAGTTTACTTGTACTCTTCAGCCAGTGAAGGAAGTTTTCTACTTAGAGGTACAGTTGATTGTCAGGTAGGCAGAATATAATTGATGAAATAAATATTATTCATGTTGTTATGTTGCCTTCATTAAAGGCATTTTCAATAAAATTATCTTATATCAATAATAATAATTATTATGTTAAACAAAGAGTATTAATAAAAGTAAAAAAAATATTCTTACTTGGACAATTAAAATGTTTTTTTTTCAGTTACTTTTTTAATTATATTTTGGTTTCCTTTGCAGGACAAATATTGCACTTTAGGAGCAACACTTAAATCTGCAGATATAAATTCTGATCATTATAGTGACCTCATTGTGGGCTCACATTATGCCCCTTGTGGTGGCGTGCAGAGAGGAATGGTGGGATTTGTTCAAGCTGACAACAAGTATGCAGGTACTATTTTAAATTTTTAAAAAAAGACACAGCATAAAAATTTAGCAATAAAATTTTTATGCTGTGTCTTTTTTTTAAAAACTTCAGACTTTGTTTATACATTGCTATTTATATCAAATGCATGATAAATTTATAGGATAAGCCATGGGGTTAAAAAATAGTAATTCACCCATGTAGGTTATCATTTTTCCTCTATTAATGTCTTATTATTTATAATGTTTAGTCATTTAATAATATAATTTCAATACCACTTTCAGGCAAAACTAACCTGGCATTAAGTCCTGAAAATATTTTATGTGGTAAACAGGTAAGTCAGACTACTGTTAATTTACTTTACATTTTTTCTCTGATGTTTTTAGCGCAATTTCCATACGGACCATTGCGATTATTAACTCGTTCTGGATGGATGTGTGTCCGATGTGTGTCCGCAGCTTTAAGTCGTATCTCCTCCTCAACGAAGCAATATCGAGGACTAGTTCCAAAAGCAAATATGTTAAGCAAGTTCCGAGGATGATTGTGGGCCAAAAAAATTCCCGGAATTCCTTCCTGGATTTCCCGGAAAAGCCAAAAAACATCGAAAAAAAGCAGTTTTTGGCCCATATCTCGGCAACCAGACCACTTGGCGACTTGAAACATTTACCAATCGATTTCTGCCATAATTTAGAACAATATTGCCAAAGAAAGTTTTCAAAAATATCCTTTCGTTTGGTCACAAAAAATTAATTAAGGAAATTGCGCTTAAATTGTCACTATTAACTTGTTTTGTCTATTATTAATACTATACCATGGAAAAAATTATGGGTCCTTTCCAAATTTTAATTTGTATTATGATTTCCTACTTTAATTGTAACTTTTTGTCTAGGATTTTGGTTGGTTTGGTTACAGTGTAGCTGCTAAAAACGTGCCCAATACAAATGTAACCATGTTAGCAACAGGAGAGCCAGGAATTAGGAAATGTGCCAGGTAAAGAAAAAGAATATTGTCTAAAAAATAAATTTACTACAGTGATAGGCATGACATTTTGCTTTTTTCAAATATTAAATTTTCAGAGTGTCATTTCAACTTTAAAAAATAAGTAAACTCATTTTAAAAAATAATTATTTCTTTGTTGGTATTTTAATTATGTAATGAGCAATTGTTTGGTTTTACAGAAGTTAAAATTCTGCTAATGAACATGTGTAATATAATTTTAAAACAAAAAATTTGCTTTACAGTACACGCCTTTTTTTTTTCTCAACCAGATCAAATTGTTCATTGGATCCAACAGATGTTCAGGCTGTAGGACAAACCCGTCTGAATAGCCTAGTGGATGGGAAACTCATGCCAGGGGCAGTGATAGTTGGGGTCCAACAGTTTCAGATGATGGGTGGTCAGGTAGAGATTGGTCACCCCTTTGACAAGACTTCCCAGATTCTTGCTGTGACTGCTCTTGGACAAGGTGAATGATTTTGGAAAAAAAACAATTTATATAAATGATTATTCAGTATTATGAAGAAATTCAAAAAGGTTGAATAACAAACAGTTTTACGGATGATTGAAGATACCAATGTCCAATAATAGACTCTTCCAAAAATAGTTGTGTTAGGTTGTTAGTAGTATTGTTTCTCAACTAATTTGATGGTTAGAAATAAGTCTTAGGACTAGGGTTGGGGGTATGGGATAGCAAGCTGACATTAGCAACCTGTGTGATTTTAAACTACAAGTAACCTAACACCCTTTTTTAAAAAGATTCTATTATTGGACACTTGTAATAAAAATCCCCCATTTTTACTTGGATTTAATGGTTGTGAATCTTGCTTGATATTGTTGTATTCTAAGCATATTTTTCTATTTAATTTCTAGAGGTCACTGGTCACCTAGCTGACTTTGACCTTGACATTCACCAAGCAGGAAGTGTACTCCTCTTCAACTGGTCTGACCCCAGCCAACCAATCACATACTTTAAAGGGGACAGAAAGTTTGGAAACTTTGGTGCCCAACTCAAGGTAAATCAGAGCCTTGCAATACTCTATGTTATAATAATTTCAGAATACAAATCAGTAGCGTAGCGAGGGGGGCACATATGTACCCGGGCGCCGACCTTAGGGGGCGCCAAAATGGGTTGGAAAAAGGCTGAGGGGGTGCAAATCGAAATCTTGAGGAGGGGGTGCAAATCGAAAGTTTGAAGGGGGGGGGGTGCAAATTGAAATCTTGAGGGGGTTGCAAATCAAAAAGTTTGGCACCGGGAAGGGTCGCTACGCCTCTGATACAATGTTAGTTCATTGATTCCATTCATTAAAAGAAGTGATTCATTTTACTGTGAAATATGAAACAATATTTAGTTCACAGATTTAAATAGAGATGGAATTGATGACCTTATAATCAGTGCTCCTGTAAGGACAGAGGACATCACTGAGGAGCTTGAAGGAGGTTTGTGAGAGCTGATTATTCTTGCATTCAGGTTGAAATAACTTTGTACTTATCTATACCTAGTGGTCATTGCTTAGGGTGTCACATGAGCTTTTAAACTTTATTTTTTGAGATCAACTTAAAACAGTTTAAAACTGGGGTTGTTAAACCAAGTTCCATAACCAAAGTAACTCAATGACCTAGAAAATTCTGTTTTTAAAAAGAAATGAACGGCTACTATGCTTAAATTATTCCTTTGTAAAGCTATGTTCACTTTTCTCTCCATTCCCTTGTCATGAGCTCAGACATATCTCACATAATTGTCATCTGCTGTAGTTTGTTCTTTTTAAATATAATTGGATAAATACATAAAAAATAAGGAAACAAAGGTGGCTGGGCATAGTGCTTAGCATATTACCCCTTCATACCCGAGGTCATTGTAACAGATGAACTCTACTTCATCTGCCCCATGTGTCTTGGGCATAAACAGGAAAAGATGATGACACAGCAGATGGAAAGTACAACTAACACTAAACAATCATATATATAGCCTGATTAGTATCATTTTAGACATTGCAAGATGAAAACTAATTAAAGTATATATTGTTGAAATGGTCATGCAACTTTGTAACTAAACAAAAATACGGCTTGGTATAACTATCAAGGTGGTGGTTTTTTTAAAAAGTTGGTTAAAAAACATCTTACATGGCTAATTGTTATGTGTATTGTTCCATTTCACTACCCACACCTAACTTAAGTCTAATTCTAACCTCAGCCTTATCTTTTTAAATACACTTAAATGTATCTAGCTATTTATGTCAAGCAATGATAAAAAAAATGTCATTATATAATTGCTCATGTAAGTCTTTCATGGTTGCCAAAATAAATTTCTCAGTTTGTTAGCAACTCTTGCATGGCTTAACTTTTCAGTTTCAAATTAATAAAATATTCAGTTAATATTAAATAATCACTATACAAGGATTATATTATTTTAAGTGACTGACTGGTTATTTTTATACCTCTTTTAGCTCAACAGGGTCAAGTCTTTGTGTATATGGGTGGACCAAATTTCCCAAAAGGTGATGCCACATCCAAATGTGATGATAGGTTTATGCTAGACCCATGTCCAGGATACAAGGTGGTCTTTCTTTTAATTATTTTTACAATTTAGCATTTGTTGTTTTATGGACATATACTTTTTTGTTTACAATTTATTTAATGGAGTGCAAAATCATGTTAACTTAATGACATTACTAAGGGCGGATGGGCAAGAGGGGGAGAATCTACCTTTTTTTTCTTCTCATAATAGCAAATACAGGGAATTAGTCGTGGATACAAAAAATAAAGCTGCTGTCATCTGTGCAGCCCAATTTATGGCAGGATTAAGTTCATCCCCTCTGAATTATTTTTCTGGTTTAATAGAGCTCTTCATTGTTGAAATAACTCTTATTTTCTCAATAGACTATTTATTAACAACCTGTACATTTTAAAAAAAATGCATTTTGACCTATTCTTTTAGTTGAAATGATTTTAACTCAATAATCCATCATACTTTCTTTTTGCTTAAACAACAGACTTTAGAGCTAAATCAGTATTTTAAAATAAAAATAAAAAACTCTGCTATTGACAGGCAACCAAGGTACTGGAATTTGAAGAGGATAAAGCCAGGTTTGGTTCCAGGATGGCTGTAGTTAAAACCAAACTTAAGGTGACTAATACTTCATTTCTACTGCTTGTGCATTGAAACAGAAGGGAATATAATACTACTCAATTATAAGAATGTTGATGTAAACTTTAAAAAAACTTTTTTCCCCTGATTTAGGTCCAGCTACTTGTCACAGCTGAGCACAGCTCAAAAGGTGGCAGACTGTCAGGAGCTATTGGCGTTTTTAATTTTTAAATTATTTAGAAAATAATTTTTAATCAAACAATTAAACCATTTAAAAAGTGTTTTAAAAAGTGTAAGAACTAGTTATTAAAAAAAGGCCTTGTAAAAAAAAAATTTCACCTTTAATTTCTTGTTAGATTTACATAAAAAATTATTTTCCTTTAACTATACAAGTGCAAACCATTTGTCTCAATTTCTACTAAAAGCACTTCTTGTTAAAATGAATTTTTAAATGTATTTTACTGGTGTAAAAGTAATAATTTGTTTTCATGTATCACTACATTGATGTTTTTGGAGTCCATTTTGTACTGCTCCAAAGACTTGGAGGAGAAGATGAGCAAGTCCTTAACTATTTTGTTACAAAAATGTATTGTGCAATTCTGATGTTTTTAATGCTATAGTTTTACTACCTAATTAAATGACAGTGAAGATGTAACATAGTCAGTAAAATGTGATACTGGTAATTTTAATTTTTCTATTTTCATTACCTACTTAATAAGATGACCTCTTCCTATAAAGTGTTTTATATATTTATGAATATATTTGTTGATTTAGATATTTACATTCCATTGTTTAAACTGTTAATAATTTATAAGTATTCATTTATAATTTATAACTAATTTGTGCTAATTTTGTTAATAAAAATTCTTAAATATCAAAACGTATATTAACTGTATGTAATTTATCATAGTAGAGTATTCCATTTATAAGGTTAAGAAACTTCATAAAGGGTTAAGCAAATTAAAAGCTTTGGGTATGACAGTTTTCATTTAACTTAAGAGCTATTTTAGAATCTGATTGATTTAAACAAAGTCAAAACAAGTTTAAAAAATTTTTTTATTATAAATAAAATGACTACAAAAATGTACAGTAATTTCTAACATGGTCTAAGTATACAATATAAAACACTATACAGTCCATTTTCTAAATAACTGTTCATCAGTCTTAGAGTCAAACTCTGGCTGAAACTGGACTTTGATAACTTCAGAGAAACCTTCAGAGGTTGTGGGCTCCTCAAAGTTCTTTTTAAATACATTGTAGCCTACATCAGGGATTCTTCTGACTTGGCCATTCGTTAAAGTTTGGCGATAAAGGTTGAGGTGGTGAGAGAGTTCATTTGGAGTCTGTAGCCAGAGACAACGACAGGGAACTCCTTTGAACAGAAAAAAAGCAATCAAGGGTTAACATAGCTCTGATGGGTACCTGACTTGTGTTAGGGAAACCACAACAGCTGAACTCTATCTGCCCAATGTGTCATGGGCAATAACAAAATAAGATAATCATAACTTAAGTTTTCTTGTCAATCCACTTAAAATAAAATAACTTATAAGTTTTCAATCTTTTGACTTACCCTTTTCCTTAGCCAGATTGATAAACTTGGCTCTACCATCTACTGAAGGGTTTGTATTATCAGAGACAACGCTCTTTCCTTTTTCCAAAGCTTCTTTTGCCATCTATAGAAACCAAAATCAGTAGTCAAACGTTCACATAGTTTTTCAACAAATATCAGTATTAAGGATAAAGGAAAGGGGGTCATTGATAAAGAATAAATTACACTCAGGTGGGGTTAAGAAATGTGCTAATTAATAATATTATGCATGTATATCTTATGAATACAAAGCACAAAAAGCATGTAAATTTGTATTAGAATTCTGTTTATTTTTGGAATAGGATGAAACTATGTGAAAAAATTTATGGAAGGGATCTAGCTTGATGGGGTGGGGTAAAAATCCTGCTAAAATTTTAAGATCATTTAATAAGGAAACTTTTAAAAAAACATTTTTTACCTTGACACATTTTTCCATTGTGCCTAGGGTGTCTCTGTTTACTGTGGTGTAGCCATGAGGCACTAAATAACGTTTTGAAAATGTGCTTTTACCAGATGCTGGCTGCCCTACCATCACAATCAATTCTTGCTTCTGGGGAAGAAGAAAAATTTGTTACGTGGGCTTTGGTATCTTATATGAGAGTCCTCAAAGCAAAAACATGTGTATTTGTTTAAAATATTATGCGGATCTTATGGTTAATCCAATGACTCTAATATAGTCCAACATAGAATTACAAAAATCTTACATGATTAAGTCAGTGAAGATCGAATAAATTATGATAAAAGGAAGTAAATTAGTAAGCAATAATTTAAAAAAACATGGCATATTACAGTAGTTTAATTTTTAAAAATAAAAAAAAAAACTTACAGCTAGCCTTTAGTATATTTGTGGGTTATAAATTCTAGCTAATTCATTGGGTTTTTTTTAGCTGTCATGTGACACTGGTTTTAACCTAATAATCACAGTTTGAACCTACTTTACTCGCATATGTGGTCTTGTCATGTACAGCTGGTGGGTTGGATGACAGAAACTTATTTGGATCCAGGGATCCCCATTGAAATGGAACATGCTTTTCTCCTAAGAAAAATTCTTCGGGTGTTGCAAATTCTGAAATTTTTTTTTGGAGGCTATAACATCAGTAGAAGAACATAAACCACAACAATTTTCAAAGTAATTGATGAAAAAATTATAAAGTTTCAAATATAAATGCCTCAGAAAATGGTCTTTTATATAATCAGGTGAATGATTAATAAATAACTCACTAATGCCAATGTTGGCAGCAAACATTCTGTCACTACAAGAAAAATCTTTGGGCTTGTCTTTGGCCCAGCCTTTCTTTCTGCCAGCAGCATCTCCTACATATATGCTCTGGTTCTTCTTGACCTAGGACCCAAATTAAAATTTATTAATAAATTAGTGAAGAAAAAAAAACATGCAGAAATATTTCCAGGGATTAGAAAAGTATTTATTTAAAGAATCAGTAGTTAGTTAACAAGAAAGTATAAATTTATATTAAATTCACAATTATTAACCTACATTTATCTAGTTAAAAGTGCCTTCTTAAGTAATTTAGTTTAAGGTTAAGTAAGGCCAATAAAAAGTGCTTCTATCAGAATTATTTTTTGTGAAGTTAGTAATTGTTTAAAATATATCTGAAGAAATACGTCTAATAATAAATTGTTATAAAGATATAATTATTATAATTGATTGATAGTAAAAACATTAATTATTATACCTTTACGCCCTTGTTACATTTTTCTTCAAAATAATCCCACATAGACGTACTTGGCTTTCTGTACTGGTTGTTTCCGGTACTTGCAAATACCTAGAAATAACATTATATAAATATATTTTAAAAATAAACAATGCTGAAATATATGCCACATTGATTTTAAATTATAAACGTTTATGGGACATCACACAGCCTTCAAGGGCGCAATTATAGTTATGTAAGTAAGAGGAAGGCGGGGTGTGTGGGGGGGGGGGGGGGGGGAGTGTTGTAACTACCGTCATAGAAGAAATTGTGGATAAAGACAACAATAATAATCAATATTCACAAATCTTTTGTGGTGTTGATAGTATGGGGCTCACTTATTTAATATTTATAATGTACTTTTCTTTGACGGAAAAATTAGGCATAGGTGTGGCCAGTCAAGAATTAATGGGGAGGCCACACTCATAACAATTTCGCATTTTTGATAATGGTGTCCATCCTTAAATTAATGCCCCAATAAATGGCAAATGGCGTATCTTGGTGCAGACAGTGTAGTGTATATGTGTATTATTGGGTAAAGAAATGTGTCTATTTCGTATTGCATTGTCATATTTAAAAAAATAGATAAAGAGGAGTAACTTTATATTATAATTATGTTTTCCGCTTTCCATACCACCACTGCACCGCTTTCAGAAATTATGCTACTTTTAACTAATATTAATATTATTATTAAGCCTTAAGGGTAGCTTGAAGAACATCTATGAGCTAGGACGATAAACCCAGTTGAATTAGCAACTTAACGTTTTCAAACGTAAAAAATAACAATTATTAGCAGAGCATATTCTCCAATCTACAAGTAGATCTACGTCAAATTGTCAAGTAGATCTAGATCTAGATTCTAGATCTAGAATCTAGATCTAGATCTAGTTATTTCTTGATCTAGATTCTAGGTCCTACTGCTCTATCAGTACCATCAAGACTATTTATTTTAATTTTGGCAAACATTTTATGTAACATTCTTGAATTAATACTTTAATACAAATCAATATCAAGCACTGATTAAACATAATTAAACCGCGGATTCTGGCAGGCCTACATTTGTTTGATCAAGGCGCTACCCTAATAATGACGTCACTAAAACCAGATATATGCTACCCTTACGTCAAACAAAGACCTACTAGAACGGGGATTCCCAGTTGTTTGAGGATATCTTCTATTTTGTCTTTGAAGCCTTCCGGTGTAACCTTCAGTTTTTCTATCCCTCCTTGGTTGGTGAAAAAAACGATCCGATGCCCATCTTTGTCAAGGGCTTTTAATTTTTCTGTCACAGAAGGATCCCAGAAAGTCCAGTCTTTAGGACCTGCAGATGGTGGTTAAGATTTTTGTAATACGCAGGAATGCGTGTTCGAGCTGCGCGCACATTTTAGTTTTGCTAACAGACAATTTTAGACCAGTTTCACATAGATCTAGCTTTATTTGCGGTGAGATACAGAATACTAATAACTTTCTTCTTGTTAATTATGTACAATAATTAAAAAAAGAATAAGTTTACATTGGAGATTGTGACTAAAAAGACCTTGATATATCATGTGTGAACTAAATTATTACATGACACATCGCAACTGAAAAAAAAACAACAACTCAATAGACGATGCGTGGGGCCGAAAGAGGAGGTTTCGTTTGACTTGTAACGAGGTATTTTGATTTTAATGAAGTTTTCAATAACAAGAAGATCTAGATTACATTTTCATATTATCGTGCTTCGCGGCATGTAAACGATTAAAGAAGATGGCACGTTTTCTGGCGGAAATAATAAAAGGGGGCGTTCTGATTAAAGAGCGTCAAATGACGTACATAATTTAAATAGTGATAGCCTCCCATATTGCATAAAACAACACGTGACCTATTTTTAAAAAGTTTAAAAGAAATCCATTAATTTAGAAAATAAAATTGATCAATAAGTATCAAGAATTTTAATTGAATTTTTGTTTGTTTAAAAATCTAGTTCTTTGAAGTAGCCTAGCTGCTTTTATAATGTAGGCTGATCTCCACATCCCTTTTATTTTATAGTATGTTTGGAAATTCCGCACGTGATAATTAAAAAGTACCTATGCCTTTATCTACATTCATAAATAAAGTTACTTCAACCCAACTACTACTAATCCAGCTAGGGCACTACCAACAAAATAATCCTAAGGTGTAAAATCAACCAAAATGTTTCACAAAATATAAACTCTAACACAAATCACTAGAAAATAAATATTAGAATTTAAAAAAATCCACATAGGAAATTACATTCATTTTTAATACTTGCCCCCCCCCCCCCCCAATTACGACAATTAGGGCCTATTTATTAAAAATTAAATAAGAGTATGCCTACCAAATCAAGTTATGATTTTAAACTACCGGTAACAAAATATAAGAAAAAAATATTTAAAATTATTAAAGTACCTGTGGCAAATTTGCGTCCGCTTGCTGTTTTTATTATTGTAAAATCTATATCAAAACTTGCTACTTTTGATCTTCCTTCTAGGCTATCCGAAGTCAACGTTATTAATAAAGGGCACACCCCTTTACTATCCGTACCCACATTCGACCAGTGCAGCCCATCACAAAGATCTGTTTCACCGCGTAACTTTTTAGCTTTAACTTCAGAATCAGTTACAGCCTTTCTTTTAGGTCGGGACGACATGTTGCTGTGAATCCTTCTTAATCTTTTCCGCTACTCTAGCACGAAACGGTTTATATACTAAATTTCAGTACTTCAAAAAGCTAGAAATAGACATGGAATGGCCCTGGCAAGTCCAAACAAGCAATTATATGACGTCATATGTAAACAAGGTTACCTCCGCGAAGCTAGGCCTAACATTGAGGGCAACCCCATGATTACGTCGATTGGTGACCTCTTTTAGTGCGCCATCTGGTGTTAAAGAGAAAACCTCCGCTTTTTCTCTAGCCTATCGGTTCTCCCACCCCCCATCGCTATACGTATACCTATATATTGATTTATACTATTCTTTATAACTCTAAGATAAATAACATTGGTGGTAGGTTTACAAGATTTACAAATGATGTTTATCCAAAAGCGTTTTTGAGTAGCTTTATTGTAAAGAACGCGTTACACACAACGCCTACTTTATTCCATTAAAACTTATACACACGTTAAGTAAAATTAAAAATGCATTTCATCATCGGAAACACATTTGTAAAAGATTATGGAAGTTTAATAATATAATATAGTATAATTTTTCTGAATAAGTGCACTAAAAAAACGAGTGTGCTGTTTGAAATAATTTGCGCACTTTGTTCTTATACGTGGGATGATGAAATAATTATAGTATTTTCAAAAAGAAAATATTCTAAATTTAAAGACTAAATAACGATTGTAAACAAATATTAGTATTATTACTTTTTAAAATCAAAATGCATTTTAAAAAGTTTTCGAAATTGTTAAATTGTCGGTCAATCGCGCGTCCTTAATACTCAACCTCACTCTCTCCCAGAATTCTGTCGGCTATTGCGCATGCGTTTTGGAACTATTGCAAATGGCGGCACTTGTTATTGTTCCATGGCGTTTATGATACATGGGAATAAATAACTATACTTGGACACCTTATTAGGTAAAAGTTATTGAATTAATAAATATCTTTTGAATTATTTAGCTCACCATAGTTTATTTTGGGGTAAATTGCGCCATTATTATATAAAAGATAGTCATAGCACGTCGTACCATAGCGAGCCTTTTCCGGCCATGGCTGCAAATTTTGCCAGCAAGGCCGACCCGAAAAGATACAAATGATGCTTACTTTAAAAAAAAAATTAATAATAAAAGTGCCTCTTTTTCTTTAAGTAACGCTTTTTGTTTGTTTCACACCGGCAAACTTAAAAGTGAAACACAATGCAATACTTTTTATTTACATCAGCCAAATTAAGTATTAAAACGTAAAAAAATAATAAAGGTGTTTTGAGTGTGACCCATTTCCAAGTTTTACAAGTAGATTTAGTTTTAACAGCACCATAAGAACATTTAGATCTAGATTCTACTCTAGACAGTGTGTTTTTGAAATCATCCTTCTAGATCTAGATGTTAAGCTATGCTTTTTATATTTTATGAGTGTTAAAATGATGTAGTCTAGTATTTTTTTCAGTTAAATCATAAAGCCACTATAATAGATTGGTATGTTTAAGAATACAATCAATTCATATTCATCACATCCCAATTTTTAACCTAAGAGATTGAAGCCATTGCCCCTTCAGTGCTGTACAATTTGTAATTTACTATAAATCCAGTACATAGGCCTATATCTATCATTTGTATTAAATAATATAATATAGTAGGCCTATACAACTTAAATATATTAGGCCCTAAGTAAGCTACCTACACATTTAAAATAAATCAGTATTGCTGTGTTTTACTTGAATCAAGTTTTTCTGTAGGTGCTAAAATATTGTTTCAAGAATTTTTCTGCTGTCATATTCCCAATCAGTCTTAGTGCCAAGGCTATTATTATGGCCTGGTTAATGCTAATGATGCCACAAAAAAATCTTTGGTTTGGTATAATCCTGATGATGTTAAAATAAGTATTATAAAATGTTGCTAACTATTCATTTATTTAACAAGTAGGTCTATAGTACAAACTAGGTGGTGAAAAATTAATAGCTAATTTTAAGTTTGTGCTCCTAAATTGACAGAGATGTCAAACATCATAAATGAAAATATAGGGTCTAGTCTTAAAATAAAAATAATTTCTGTGAAAAATTTATTTTAATTTTTACTTAAATAATTGAAATAGGCATATTTCAGTTTAAATTTTAGTATTTTTAAAAGTGTAAAGATACTCAGAAGACTAAATGCTCTTAGCCCATATCAACAAATAATATGGTGCCTTTTAACCAATCTGTGTTATATTAGCCTCAGTGTGCTGTAACTTGTTGAAGGAAACAAATTTTCTTTTCTTGAAGTTTAAAAGACAATTGTTTTATATTTTTGTTGTCTTTCTTATCAATATCCCTTTATTGCTAATGACACATCTTGTTTAATTTTAAAGGGGATTGACTTCTGTTCTGTTATTAACATTTCTGTTTTGATGCATACTGTTTAAATAAAAAGCATTGTTTATTTATGATGTGAAAAATCTCAGTTAAAAGTATGTGGTTGAATAATTTAACTAAACCACTAGTAACTTTTTGAATGCAGAAAAAACACTCAAGTATTACTGTGATAATAAATTTCAGATTTTTAACATTGTTTCCTATTTTAAGTTTTAAAATTTCAAAACAACAGAACAAAAATGAATCCTTTTCAAATTGTTGGTCCAGGGGACATAATATTGATCTGTTTCTATGGCCCCAATATGTGATAAGATTTTTTTCTGTTGAAAAACATTAATTTTCATACCAAAGTGTGCTACATGTCAGAGTGGATATAGGTTGTCCTACAGAGTGTACATAAGCCAGTAAAGTGCATAATTGCCAAATTACTAGTTGCCAAATGTTTCTGTTAGAATGGTTAGACAAGTTTAACTATTGCTTACCAGCTAAAAATAAATAATATAGACAGTGTAAGAACTTAACATAATATTGTATTTTTGGCTGGCAGGGTTGTTATATTTACAAGTGTATCTATAACTGCTGTGATTATTGTTCACTTTTTGTGATGTAAGAATTTTATAATAGTAGTTAATTTATTAATCTAAAAAAATCTTAATATTTTCAGGTGTGCGTCTAATGGATGGCGCGATGGGTCAGGAGGAGGATGTCGTGGAAGCTGTACTAACATGTGATGGGGACTTCCACGACCCAGACTTAAGTAGTCGAATAGAGAAGTTTAGACATAGGCTGAAGGATTTGTTATTAACAGGTAGCTAATTAGATATTATCTTTGTAGATTAAATTGTTTTTGTTAAATAATAGGCTAATGGTTTTATCACAAGGTTTATCTTGCCTTTTAAATGTATACTTTTATTTTCTCAGAAAAACAAAAGCTGCTCATTAAAAAGGTGGAACCGTGGAATAGTGTTAAGGTAACACTGACCATTCCAAGAGAAGCAGCCAGCCGACTGAGACAGCTGGCACACAATGGCAATGATGCCCTCAGGCAGATGGGCATTCTATCTGTCCAGATTCAAGGAGATTCACAAATTTCATTGACCTTTGCGGGTCGCAATAATGAACCTACAGAATTTGTGTTGCGCACACCTTCTTCTTTGCAGTTAAGCTCAGCTACTACAGAGCCTAGTTGCCCTGTACCAAATGAGCTAGCTACTTCACCAGGCCCTAGTAATGACGAGGTGACCAGAAAAAACATAGTAGACTATCTGAGACACGGATCATCTGTTGGCCAAAACCCATCTCTGTTTGAAACTATAATGGGTGTAGGAACTTCGCCAACCTCGGGACTTGGAATTGGTCTTTCTCCAAATGCGTTTCAAGGACCTCATATCCCTTCATTCAGACCAAATAATATTGCCAGTCAGACTGTGCAAAACCAAACACTCAGAGGATCTCGCAACACATTTTCTTTCACTAATTCTACTGGAGCTTTTCACCCACCAATTCCTCGCCTTCCTGCCTCTGCAGGTCAGAGTTCAGCAACTAAATCGACACACAACTTCCAACCAGGCAACCGCCCCATAGGGCAGATAGTCACTATGGGTCAGGCAAACAATTCACTTCAGCAGACGCTACAAACTAACATCAGCAGTTTTAATCCAGTTGGACCTTTAAGACTATCAGCTCCTTTGAGTCCAAGCTTTCATTCCCAGACTTCTCTGGTGCCACCATCTTCTCCAACATCAAATATGATGTTGGATTTACCACCACCACCTCCATACCCTCATAGTGTTAATAGTTCTAAGCCAGGAAAACCAGTTACTGCTTCCAGTCCTTTGTTAGTTAATCTACTACAAACTGATCCACTGGCAGTAGCTGCAGGTATGGCTAGTGGGAATCCAAATAAACCTTTAACAGTTGGTGATTCTGGTGGACCACCGCCTAAGAAAAAGAAGCGCTCAAAGAAATCAAAAGACTTGAAACCAGCTTTCCCCCCTCACTTGATTGCTAATACTGGTGTAGAATTATCAAGAGGGATGCCCAGTGTGCCTAATGACAATGTGACGGTAACATTATCGCCACAGTTTAGAGACACTTATTCTCTTGATCTGGTTCCGTCAAGGACTGGAATACTTCCTACTAATCACATACCTAATTCCTCAATGCCAAGTTTTCGTCCTGACAGTAAACCATTGTTTTCAACAGACCGTCCGTTTGGTGAGAATCCTGCAGATGTTCCTTCTACAAAAATTGACATTAGTAGAAATGGAAATAACAGCTCGCAAGTTTCTGATTCAGCAAAGGATTTGGATCCATTTACTGTGGAAATAGCAGCTGGAAAGATAATCAATCCTTACACTGGTCAGTTAGAACCAAGGGACAGTCTTGTCGATTCAGGGCAGCCAAACCATACTTCACAAATGATAAGTAGGAATGTATCAGAATTAGAGGAATTGAACAAAATGAGTGTGCCTATTTGTTCATCCAAAGCATTGGATGTACATGCTACTGCTGGCTTTGTTCGCTCAGGAGGGCAATTACAGATGGCAGGTGATCGGATATTGTCTAATCCTATTCGTTATTCAGTCAGTGAGGAATCTACAAGCTCGTCATCTAATATCTATGCAGTGACTCCATGGCAGGAAATAGCTAGTAATGTTGAAGAATCATTACCTAATTCATCTGTGAGAAATATTTCTAAAAGTAATGTACATCAAAGGAACACTGTATCTGGCCCTGTGAATGGGCCCATTTTAAGTGGACATGTTGTTCCATCTCAGCAGGAATCTAAAGATTCATCTTGTTCTTCTGGATCTATGATTTACACTAGTAGCTCGTCTACATCCCAAACTGTTTTTTCTCAACCTCAGACACATCAGATTGTTTCAGTAACACCTGGCAATGAAGAATCTTCACAGATATTATCTAGACCTTTGTCTTCTTTTACTTCACTCCATTCTGTACAGTCATCTTCACCTTCTTTGGTCTCATTCTCCAACCAGCAGAAGCAGGCAGCAAGCTCTGATGCAGTTCAAGCCACAAAGTATGGCTCTTCTCATTTGCTCAATTCTTTACCTGAAAAACATATTGACTCTCAAAGTAGCACTGAGAGCCCACCTGAAAAAATGTCATCTGAAGGAGAAGAAAATTCCAACCACAGTGGCTTAGCTGCCGACTCTGTACATTCTGGTACAACGACCCTACTAGAACATAGTGGTGTTAAAGTTGAAAATCATGACTCTGGGGTTGGTAGCTCGTCAGAGAGGTCTGATGATACACCATCAGAACCTGGTGATAGTGAGTTTCGTTCTAGTCACACTGGAACCGACAATGATGAAGGAAGTGGCAAAACGCAGCCACCCAAAACAGCCCCCACTAAAGTGGATATAAAACCTACAGTGACAAATACAATAACAGTTGGGTATATAATGAATCCAGGTGAAAACACGTTACAGACGAAAATTATCCACCCTAAGTATAGCAGTCAAGTAAATAAAACATCCTTAGTGACATGTACTCAAACGTCGACCAGTTGTGATATTACACGCTTGTTGGACACACATAAAATATCAATGGAAAATAAAAGTGTTGTGCAGACAAGTGGGCAGCAGATAAATTGGGCTTCTCATCTTCATGACAGTTATATAGGGAAATTAAAAGATGATTTAAAGGTAAGTAATGCAGGTATTGAAAGCTAATTACTTAAAGACTCTGTGCGCCAACATCTAACTATATATGGGTAATCCATGGTGACTCACCTTGCTTTTTATCCTGGTGTTTAGATCAATTCTAGCCATAATATTGTAATCGTGATGTTGCTAGGAAGATGGTGTGTGGTTTTTATTTTTGAAATTACTAAATATTATTATAAGAATACAACCTCTATAATTATATTTTGTGCAAAAATATGTCAGTGGGTATTTTAATAAACTTTGCAAAATGTAATACTAAAAAAACCCTTTCCCTCAAATTGGATATTGATTTAACTGGAACCATTAAAATTATCAATGGGTTTAAACATTATGTATAAACACATTAATTGGTTTTGGGAAACGAATTAGCAATATTAGTTTTGGATACATGCCACTTGGCAGTTTTTTCATGCTGCTAAAAAGATCTTCACATGTGTCCCTTAATTAAAAGCTCAGTTTAATTACTCTAAGGCTAATTTTATAATTATTTTTTTGTCTTTAAATATCTTTTATTTTTCCTGATCCATTATTCATAATTAGAGACTTTTTTTTTTAGTTTTCTTAAACTAATTTTGTGTGTAAGAAATAATTTAGTAGGCTATATTGCATTTGTTTTGGTTGCCTCAGTTTTCTGTAGATGATTTGACATAATTAGCTAGTATTGACCTTTCATTACTTTCAATCTACATTTTACATATAATTAAAGAGTAAGTTTTAAATTGTTTGATAATGAAGTGTGTGTTGTTAGATACCTAGTATAACCAGCTCTTTTGGAAATTTGCAGAAGTAAAGGACCCTATAGTGGCACCTTATAAAAATGGGGTTGAAAAGTAGGACTCATTGAGAACCTTTTAAATAGCTCAAACAAAATAATGCCAGACTAAAGGCTACTGGCCATATGTCATAAAAGTAACAACCTATCCTTTGCTAAAAGGACCATTACAATATAGCCCCTAAAAGTTTTCTGCTAATGATAACCTAGCATTAGTGTATTGTGAGTTTAATACATTGCAATGGTAAGTCACTTTACAGTAGGATTTGAAGAGTAGTGTTACTTAGTATACACAATTAATTTAGTGTATAGTGATAAACAAGTCTATTATCCGGAACTTGAAGGCAATATTGATGTTTTTTGACAGGGTTATTTATGAAAATAAATGTTTATAATCATATAATATATAAACTAAACTTAATTACCCCATCAGGTCTTAACTGATTAAAATAATAAATGTTGTTTTGTCTTGTCTAATGGTTAAAAAATTAGTTTGCATTAATTTTACTTTGCCTAAGCAAGCAGATTAATTTAGACTACTTTATTGTGGATACATGATAATATTTTGTTGAGATACCAATGAAATATTTGCTCAATCCAAAACTTAAGTTATACAATGGAGGTTGTAAAAAGAAACAGTTGAGAAACTGCTAATGTTTCATTTGTCAGATTTTGAGTTATCAAAATTGAAAACTTGACAATTATGCATTAACATTAATGCATTCCTCATTGTAAAGTACTTAAAAAAATTATCAGTGACATTATTAGTTTCTTGAGAGTTAAGAATAAAAAGTGAGCCTGATTCATTTTCTTTACATTACTGTTATGAATATTTCAGTATAAACATTTAAAACTATTTCACCATCTTTAATGTCTCTTTTAAAGGAAGCGTCATAGCATGCATATGTATGTTATAAACATGCTTCATTTTTAACACTTGGAAGTATATACATATATCATAAACTAAATTTAACATTTTTTTCCTCTAGGGTGATATCCATAGTCAAAAAATGAATGGTCCAACAGGAACTACAGACAAGACATTGATTGCTATAAATGAAACAACACAACAAAAAAAGTTAAGGAACTCGCCTAAACAAAATAGTAAGAAAGGTATGAGTTTTGCAACCCATTCAGTTTCTTTTTAAAATCAGTGTAACAAGTTGGGAAAAGTAATTGATACATTCCCTTAAATAGTAGAAACTATAAATGCTTAATAAAATATAACATCAATTTTATTTTGCCTTGAGTAAGTTAATGATCATTTTTCTCTATAATGAAATGTTTACCATTTTGAATTTGACAATATTCACATTAGCCATTTTAAAAAAAAATTCTTTTTTGGACAAATTTTTAAGAATTTTTTTTTTTACCATTACCAGTCTCTTTTTGGACTTAATGTGTTAAGGGTTTATTTATCATTTATGATGGTTATTTAGAAAAAAAAGTTCCTTATTTTTATCAACTGTAAGACTATTAAAGAATCTCTAAATTCTGATAACTTTTGTTCCACATTTATTTGATGCTTTGTGATGTCATTAAATATAAGGATATAACTAAATTATATTCAAAGTACTTAGCTATTTGCACATTTGTTTGAAACATTAGTACTAATTAATTTTTCTTTCACAGCAGATCAAATTAAGCTTGAAGATGATGTTTTAGAGACAAAACTTCAGCAGTTTACAGAGTCTGCTAAAATATCTCCTGCAAATAGTTCTGAGCACAGTGATGCAATGGAAACACATACACGGGAAGAAAGACCAGATCATCTAATTTTAGAAATGGAAGAGTTGGTCAATGGGAAGACAGGCAATGGGAACATTGGAATGGAGGGCAAAGGAGGGAACAACATCACATCTATTTATTCTAAAAGATCTTCCCCAGTGAATGTGAACATGTTGAATCATATATATGCTCCTGGTTTACCACTTCCTCGTCGCCTCACTGAATCAGTCCAGAGGGTGGTCAAACCTTTGCCTGCATCAGAATCTTCAGTTGCTATGCCTCAGGTTCGACCATGCAAATCATCATCTGCAGGTGGTTCCCCAAGAGCTGGGTCTGGTTCATCTCGCAGCTGTATTCAAAGTGGCACTCGCTCACCGGGTGCCAGTGTTCCCAAATTAGTTGCCCATGACAAACATTCGCTTTTATCAGGTGGCTTAGACCTTGCAGGACTTTCTAATTTTCCAAGCAGTGAAAGTAGCTTTATTCACTGCAAAACTGTGAACTCAGTTGATTCAAAAACTCTGCAAGCTAGTGAGCTGTCTCCCTCTAAACTTTTGGACACAAAATGTTATTCTGGTAAAATGTTGTCACAAAGCTTTCCTCCTCATAAATCTAGGGACAGTGTTTTTTCTCGATCAAAAAATGATAGCACTCAAGATTCAAGGTTAACAATTTGTTGGAGTAACCATGTCACAACAGACAGTTCTGCAAGCAGTAATAGTAATAGACAAGAAGCAGCTTCTGATACTGCCCATTCCACAAAGGACAATAGTACAAGCCATTCCAATGCATCTTCCCCATTAATGCCTGTTTTGCAGCGGGCCCAAGAGCCATTGTTAACTCCCAGCATTTCTAGTCAACAAACCTCTATCAGCTCACCACATATTGGCAGCAGTGCACCAGCGTTAGCACTCCATGTGCCTTATGCCATTAGCACAATGAGCAACTCTACTTGTAGTTCTCCTGGACCATTGCCAACTTTATACCCCATGTCTATCACATGCACAATGTCTGGTGGAGCTGACACTGCTTTGGTTACATCAACAGGGAGCATTCTACCAGAACTGTGTGCTCCTCCCAAGCTAACTAAAATCACTTTGCCTAACACGCCAACATCTCATTCAACTAGAAATATATTTGAAAGTGTATCAGGGAGCTTAACAAATGACAAGCTTGATGAGGGTATTCATTCTATTGGCCCATTGTTGACCTTAGAAAGCCAGTGGAACCCAATGAAATCTGATTCATCTAGCAAGCCACACTCAGACAACGTTGATGTTGCTAATGAGACTATAACATCTGTGTCCTCTCATACATCTCTAACAAAAATTAAAGAACCAATTTTGGAAACCATTAGTTCATCATTAGCAACAAGTTCATCTTTGTCTGTGAAGGAGCCAAAATTAGAAACAATCAGTTCACCAGTGACCACCCAGTCATCTGTAACTGTTACAGAAGTGAAACCAGATACTGACAGCACATCTGTCACCATCAGTTCATCAGTGTCTGTTAAGGAAACAAAGCTGGAATCTATAAGCTCGTCACTGGCCACCCATTCTTCTGTGTCTGTAGTTAAAGATCTTTTACCAGAGACCAAAGCTGCTATTTCTTCATTTGTTGCCAGCTCAGCAGAGGAGCACGGAAAAAATGACAAAGATATGGACAGTCCAATGGTAACAATTCAGAGTAAATCATTGGAACATGTTACTCGATCTCAACCTCACTCCGATTCTCATTTACTCAACAATGATTCCCAGCTGCCTTTGGACTCTGAGGGATCTGTTAGGAGGGTGACCAGAAAAAGAAAGTCCACACACAGTGAAGGAGATGGTCAGTCTGATGCACCTGCAGAATTGATACCTGTATCAACTATCAAGTCCACTCCTAAAACACTAACATGTATACAAAGTGGTCTCACCAGTGTGAAAAGCAGTGCGCAACCTAAGACACCAATGTTGGGTAATGGTGTCCCATCTAAAGCAACGGAAGAGACCAAAACCATTCATTCTTTTACTGAAAAGAGAGAATCTGAGAACCGAAATTTGAGCTCATCCCTAGATCAATCGAAGGATATTCGCACACCTCGAGCTACTTCGAGCGATGGCAAGGAGAGTTTGCATAAAGAAAATCGTTCTCAGCGTGCCTCATCAGCTGATGATATTAAAGTTAAACCAAATCAAGGCAGCTTAGATACAAAAGATGAAGGACATAAAAAAAGTCATCGTATAAAGAGACAGTTTTATGCATATGTTCCTGAGAAGTCAATTGATCAAAGTGAGTATGATTAAAACAGTTAGAAATTATTTTATTTTTGTGTAGAAACCTAACATTTAAAAATGTTCAAAATAAAACAATACAACTGAATGGATATTAACTGGATTGTTTGCGTTATTTAGCATACTTTGACACACCAATCTTGAGTGGCCGGACACGAAGCAAAAATAAATCAACAGATATTAATCAAGATTCTGCCCCGTCGCAAGAGGCAACTGTAGGTACAATAGACACTCAACAACACAACCATACAGATGCTGTTAAAGTTGACCCAGAACCTGGAGGAACTAAACGACCCACACGCTCTGTCAGAGCTAAAGGTAGGTTGCTACTTCCTCGTACCCCAAACTTTTATTACATAACATCAAGTTACTTCAAATGTTTAATAACTGCAAATTGCTTACACTTACAAGTTTTGTTGATGGCTGAATTTGTGAGGGTCAAACTATATACCAGTACATCCTGCGACCTTTCTTCTCAATAATGGAATCTACAATGTTTTGTTTTGTTTTTTTGTGCAGATAATTCTCAGGATCAAAGTGCAAGCAAGCGCAGAAAAGTTCATCAGCACAGATAACACAAATTATTTTTTTTTTGGTGTGAAAGTTTTAGCTGTGTGTAAATGTGTAACACTACTGTTTCATCATGTTAACTTACATAAAAACTGTTCATCACTGTGGTAGGATCCACAAACATTTTACTTAGGTCAGTTACTGTAGGTTATGGTGAGTTTTTTGTACTTTAAAAATGTTAAACTAGTATTGCAGATAATAAAAACAATGTATCTTAAGTAGTAATGTTAGCTATTAGAGAGTATTGAAACCACTCCACTATTAGACTTCACTGTTAACTGGCAAATGAAAGTGACGTAATAGCTTTTTAAATTTTAAATAGTTACTTTGATAAGTAATTTGATATTATTTAGATAGGAATTCCTGTATTTGGTGCTTAAATGATTCTAAAAAAAAAAATTTTTTAAAGCAAAAAAATATGTAGAATAATAAGGGTGAGATGTAGATGTACAACATTAAGAAAACTTGTATGCTCATTAAAGTTTTAAAAATGTATATAAGCCTGTGCCAATAAGTAAGTTTGTGTACTGTTTAATGCTCTGTCAAGATAATAGGTTTTTGTACAGTGCTGCATTTTTACATATTTTATTTACTTAAAAAAAGGAATGTAGGGTTGAGTATATTTTAATTTTACTCATGAAATTAGTCTGTACATAATTACGGTTGACCTATAATATTTTAATTCACTTAACTAAGAAAAAGCACACAAAAGACAACTAGTTTAGTTTTTGCATGAGTAGGTGTTAAGGTACATTAAAAGAAGGAAACCTGCTTCTTTAGATAGACACAACCTGCATAATGATAGAACTTTTGTACGTTGCTTTGATTTTTAGCATATAGTAATGTTGTTGGTCATGCTCAAATGTAAATAGCTATTGTTTTTAGACACATTTTTAGAACAGAATAAGTTTTAATATTAAATCACAAGTCACATTATTTGTTCTCATTCTTTACTCTTAAGAGTATTCTTTTAGTTGGCACAGGCTTGTATACAAATAAATGTAATAGTGTCTATGTAATGACATTCAGTATTACAGAGATTGTTGTTTAGTAAAAGAGTAAGTCTAAATACCTTGTATTTATTACCTAAATGAAATAATCCCAAGTCTCAATACTCATTGAACCTCCAACAATATATCTAGGAATGCACCAAGTCAAAATTACAGCCACACACTCACAAACACGTCCACATGTAGCTGCACCCCAGCATCAGATTGCTGGACACTTGAAAGCTTGTTTAGACAGTTGAAAGAACAAAACTGGTAGGATGGTCTGTGTAGCTTGTGTGTCTGGTCAGCATTGTGTGTTAATCAGATGTATTTCTCTATCTGACTGCTGGTTTGTGTGGATCTGGCCAGGGGTTTTCTTGGAAGGGTCAGATTTATTTATAGAATAGAAGCTATTTTTTGTACTAAGGTGACTTGTGATAGTTGATGATATATTGCCAAATGTATCTTATGCATAATTGAATCATATAATTTGTTCTGAGTATAGAGTGGGGGTTTAAGGATTTCATTGTACATAATTTTCTTACCTAAAGTTGTCATGTCCAGTAAAGGCCAGACTTTTTACACAGTAATATTCAATGGCATTATGCTTGGCCACATAGATGTTTGCTGTGATAACTAACTTTAAACACATTTTTTTGAAATGATTGAGCTGGCATGGACTAGTCCACACCCCCATCTTCCCCTGGTGTATTTTGTTGTATGACCATTGAACCAATTTAATTGATTCCTTTTGCATTAATGATCACTGTATTTCATGTAATTGTTGGTCAGCCAACACTTTAGCTATGTAGCATACTGTACATATTATCATCACTCGTGCACATGTTTAGAAATAAGAAAATTACTTTGAAATATTATATTATGACGTCTTGTTTTACTTTTTCTGTCAGTCCTTCATGTTAAAATATTTTCAATACAAACATTTTATTGTACTGCACTGCTTTCTGGAATTTAATCAACTAAACTTCATTTTGGAAACTTAGCATTTTAATATTTTTTACTTGAACTGAACACAATCTTCAACAATGGATACATTTTTCCAAATTCTGTTATTTTCAAATATTAAAAAAAAAATTTGAGTTGACTTTAGTTAACAAAACAACATAGATGTTAATGGAATCCTTGTTGGCAATAGGCTAATATTATTCTCCTAGATAGCAGCACACAGGTCTATATAATTATAACCACATTGTCAGATAATTATATAGCACTCTTCAAAGCTAGAGGAACCAAGTTTAGTGATTGTTCAAATGCTTCTGCTATGCAATCAGTTCAACAAAAACATGGAAAATACAGTTGAAAGATAATTTATTTAAAAAAAAAAACTAGGTAAATTTCCTAATTACAAATAACAGAAAATAAATGATTATTTGTTGTGCTAAACAACTGTATTCTAACATCCAGTAAACAAACACCAGGCTATGGATCACAAGAAAAAGAATGTTCTAAGTTTAAGCAGATCAGTAAAGTACAAAGAACACAATCAGATTATCTACAGCATGTAAAAAAAAATATGCTTAAATATTTAAGGTTATGTGTACTGTTTTCTTATAAATGTAATGCAAAAAATAAAATGCCCTTTAACAATATTTAATTGTAATGACTGATGGGCATAATTAGTGTTCTACTTGAATGGATGCATTTAATTTTCAAAATGAGATTTTCCGTTAGGTAACAAAACAGCAAAAACTTGCTAAACCTGAGAAACTAAAACAATACTGGTGCTTTTTTTCTTGTTGAAATACTGGTCAGAATTGATAAAGTGCTGCACAAATGGTGGATATATCAGGGATGAAGTAGTGACAATGCTGTACTGTTTAAGTTAAACGATCCATTTGTATACAAGACAGTTAATTGTTATTATGTAATAAATGCAAAGAAAGCCTAAAGAAAATACTTTTCTTAACTAGGAATGAATTTTATGGTGATCTAAAAATTTAAACATTTAAAACATTCAAAGATGACCTAAAATGTTATGATTATGCTATTTTCAGTACAAATGCTTTTGTTTTATTTATTTGACTACTATTCTTATTATTATTATACATTTGAAAAACAAAACAAGACCCATCTACCAATGTAAAATAAATTGAAACATCAACATGAGTAAGAAAGTATTAATTTAAAAAAATGAAATAAATTGAAATGGTTTGAGGTGAGATTACTCTTGTGGTGTTACTAGAGCAAGGAGCATTTTGAGGTAGTCTCCCCCACATTCACTCTTTAATTCATCACTCAGCTTTTTCCCATATTTAGACTTGTAGGCATGTGCAATTTCATCCATATCAATCTGAAAGTGAACCATTTAAAAGAGGACTGTTAATTGTATAATAAACAAATTTAAAACTTGAAATAGAAATTATCCACTCTGATCTTCCAGTTTATGAAAGAGCATACAAAAACATAAGTGAAAAAAGTAAAATCTGAGTTGCATTCTTATACCGCATTTCCACTTGCAACATGTATACTATACATGTCTAGAAAAAAAACAACATATATTCTTACTTATTGCAAGATTTTCTTTCCTAGACTTGTATGGTATACATGTCACAGGTGTAAATCCGGTGTTACAGTTTATTGTTCTACACAACTAACTGAATTCTTACCTCACATCTGCTCACAATTATCCTAATCAAATGACTGTCATTTGTACCTAGCCCAGCAAAACATTCGTGGAGTCTTCTGGCAAAATAGCCCTCAATGTCTTTAGTGGTTTCAACTGCAAGAAAATAAATATAACACATTCATGTTTAGTGACATATTTTTCTTCATATTTTCCAAATAAAATACTTAAAAAAAACTTTTTAAAAAACCACGTTTTTCTTGTGGACTAAAAAGTAGAAAATAACTATTTACATACATTTGATGACAATAAACGTGGGTAAGTTCACCATCAAATTTCCCGACCCATCTGCCCGACCCACGTTTTTTGTCATCAAATGTATGTAAATAGTTATTTTCTACTTTTTAGTCCACAAGAAAAACGTGGTTTTTTAAAAAGTTTTTCTCCTTTTTAGTCCGTTGCTACACATGAAAAACGTGTTTTTTAAAAAAGTTTTTTATATAGTTTATTTTCTACTTTATCTAATGACTTGAATAAGTATGAATTGACTAAGTGTTTATAAATACACGGACTAAAAAAATCTTGAGCGACCAGGATTCGAACCTGGGTTGTCGCGGCCACAACGCGAAGTACTAACCACTATACGATCACGGCCAGCGCGCTCACATAGATTGGGGCTGAAGTAACTGTGTCAATAAGCCTCCAGTCTTGTCGGTATCTTTAGAAATCATGTCCTCAATTTTATGGTCCTTTGGGCGTAATTAAATTAAGCTAATTACGGTCTCTAATTGCTAGTTTTTATGATTGCATCTGAAATTGTTAGGCGAAAGTAGCTTGCATGCCAAATTTCAGAACTATAGAACAATCAGAAGTGGGCTAATTTTCGATGTCAATTTTAACAACAAACACACAAACGCGAAGCTGAGTTAATAAAAACGTGTTAAAAAAAACTTGTTTTCTCCATCATTAAAAAAAAACAATTTTTTAGGCAGTTTTCTCCAATGTTATAATAGAAACGTTTTAGTTTCTTCAACTAAATAAAAAAAAAAAAACACATGTTAGATTTTCTTCTCATATCCATTAAAACAATTAAGTAATTTATGTTCTTCATATACTTAAAACATGTTTGATGAAGCCCAATGAATGGTCACAGTTTACAAGTGAGAAAAATCTGCATTTAAATTAGTGGTTCTTAATCTTTTTGGAAGCACCGTACCCCACACATTTCAAAAGCACATTCATCAAACCCTTCCTAATAGTTATCTCTTCTGCACTAAAAAATACAATCAAAAATTATATGAGTTTGTTGTCTGTCTTGACCTCCGCAGAACCCCTGAGACAAATATTGCATATACAGGGTGGGATATGGGATGAAAGAGGACAAAGCACTATCTAAGATCTGTGATTCATAAAGATTGTTAGTATGAGTAGGGTATTTAGAACCGGTTAGATTTATAAATGACTACAAATCCTTCAACGTTCAGCCTACCAATAGCTAGGTATCCTTCTTGTAGGGTTCCACTGCATTCTGCACGAATGGAATCTTCCACGCTTTTCCCAGAAATTTTTTCAAATTCATGGAAGGTTTCTTTCAGTTGAGATCTGCTCCTCAAGCAAAGTATAGCATTGATTTCGGCCTCATCAGTTCCCCAGCGTGCCTCACCTGCCTAAGGTTCAGAAAACAAAGCTAAACAGTGTGAAAACTGAAACATTGTTGACACAAAAATTTTAAATGGGCAGAAAACTCAAGATAACTTTCCCATGCAAATATTTAACTCAGTTGTTTCCCTTGGTTAAACAAAGTCTAGTCAGTTTACAACAATACCTTGATATAGATGTAAAGACGTTTTATATTTTAGACATTAGAAAATCCATGTCCTGTAATTGCTGTTAGCTTTAATTATTTCAGACATTAGAAAATCCATGTCCTGTAATTGTTGTTAGCTTTAGTATGTAGATTTAGAGCCCATGTAAATGTTGTCAACGATTGCAGGACAGGAATTTCCTTGAGGTTTAACACTGTGTATCGATCAGCTGACAGATAAGACGTGCGGTGACACCCTCGCATGAAGGTCAACTGGTCCCTCCTCCCATCCCGGGCCACCCCTTCTCCTAAGGCTATCGATTTCATTTCTCCCTCGTTTCACCCCCTCACCCCCAAAATCCCACGTCACTTCTAACATCACCTTACTAAACTGTTGATAGTTGACATTCCTAAATGTATAGCCTACCTAACAGACTAAACCTCAGATTAAAAAAAGGTTAGTAGCCAAAATAAGCCTACCTAAATAGAGTACCGAATGCAACATAAAACAATACCATTCGATTGCCAATTCAACATTGTCCAGTCCCGCTAATAAATAGTCAACCTAAAGCCTTCCCTTAGCCTGTACGCATAGAAAATATTTAATCCAGTCCAACATATTTAATTAGGTTACTCAAGACAACACATCATAGCCTCCTGTTCAGAAGTGGTAAAAATAAATTCTTACATCGAAAAATTTCTGAGCGTCTTCCTTTGCCCTCTTCTTATCAACAGATTTATCCTCCTCTCTCCCTGCGGCCAACAGAGAGATGAGCAGACGTCGGAAGTAGCCGGAAGTGTCGCCACACAGGTCGTCCTCCAGATTTTTTTCATACTCTAAACACAGTAGAATAGAAATAAAGCTTGTTAATTAATATTAACCATTCGGTCGCAGTAGTCTTTACGTTATATTATAGTTTGTTAGTTATCTCCCTTGACCAAGGGGTCGTCTATAAATGACGTCACACTCGTAGGGGGAAAAAGGGGGGGGGGGGGGGGGGGTCCGTAATTTTGTGACGGTGTGTGATGAGGGGGGGGGGTTCAGATGGTGTGACGTCACTTTTTTGCATTATAAAAAAGCAATGTTAGAAAGAGTTTTAGCCGTTATTTCGCTGTAGAAAACAGTTTTAATACATTGTAATAGGAATTGATCAGAGTTGACAGAGTTCTGACAAGATTTTGGAAAAATATCGATGTTTTAAGAAAATAGCAATTTTGAGAGGGGGGGGGGGGGTTAGGCTGAGGTGTGACGTCATTTTAGGGGGGGGGGTCTGGCTTTTTGTGACGACGTGTGACGTAGGGGAGGGGGAGGTAAAAAAATCGTCCAAAAAAGCGTGACGTCATTTATGGATGACCCCCACAATGTCTTTTTTTATTAAAATTAAATTATTTTCAGTATTTGTCTATTTTTCTTTCCTTTAATATGCTTGTGTATCCCGTCTTTTTTGTTTGTTTGTTCTTGTGATTGCTTAAGGCCAATTATACTCTCATATGTAATTGCTAGTCGCGTTTTATTAAACGAAGTGTCTACTCGGAATAAGATTTTTCGGCAAAAGATAGTTCTGCGCATGCGCAGTGACCTATGGCTAGGGTTAGGGCTAGATTGAGGGTTAGGGGTAGGATTAGGGCTAGGGTTAGGGATAGGATTAGGGCTAGGGTTAGGGTTAGGGTTAGGGATAGGATTAGGGATAGGATTAGGGATAGGGTTAAGGATAGGATTAGGGTTGGTATTAGGGTTCTGCGGTTGTAAACACACGCATGCGCAGTACCATCGAAAACATCGCCGCTAAGTCGTAGTTTCTCTCCATTGCGCATGCGTATCGCATGCGTATCTTATAGAGTCCTTGCAAACACGTGACCTAAATCACGTGATACCTACGCCCGCCGCCACAGTGGTGTACATCAGACGTAAACACAATCAGCTGTTCGCCAGCGCTGGACGTGTTCACCAGCGCTGGACGTGTTCACCGTATGTAAAGAATCGCGCCCGCGGAAAAGGAAAAATATGTTAAAAAACTTGAACTCTTAGGAATTGAAGATCCTTATACAGTTATTGACAGTTTCGTGGATAATATAAATATGTGGCCGAAATTTCTAAATAAAAATACTGTTAGTAATACCATTTGCGTTTAGAGTTTAAGTAGACGAAGCTGATCAAATGCAGTAATATATTAGAGGTTATCTACTGTAGCAAACGTGAGACCACTTAACTCCTACAAAACCCACACTACAACGGCTAATATAATCCATGGGTAATAACCAATCTGGGTAGCATGTTATACAATTTAAGACCCTTATAATCCAGCAGGGAAGTAATCAGACACATTAATACTGACGTTCAACCCTCATGATGGCTGCCCCCACCTGTATCTAGCCCACAATAAAACCAAAGAGGAGTCTGCCCTGTCCTCCCCTGAAAATGTCTCACCTCCGTGATACCCAGCCCCACAGAGATAGTATTTCTGATATAATTTTGACCCTCAGGGCCCAGCAGGGAGAACAAAGGGGAAAGTCCCACTGCTCTCCCCTCAACACTTCTCACCTCGGTGTCATGTTATGTCATTTATAGCACACACGGCTTATCAGGGGAAAGCATTAAGGCATTAAGAATCTTAACTCTGGACAGCTACACACTAGTATACTAGCTACACACTAGGTGCCTACTGTAAACTACTAGACTGTAGGCCCTATGTAGACCTGCAATTGTATCAATTGTAGACTGGGTCCATTGTTATTATTCTAAACCATCTCACTTATAATGTTTCTAGCTTGATTTGTTTCTTTTATAAACAGTGGATTAAAAAAAAAATTAGCCTAATCATTAACCAAATAATAATAATGTGGTTATTTGTTGTTGGCTGGTATGATCTAGATTGTACTACTAGGCTACAAAAACTTAGTAGACCAATTACTAGATATGAATTTGAATTTAATTAAACTCAGTCCAGTATCAGATACATATTGCTGTAAAAAGACAACAAAGTAGGTAGGCCTTAGTAATTTATTAAAGCCTTCTACTACAATAATATCAACTACATGCTTGTATAAAGTTTTTACAATTTAATTTAAGTAGCAGATTCTAGATCTAAGTCTAGTCATATAATCTATTTCAATTTCAGAAAATTTCGTTTGCTAAAAAAATGATTAGATAATAGAGCGAGATTTTAGATCTTAGAGACAATTAAATGCTTTATTAGGCCTATTATGACTACTTTTGATTTATTATGGGTGTATTTTGAATCGAATGTAGATCTAAAGTAATTAAATTTAAGTAAAGAAGTAGATTCTAGATTCTATGTCTACCCAGCGGAGCCAGGTATTAGGCCTACTATTAGATCTTATTATTCTTATTAGCCTATTACTTTTGACTTTGTCTTTTACTATTAGTATTTGTGAAGGTCGAGCATATTTGTTTTATTAATAGTTATCTTTTATAATTAAAATGAAGTTTATTATTTTACTGTCCTTACATGAAACAAAGTATCGAGAACTGCATTTGATCAGATTCGGCTACTTTAACTCTAAACGCAAACAGTATTACTAACAGTATTTTTATTTAGAAATTTTGTCCACATATTTATTTATACGAAACTGTCAATAACAGTATAAGGATCTTCAATTCCTAAGAGTTCAAGTTTTTTAACGTATTTTTCCTTTTCCGCGGGTGCGGTTCTTTACATACAGTGAACGCGTCCAGCGCTGGTGAACACGTCCAGCGCTGGCGAACAGCTGATTGTGTTTACGTCTTGTGTACACCACTGTGGCGGCGGGCGTAGGTATCACGAACGGACGTGACGTCATATGAAAGGACTCTATTCCGACTAGAATCGGCCTTTATTAAATACCAGCATTACAACATCAATACATCTGTATCTGAAACGTCTAATTTTATGACAAGGCTAAATCATTAAGACGAAACAGCATTAGATGGCACCACATTTTTACGCTTTATTGAGCTCATGTTAAAATCAACATGAGTACTGTTTCGTCGAGTGATGTACGATCAGCGAAAACCTTTAATTTGTCTACTCAACAACTTACCCTTTACCTGCCACTTAAGACTGACCTCAGGTAGTAACTCAAACATCTGCCATCCCAGTTTGAGCCGGAACTAGAGCTAAAAATAGACCTGAAGAAACGAGAGTTACCTTTCTTATAGACGGCCTTGATTTCCTCGATCTCTGCATTGGTTTTGGTGGCCAGTACTTCGATGATGGTTGTCTCATCCGTGCCAGCGCCCTGTGTAAGGGGGTGGGGGTGGGGGGGGGGGGAGGGGGGTGGGGGGGGGGGAGAGATCATGGTGAGTATGAACACGGATAGATGCGAGGAAAAAAAATGGGACGGGAGAGATTTCGTTAAAACTATGGTGTCATCTCAGTTCTTATAGGTACCTGACTATCGTTGGGGAAAGTAAAGGCTGCTGAGCATAGTGCTGACCAAACTATACCTTCATAGGCCGAGGCAAAAATAGCATATGAGCTTTATGGATCGCTAGTTCTAAGTCGGAACTTTTTATGTTAGTAGTAGTTCCCTTTTCAAAACCTGACGGTCAATGGTCAAGTAAAATATATTTCACATGTTTCTGTGAAGAGGTAGTGTGGTCAGCATTATGCCCAGTCGCCTTTACTTTCCCTAACGTCAGTTAGGTACCCATCAAAGCTGGGTGGACTCAGGGATCTTCTACTGACTAGTCCGGATTCGAACTCAAGACTAGCTGTCTAGGGACTGTTATTGTAGTGTCAAACCTATTCTTATTCCTTCTATTAAAAAAAAACAAAAAACAACTCAACTAATTAGCCAGTAATAGAGTCAATATAATACCCTCAGCTGGTAACAATTAGGGTACAACAAATCTCGCCACCCTACAACCTTGTTCCAAATAAATTTAACTTAAAATTCTTTAAATAATTTCAATTAACTCCACCCTTCCCCAAACTACCCATTTCACATTCAATTATACATTTTCTGCATTTGTTCTATGTCTCCCGCCCCCACTTCCCCCATATCAATTAAATTAACACACGTCAAGCCGTTAAGCTGACACCCCCCCCCCCCCAATTTGTATTACTGGTTACATTGTCATAGTTGAGCTATAGGCAGTGGCGGAACTAGAAAAAAAAGGCCCCCCCGCAGAATTTTTTTTTGGGCCCCTATATATATATATATATATATATATATATATATATATATATATATATATATATATATATATATATATATATATATATATATATATATATATATATATATATATATATATATATATATATATATATATATATATATATATATATATATATATATATATATATATATATATATGGAAAACAAAGGTCGCACTAAATTTTTTAAAAAAATGTATCCGGTACCCGAATAAATCAGAGGTTTTCCAACACACGAGCTGGCCCCATTCAGTTTTCCATGTGAGAAGCACGGACTCTCTAAATCTAGTACAACACTCCAAACTGACGCCGGTTTTTATGAGGCTTTCATCAAAACGTTACCAACCGTGTGCCCTGTTTTCCAGAAGTTGAATTAAATGTTAACAATGTCGGCAGTTCATTTCTTGGATCTTAGGGCGCGGGTTTGTCCACACTACCAACTAGACACGCCAAGGCATGCTGTAAGTCCCTCGGCGACGGCCCAGGTGTCAGGGGAGTCACGGGGCTCTTGGAGCTACCGGTTACATTACTGCACGGGTGATGGGTGCAACACATTGTTTCTTCCGGCAGAGCTCCCCCTCCCCCACCCCTCCTCCGAAAACAGTCTACCTAGGAAGAAACATTGGTGCGACACCTAATTAGATTTAGTCATCGAGTGTTGTAGCGAGACTTATTCCTAGTGTTGTGGGAACTTTTAAACGACTGTCTGTGGGGGGCCAACTTGCTCATATGTGATGCGCTCAGGATGACACTGCCGCCGGTTGTATTCAAGTAGTAACCTCATCCGTTTATGCAGGATCACGGGGCGCTAAATCACATATTTCCGTTAGGAGTCCCCACTCCAATATGTACAAATGTTAGGCCTATGACAGAAACTTTTGCGGGGCTGTACTCAACAGCTTCCCAAGTTTTCATGGCGATTTGGGTGAATGATGCAGTAATGCAAAATAGACAGAAAAATGTTTTCACATGTACAACTGTATGTGGCCAGGTCACACGTTGGATAACCTTCTGATTTAGGGGAGGGGGGGGGGGGACTAACAAAAAGCCAGACCCTCACACACCCCCACCTCAATGACGTCATTTATAAATAGTAATTGACTATTAATAATGTTCAATTAATTCTAAACGTAATTAATTTCTAAATAATTATATAAAAATAATCTTACCTGCCCTGTTTTGTGAATTAGATGTGCCTAATACTATGAAAATAAATTAATATCTGTTGACTAGATCTAGATCTAGATCTAGTGCTGTCTAGTGTCTGACAAAATGTGCTGAAGTTTTGAATCGTACGGTTAGGAAGTAGTTCATAAACGATACATTTATCTCCTCGATACTTGTGAGGTTGAGAAAGAGGGGTGGGATAGGGGTCGGCTCGGAAAAAAAACTTAAAAGCGACATCAAAACGCCTTGATCTATGTACGTCAGCATCGCCCATTGTAAAACTTACTCAGGGGAGATTATTCCAAGTATAGACTTTAAAAGTTTACTATGATATTTCTCGTAAAAGCAAAAACAAGTAACCGTATATAAAACTGAAGTTTCTAGTATAGTATTATATTATTTTTTTATTATTTGTAGGATGCAAGATACAAATTCAACCACTATCACAAACACATTAACATTGAAAAATGTACAAAGGATTTCGGGTCCCTTACCAATGCCGCAAAGACGAAAGCCCACTTCATATGTAGCGGCTTTTCGTGCTATGGACTTTGTTGTTTTTTTAAAAGAATTTTGCCGACGACAGCGTGTGTTTGATTGTAGGGAAATAGAACTCGGCCTTGACAATGGTTAAAAAATACAACTATAAATAACTGTTTAAAATATGTAAAAAAAATTCGACAATTTTTGAACCCCCTTTTTGGTCCCCATCCCCTGCCTAATCCGCGACAGTACACTTTGGAGGATCGGTTAAACAGTTACGTGTCCTCTATTTAGCTATTGAAGAGGTGGGGGGCAACGAGTCAAAGAAGTCATTCAAATTTGAAGAGTTGCCTATATTTTACACTGTAGTTTGTGTAATGGATTTTATCTGTTGCGGAAGAGCGTGGTATAGTGACTGTAAAATAAAGATAATCGTACCGCAGCTAGTGTTTTTCTTTTACAAACCAAATATTAAGGCAAAAATGCACGAAAATTAAATTCAAAATTTAAAAAAATATTAATTTTGGTCAGCCGTGGGCCCCTAAACGGCCTGCCCCCCCCCCCCCCCCCCCGCGCATTGCGGGGTCTGGCGGGACTGTAGTTCCGTCGCTGTTCATCAGGTAAATGAACAACTACTGACTAGTGTCTTTAACAAAATGTGCAGGAGTGGTCAGTTTACAGTTCAGTAGTTCATAGACGGTTCGTTAATCTATGCATTACATCTTATTGTAAGAGTAAGGGTGTGGTGAGGGGTAGAGGTGAGGGGTAGGGGTGAGAGGGGGCGGGGGAGAGAGTTGGGAAGGTTCATTGGAAGGGGACAAGAAAGCGCCGATGAACATCTACATCAATAGTGCCGACTTTTTCCGGTCGTCTAGAAGACCAGGATAGTCGCCGCAACATTTCCCCAGCCCGATTTCAAAGCGTGCCGGCACAGTAAAATTTCAGATGCTTCGCTGAAGGGAGATAACTTAAACTTTTACAAGTTTATTGATACAGTTGTTAAAGTAAAAATGAACGCAATTATAAATGTACGAGATCGAAATAAATAATTATATTTTTTGTAGAATTCAGGCCAGTAGTTTAAACACACAATCATAGATATGTATTTTAATAATGTAAACAATATAACAATGCTTTTTTGTTCTCCTAGTCGACGCCACTAAAAAGAACGGTAGGCTGCGTCTTTGAAGTTGACTTTATGTCTGGCGGTCTCTCGAGCTATAGTCTGTGCATTTTTATCAAAGACGTTTGCCGACTATCGTGTTTGTTTGTAACTGTAGAAGAAAGATAACTCGACCTCCACCTAATTTTTTTTTTTTAATTTTTTTTTTTTTAAATAGTTTAGCCAGGATTTTTGGGCCCCCAATCGGTCTGGGCCCCCCCGCATTGCGGGGTCTGGCGGCACTGTAGTTCCGCCCCTGGCTATAGGTCTGATGATTTGAGTCAATTAATGTCACATAGATGTCTCTCATATCTGTAGGCCTTACCATCCAGCGGGGTAAATTGGCTGAGGGCGACGTGTGAGTTGTTATTACATCTAAATTGTTTCATAAATGAGTTATTATTCTCTAGGTGGGTAGAGGGGGGAAGTCTGTTTAAATAAGCATCTATGCCGCTAGGCTTAGGCTGTTGAAATATGCAGTTAAGATGTTGAAATGTGCAGCTAGGATGTTGAAATGTGCAGTTGGGATGCTGAAATGTGCAATTGGGATGTTGAAATGTGCAGTTAGGATGTTGAAAATGCAGTTAGGATGTTGAAATGTGCAACTAGGATGTTGAAATGTGCTGTTAGGATGTTGAAATATGCAGTTACGATGTTGAAATGTGCAGCTAGGATGTTGAAATGTGCATCTGGGCTGTTGAAATTTGGTTCAAATATGTAGTTAGGATGTTGAAATGTGCTGTTAGGCTGTTGAAATGTGCTGTTAGGCTGTTGAAATATGGAGCTAGCCTGATGCCCATGTAAAATATCGATATGATGCACACAAAAATCCACTGTAACGTGTAAACAAAGGCGTGGTTCTGTACCCTAAATTACCGATAAGCGAACCTGATTAAAACATTTCACGTCATCACCTCCCAGCGTTCTCACATGGCAACCGTTGCCATGGAGCAACGAACAAACAAAGCTATCGTCTTCCAATCGACAAAACTTGTCGAGTCGCCGACACCTAGCTACCGAAAGTTTTCTGGTCATAATTTCCTTGTTGGAGACACCAAACAGCTTTATTGTTTACATTAAAGAACGGAAGAGGAACATATGCATGAAAGAAGAAACTTTGCATGTATGTGTATATACTAAAATAGTATAAAAAGTTTATAAACATGGTATATAAACTCTAATAATTAGCTTAGTAGCATTGAAACTTGAGTTCAAATATAAAAATATTTTAAGGCGCTATCTCGTTTACTGCAATTTGTATGCATGTAGCAATTGTATGAGTGTCTTGGAAATATGAAAAAAGGGTAATCTATCAAATGAAGAGAACCTAAATCGTGTTTAAAAATTGTATGAAGGATCAGTAGGATTTAGTCTATACTCTCTAGAGATCTAAGACTCAGTTGGTCTTATACTCTCTAGAGACTTAAGAGTCAGTAGGTCTATAGTCTAAAGAGTTCTAAGTCAGTGGATCTTTAGTCTATACTCTATATAAAGATCTCAGAATCAGTAGGTCTTAAGTCTATAGAGATCTAAGAGTCAGCAGGTCTTTAGTCTTTACTCTGTAGAGATCTAAGAGTCAGTAGGTCTTTAGCCTATAGAGATCTAAGAGTCAGTAGGTCTTTACTCTGTAGAGATCTAAGAGTCAGTAGGTCTTTAGCCTATAGAGTTCTAAGAGTCAGTAGGTCTTTAGCCTATAGAGATATAACGAGCCCACGTACAGAGACAGCCTGATGAAGCTGCTCAGCGTCTAATTTCCTCAGGGGAGTCAACAAGGCTAAACAGACTTCTTCAAAGTCCCCCCTCAGCTCAGACTTCAGATCGTCCAGAAGGTCCTGGAGAGTGGAGAAATAACAAAATAACGAGGGTACAGTTTTTAACAGAAGGTAATGGAAGTGGAGAAATGACAAAATAACGAGGGTACAGTTTTTAACAGAAGGTAGTGGAAGTGGAGAAATGACAAAATAACGAGGGTACAGTTTTTAACAGAAGGTAGTGGAAGTGGAGAAATGACAAAATAACGAGGGTACAGTTTTTAACAGAAGGTAGTGGAAGTGGAGAAATGACAAAATAACGAGGGTACAGTTTTTAACAGAAGGTAATGGAAGTGGAGAAATGACAAAATAACGAGGGTACAGTTTTTAACAGAAGGTAATGGAAGTGGAGAAATGACAAAATAACGAGGGTACAGTTTTTAACAGAAGGTAATGGAAGTGGAGAAATGACAAAATAACGAGGGTACAGTTTTTAACAGAAGGTAATGGAAGTGGAGAAATGACAAAATAACGAGGGTACAGTTTTTAACAGAAGGTAATGGAAGTGGAGAAATGACAAAATAACGAGGGTACAGTTTTTAACAGAAGGTAATGGAAGTGGAGAAATGACAAAATAACGAGGGTACAGTTTTTAACAGAAGGTAATGGAAGTGGAGAAATGACAAAATAACGAGGGTACAGTTTTTAACAGAAGGTAATGGAAGTGGAGAAATGACAAAATAACGAGGGTACAGTTTTTAACAGAAGGTAATGGAAGTGGAGAAATGACAAAATAACGAGGGTACAGTTTTTAACAGAAGGTAATGGAAGTGGAGAAATGACAAAATAACGAGGGTACAGTTTTTAACAGAAGGTAGTGGAAGTGGAGAAATGACTAAATAACGAGGGTACAGTTTTTAACAGAAGGTAATGGAAGTGGAGAAATGACAAAATAACGAGGGTACAGTTTTTAACAGAAGTTAATGGAAGTGGAGAAATGACAAAATAACGAGGGTACAGTTTTTAACAGAAGGTAATGGAAGTGGAGAAATGACAAAATAACGAGGGTACAGTTTTTAACAGAAGGTAATGGAAGTGGAGAAATGACAAAATAACGAGGGTACAGTTTTTAACAGAAGGTAATGGAAGTGGAGAAATGACAAAATAACGAGGGTACAGTTTTTAACAGAAGGTAGTGGAAGTGGAGAAATGACAAAATAACGAGGGTACAGTTTTTAACAGAAGGTAATGGAAGTGGAGAAATGACAAAATAACGAGGGTACAGTTTTTAACAGAAGGTAGTGGAAGTGGAGAAATGACAAAATAACGAGGGTACAGTTTTTAACAGAGGGTAATGGAAGTGGAGAAATGACAAAATAACGAGGGTACAGTTTTTAACAGAAGGTAATGGAAGTGGAGAAATGACAAAATAACGAGGGTACAGTTTTTAACAGAAGGTAGTGGAAGTGGAGAAATGACAAAATAACGAGGGTACAGTTTTTAACAGAAGGTAGTGGAAGTGGAGAAATGACAAAAAAAAAGAGGGTACAGTTTTTAACAGAAGGTAGTGGAAGTGGAGAAATGACAAAATAACGAGGGTACAGTTTTTAACAGAAGGTAGTGGAAGTGGAGAAATGACAAAATAACGAGGGTACAGTTTTTAACAGAAGGTAGTGGAAGTCGAGAAATGACAAAATAACGAGGGTACAGTTTTTAACAGAAGGTAGTGGAAGTGGAGAAATGACAAAATAACGAGGGTACAGTTTTTAACAGAAGGTAGTGGAAGTGGAGAAATGACAAAATAACGAGGGTACAGTTTTTAACAGAAGGTAATGGAGGTGGAGAAATGACAAAATAACAAGGGTACAGTTTTTAACAGAAGGTAGCGGAAGTGGAGAAATAAAACAACGAGGATAAAATTTTAAACAGAAGGTAATGGAGGTGGAGAAATAACAAAATAGCTATGATTACCGTTTTTAACAGAAATTACTAGTAAATTGATAATTGACAAATTAACGAGATTACGCTATTTCACATAAGGTACTTGTAAATTAATAATTCACAAAATAACGAGGTTACAATTTTTTTTACATAAGGTACAAGTAAATTGATAAATTGATAATGGAAAGTTATAATTTAGTTGCCATTGGGCAACAATTGAAATCTTCATATATTACTGTAAAATATATTTTTTAACAAGGATTACTTGCCTTGCCGTAAGCAGTCTTGTAAGCCTTGACGATTTCAAGCCTCTGTTGACACGTGTGGTTTCCCAGAACGTTTATAATTGTGTCTTCGTCAGTACCTGGATACAAAGGTAAATATAGTGTAAGAGCAGAGGCGTAGCGAGGGAGGGGGCGGTAAGGGGGGGGGGGGTACATATGTCCCCGGGCGCAGACCGTAGGGGGCGCCAAAATGGGTTGGAAAAAAATAATTATAAGCTCATTTTAGTTTAGCTGCAGTTTTGCATTGTAAATATAAAAAATATATGGGGGAGGGGCGCCAAATTGAAAGTTTGTCCCCGTGCGCCGTGTGTAAGAGGCAGCTCTGTAATCTTTTGTGTGAGAGTAGAGGCTCTCAGTAGTATCATCACCCCCACCCTCATCTTTCCACTTAGCTTGATGTAGTATCTTCGATTAGACATTAAATGTCGTGTTACGACATCATACACATATTTAGTATTGCGACATGCAATTTGTATTATGTCATAAGGCATATATCAGATCAGTTGTAGAGACGAAATAAAAAGCCATAATTCAAGATATAGTATATCATGAATTATGGCTTTTTTTTATTTGTATTAGGTTGAATGGCGGCGTTATATTTTGTATTGTCACATGCGATTTTGTATTACGCCATTACATCTTTAATTATGACATTTAGAGTAGTAGTGGTCTTTATATTAGGCGTCCTGTATGACACATAGTGTGTGTGTATGTGTGTGTGTGTGTGTGTGTGTGTGTGTGTGTGAGGCGAGGGTCAAGAACATTTGACATGTGTTTTGTATTGCGTAAATACAAAAAATAATGAAAATACTTTGATTTTAGTTTTTAGGGGTGTAACTGTGATAATATGGGGGGGGGGGGGGAAGGGGGGAATCTGTCATTTTATGACCTACGATATGTTAAAAACGTCCCAGACCCCACCAAACCCTGATGGGTACCTAACTCACAATAGGGAAAGTAAAGGCGGCTGGGCATAGTGCTGGCCACACTATCTCTTCATATGCCGAGGTTACAATAAACAGGTGAACTCTACTTCATCTTCCGCATGCGCCGTCAGGTTCGAAAGGGGAACTTTTATGTTGGGAACTGGAAAATATCGGCTAAAATGGCATCGTGTTTCCTATGGACGAAATTTTACTTTGTACTATTTTGTATCACATTAGTTTCGCTTTCACCCGTAGTATAGGCTACTGCACACTGAATGTTGTTTATTTGATTCTGCATAGTTTGAGAAGCACTGGCCTACAGGAAGGGGAGATCAACGAATTACTCCGCGAGGCACGTAACGAAGTAACTTTGAAGTGCAAACTGCCACAGATTAGCTTAGTTTTTTTTTTATGTTCACTAGTAAGCGCTGGGTGCCGCACTTACTTGGCAACGAAGATTTTTAAAATAGTGGATAAAAAATGTCTAAACGAACGAATAGCACCGACACACCGTTACTAATATGATATAATCATGGGGTTTCTTTTTTTTTTTTTTTTAAATTCGGGCACAAACATTGTATTAGCTATACGTAGTTGCGTTTAAATTTGCTAATGCACATCAGTTGTGTGACAGATATGTTATAGTTACATTACAGTACGGTTAGGATTATGAATCAGGAGAATGTTAACCCTATAGATTCAGGGGTCTCCAAACTTTTCAGTCCGAGGGCCGCATTAACTATCAAATTTCAGTTCGGGGGCCAGTTTCTTCCACTCATGTCTTTGATTTTTCTGGGCAAAGTTCCTCAGCCATCAGCAACAAACGTTTTTTACTTGGACAAAAAGATCTCCGCGGGCCGGATGAGAGGACATCGCGGGCCGCATCCGGCCCGCGGGCCGTAGTTTGGAGACCCCTTCTATAGATGGCTCCAGTAAGGGTTGGGGGATTCGGGGGGGGGGGGGGGAATGAACAATGCGTTCTACACACTCCCTGGCTTCACATGTGGTTAATCCTATATTAATCCTATATTAATCGTATATTAATCCTTACCCCCCACTTCAATTAGATATGGGTAGATCTATATTTGGTAACATTCGACGGAATATTATTTTTTAAAGGACTTCAAACACCTGAGAAAACTTCAAAAAGCCTTCGAGTCCTCTCACAAATGGCTTTATTGTGTGACATTTTTTTCTGGCCAACACCGACACCGCTTTTGTTGCTTGTGTTGACTCAGTCTATCATCTCACACGGAAACGGTTCGTGTGAATATGACCGTGAGAAGAAAACAAACAAGGTGGAAGTTGAATACCATCTTGTGATATATGAACTGCGGTAAATGAACACAGTTACTGCGGTTAAATCCTATTACTTCAATGTGTTAAAGGATATATTTTATGCATTAAAAGTGGATCAATGTACGAGTAAAACATGGAAGCTAGGTTTTAGAAAAAATATTTTATCCACATATAGTCAGTCCATTTTTCCACTTATGCGAAACGTTTGCATGTATGTGCACGCAGAAGATTTCTAGGCATTGTATATTTTAGATTTACACGTTGGCCTAAACCAATAATATGATTCAGGATTTCCCACAATCTCACCCGGCCAGAGGCGCCCGGGGACAAACTTTCCATTTGCAACCCCCCCCCCTGAAACTTTCGATTTGCACCCTCCCCCTCACACTTTTTTTTCCAACCCATTTTGGCGCCCCCTAAGGTCGGCGCCCGGGGACATATGTCCCCCCGCCCCCCCCCCCCCCCCCTCGCTACGTCTCTGCACTCGGCAGCACGCAATGGTTTTCCTAAAATCAAAGTTGACCGTTAGGTCAAGGTCTTTAAGGGAGGATTTCTAAAACTAAAGTTTTTAAATATCTGAAACCGTTTGCGACCACGGGTATAATACTAAAAGTATAACTAAACCATTAAACACAACAGGTTTTGCCACCCCCCACACACAGCTAGTTAGAGAAGCACCGCTGTGTGAAGACTGATGATTCAAATGTCACAATCAGCCGACACATCTAGTTATGGGGTGTATTCCTGTTGTTGACATTTCGACTCGCTGAACTTCTTTTGATACAAGCATCCACCGGGGCGTGTAGTGACCCTACTTTATGTGGATACAAGTATGATTGTACGTGGATAAAGTAGGCTTGTACGTGGATAAAGTAGGCTTGACATAGGCTGCGGTAGTTTCATGGTTGTACCATTGTGTCAACCCGTTCATGGTTGTACCATTGTGTCAACCCGTTCATGGTTGTACCATTGTGTCAACCCGTTCATGGTTGTACCATTGTGTCAACCCGTTCATGGTTTTACCTTTCTGCCAACCCGTTCATTGTTGTACCATTGTGTCAACCCGTTCATGGTTGTACCATTGTGTCAACCCGTTCATGGTTGTACCATTGTGACTACACGTTCACGGGGAGTTGTACCATTGTGTCAACCCGCTTTGGTAAACCAGTTGAAACGTAGAAACACGTTATAGGTCTGGTAAGTAGGTCACCAACCTGTTCTACGGCTCAATACAACCTGCATGAGCCATAGAACTGGTTGGTGACCTACTTACCAGCCCTATTGTCACGTGACCTAGTTATCAGTATGTTTGAAAAATGGCGGGTAACACTTGGGAGAATTGGGAAAATTTGTGTTGGCTTCTATCAGCATTCATTAAAAGTATTTGGACCTAATCTCCCTAAACTTTACTGTCAACCTCCCTTCCCTGCCCAACTCCTCCAATCTCCACCATTCCATCCCTACCATTGCATTATATTTCCCATCAAGAGAGATCACGTCAGAGATCCACATGAGAGGAAAGGTTTCAGACACATAAGAAAGAACAAAACATATTGTCTACAGTGTCTTATTGCTAGTGTGCAGAACTTATTCTTCAAGCTTAATTGTAGTGTTAGAAGTATAAGTGTCATATTGTTATGCGCCATATTGACCATTTCAGTCTGTTTTTCTTTTTGATTTGTTTCCATAGCAACCAAGAACCAAGTTGTCTCTTCAAGAGTGGCTGTCCCCAGCTAACGAGCCATAGGGTTCGAACTCGAGACTTTTCGGTTAAGCAACCATGAGCTTTACCGACTGGACCACGCCGACCCCTGGTGTGTGCGGATGATACAAGTTTGTTTTCCTGTGCCGTTATTCCAATATTTTATTACTGTGTTAATTTAATACGACTATATATTCTATATATTCTATATTTCAATACAGCTAGAGTGCAAGACATTTTGTAATTATAGGGTCTACCCCCACCCCCCACTCACTCTTGATTTTCCCTATTTATAATTTATGTTAATTAAGCCTAAACACATTTTTAAAATGTAGAGGCAACAGGGCCTTCGTTCATAGATTATGGTTTGTAACGTCACTACATTTGCACGGAAATACATTTTTGTGACGCTTCTCTGTCTGTTTGTTTGTTTGTTTATGTGTTCCTCTGTGTTTTGTTGGCGGAGGTCGAAAACGTCGCTTGATGTACGACGTGCGACTGGCTTAAGTCTTTTGTGCGTGACTTAACAGGTAAATTAATGCTGACCGTTTAAACACGGGCAGTTCACAAATTTAAAAACTTAAACAACTCCTCAGACGGATGCGAGAAAACACCTGTAGGCCTACACACCTCCTCCATCATTGGCCATCTACGTGGTGTAATTTGAATTTTGTTTATAAGTACAGGCCAGGCGTCAGCTTTTGATTAAATCTCCATTCCTTTGTGAGCGTTAAGCGAACATATACACCTAAATGGCAAGGTACCAATTTCATCTATTTTGTTTATACATCACAGGTGTGTTTTTTTTTTTATAAACCCGATGTAACAGAAATGATGTATGTACATTTACAGAAAGTAATGACCGGAATCTACCGAAACTTACCGAAACCTTTCATCGCATTCCTCAGTTTCTCCGCGGCTGCTCCGGCGCTGAACTCGTGACGGTGTTTGACTGTACCCTGGGGGTAGGAACAATAGGGTGGTTTTACAATTAGTGTGGTTTTACAAATAGGATGGTTTTATAAATAAAATAGGGTGGTTTTATAAATAGGGTGGTTTTATAAATAGGGTGGTTTTATAAATAGGGTGGTTTTATAAATAGGGTGGTTTTATAAATAGGGTGGTTTTATAAATAGGGTGGTTTTATAGATAGGGTGGTTTTAGGTGGTGGTAGGGTGGTTTATGTAGGGTGGCTGTACGGTGGTTTATGTTAGGTGGTTGTATGGTGGTTTATGTTAGGTGGTTGTATGGTGGTTTATGTTAGGTGGTTGTATGGTGGTTTATGTTAGGTGGTTTATGGTGGTTTATGTTAGGTGGTTGTAGGGTGGTTTATGTTAGGTGGTTATAAGGTGGTTTTTGTTAGGACAGTGGTAGGCACAGTAGCGCCACGAGGTGGGGCGGGGTTTGTGGTCCGCATCGGTGACGCCTTTTGGGGAGGGGGGGGGGTGACACCAAATCGAAAAATATTGTAAAATTTACTGTCAAAACAATGTGTTATTTAGTTAAAATATTACTAAAGTATTGGAGAGGGGTGATACCGAATCGAAAATGCAAAGTAGTTGGAGAGTGGGTTGGTGTGGGGTGACACCTTTAACAACTGCACCGGGTGACACCCTGCCTAGTTACGCCACTGGGTAGGCACCACTCGCCCGACTCCACTTCAATTATTGCAAGCTGCTGACCTCTCCACATTATGTTGGCCTCAACCTCACATACATACATCCACATACACATACAGTTGACGCATTAGTCATTTACCAATCATGTGAACCTCCCACGCCATCTGTAGGTGGATTAGAAATGTTTCTACCCCTCTCCCCCACACTAATTCCAACTGCGGTTATTTTTTTTTTGTCATTTCTAGCGTGTCTTGCAATTTTCTCCGTGTAGCCAGCACAGGAGAGTGTGTCGACAGGAAGGATAACTCTAATAACGGGGCGTGGCAGCTATTTGCATGTGTTCGTAATGGCGGAAATCACCGTGACGTAAAACTGAACGCTTCCCTCCCCGCTCGACATGTCACTGTCACCGAGTAACCCTCCAGGTCCCCTGCCCCCACTCACCACCCCTCCCACTACACTAACTCGACGTTATGGTTCGTTAATCTTCGTGTTGGTGTCTCTAACACGCCACTCAATAGATCTGTGAAGTTTCACATGAACTGTCGATTGGCACCTACTGTCAGTCGTCACAAAAATGACAGTTGTCGCACAGACTGTCAAATGTCACACAAACTGCCAAATGTCACACAAATTGTCAAATGTCATACCAACTGTCAAATGTCACACAAACTGTCAAATGTCACACAAAATGTCAAATGTCACACAAACTGTATATATCACACAAACTGTCAGTTGTCACAAAAAATGCCAATTGTCGCACATACTGTCAAATGTCACTCAAACTGTAAAATGTCACTCAAGCTGTCAGATGTCACACAAACAGCCAGATGTTACACAAACTGTCAATTATCGCACAAACCACTTTCTGTATCGCTACTTGTAACGTATATGAATGCATGTTGTACATCGATACCAATCAATCTTCGCGTTTATCGATTTACATTGATCAACGAATTCGTCCATCTGTTCATCACGTAGTCAGCGGTCAATCAAATCAGTAGCTCCCTCCATTTTTTCTCTGTTTCAAATCCTCATGTAGGGCCGTATCGATGTTATTTTTTGCTGGTATCGCTTCCTTTAACTTGATTCTGATCCTGGTCCAGACCCCTCAGAATCGTAACACCGATACCAACAAAGACCCAAAAAAAAAAACCTCGATACTACAACCTACTACTCCGTCCTACTGGAGAAGTACCCGCCTCCACACGCGACACTTTGATCGATCTCCCAGAATCGATGCTCTACAAAATTCCCACCTAACTAAATGCTGGCTGGCAAAAATTCGAAAGTTCATTTGGTTTTTCACAAGCAGAGTTTCTTCCAGGCATCTCTTCGGGGGGGGGGGGGGGGCTTTGCCCCCCCCTCCCCCGAAGAAAGTCTACCGCCCCCCCCCCCCGAAAATTTCAAGTGCCCCCCCCCCCCCCCCCCCCCGGAGAAAAAAGTCTGGAAGGTAGTTCTTAGTCCTTACAATCTGCCTGTCCTTTCATTGCTCTTTGCTTTGATAATTTCCTTGTTTTATTGATATGCTTTTCTTTTCGTCTACCCCTTTAACCATCAACACATTCAACGATCTTTTTTTTTGTTATTTAATAATGTCCCCCCCCCCCCCCAATTTATCATGTCTTATTTTGCTATAATATTACAATTGACACAAATTTTTGTATGTGCTTACTTAAATCAATAAGAAGTAATTTTATACTAATAACTGACCCAACCATCTCGTAAATAATAAATGTTCGATAATTTGTGGGTTTTAGGGATTAAGCACATAATAAAAGTGTCGGGGTTGGGGTGTAGGTGTGGTTTAACATTTTGTATCATTGTTATAAGTTATGTAGGCTTAATGTTTTTTCTACTAGTTTGTTATAATTTTTATAGTATAAGGTAATGGTGTATATGACAATGTTATACAGGCCTAATACTGCCTGAGAGATATTAAATTGTTATTTTTTGCAACATTTCTTTTAAGGATGGTTGAATAAATAAGCTGACACAACTGGTTTTTACACAATCAAAACTTTTAAAACACACTATATGACTCAACAGCTGATTCTAATAAAATGTAACACATGGGTTTTCTCTCATTGCAATTGCTTCACATTTTCAACACAGCCATCTGTAGTACCAAATGTTGTGATGGTTTGTGATAGGAGGAGGGGCGGGTTCCTAAAAAAGTTATAAAACATTATGTGGAGGTGGGGAGGGTTAAATGTGATATTTTGTTATATGTGCATAATCTCTACCATGACATACACGCCACACATTCTGTAAAATGTAAACAAATGATAATATAATCGAATACTTACTGGCATGGTTGTAAAAAAGAAAGTCTTACGGCTACTGTGTGAATGTGTAATGTGTTCTATCCCCCACAAGTCCACAGTTTGTTAGTGAATGGCGAGCTGGGCAGGTAGACAACTCTGAAAGTGCGGAGCGCGGACGAACATCTTGACATCCCCACCGCCGCAAAATGGACCGGCCTGGCCGCGTTACATGACAGTTATTCGTACAAACAAGGACGGTTTGATTTTAAAATTATGTGGGTGCTGGGTGTTATGTATAAATTCTATATTTTTATAAATACTCAACAAAAGAATAGCCATAACAAAACAAAATAAAGGTGATTTTTCGTGTGAATACAAAGTTAGTAATGTACGCGTTTCATACTTCACAGCTCGTAACCCCCCCCCCCCCCGTCTTGTATTTGAACAGCTGAGTCTCACTGTTGTATGGTAATATCATTAAAACACCCACCTTCCTGCATCTACGTACTTCAGCGATCGTTTGCAGTGATCCGTGACACAGCCCTTGTTCAGATGTCGAACTTTTGCTGCAGCCAGTTTTTCGTGTTATGAAGGCTGACTGCAGCAAGTATTTCATGTTACGAGCCGACCCGCGGCATATCATACGCCGCTATTTAGTTGTTGTTTTTTCTACTTTTCAGTTATTCATAATTTGTGATTTCGACACTACCAACGCTGCCACTGAAAATATTTCTTTAAAACACTATAAGTACGATAAGGACGATAACCCCCCCCCCCCCTCCTCCCCCCCCTCCGTTAAAGTAAACTCCACTTAGTTACCCCCTCCCCTACGTTTAAAATCGTTTCAAACTAAATTATCTGCCCCTAATAGTCGTCACTAAACCCGGCTCTGTTTGTAAACATTTAGAGTGAACACAGCTCACTAAGACCATGTAGGGGTGGGGATGGTAGGGAGCGCGTTTACAGCTTGTTTTCTAGCGTCTCCCAGAAGAGAATTGTATATACGAGCCGGCCCGCGGCATAACATACGCCGCTATTTAGTTCTTGTTTTTTCTACTTTTCAGTAATTCATAATTTGTGAATTCGACAGTACCAACGCTGCCACTGAAAATATTTCTTTAAAACACTATAAAGTAGCTCGTTAAGGACCATAACCCCCCCCCCTCTTTCCTTCCTCCCCCCCACGTTTAAAATCGTTGGCTCTGCTTGTAAACATTTAGAGTGAACACAGCTCACTAAAACCATGTAGGGGTGGGGAGGTAGGGAGCGCGTTTGCAGCTTGTTTTCTAGCGGCTCCCAGAAGAGAATTATATATATAGATAGATAGATGATTACCTGCGCTGGAAGGGTTAGCGCCCTTGGCTCCACTATCACTAACATTTTGTGGGTCGGTTATAAATGACGTCACACTATTTTAACCGAACTTTACCTCTCCTAGCTCTCATCAAAACAAAAAGCATACCCCTCTCCTGTCAGTTACAAAGTTTCACCCGATTAAAATAAAAACCATCAATTATTTTGACATAAAACAAAGTATTTGTACGTAATGTTTTTTTAGCTACCCCCTTAACTTGTTATGCGCCTTATAGGCCGTTGACTCCGATTTCAGCCTGCTTTTCTTTTTGGATTTCCCCCATGAACAATACTACAAGGCAGCAGTTGCTTGATTTTGGAGTTGTCTCTCCCAGATGAGTGGCTGTCCTTAGCTATCGAGCCTCATCTGTTCGAACTCGAGACTTATCGATTTAGCAACCATGAGCAGTATCGGCTCGACCACGTCGACGCCGTCATACACGGCCACACAAGTACGAGCCGTTCACCTAGGAGTATGACGTCATTGAATAGATGACCCTGTCCACGAGACTTGCTTAAAGTGAGCTTTGAGGTTAATGAGTATTTAAAAACAGAATGGAATAAACGGAAAGTTCAAGCTAGTAAAACAGCTTTAGGAGAAGATTCACCAAAGTCAATCAGTGGGCATTAGCTAGCCCGGGAGTCTTGAGTTCGGTTCCAAGATTCGGTCTCGTATGTGTCTCTTGTGTCTCAGCTTTCATGGGCCAAGTATAGGCAGCTGGGCAACAATCTCCACAAATGGCGATATAGCAGATAATAATAGACTTTTAAAAGTCACACAGCTAAGTAGTATGAAATTATCTTCGATTCATCCCATTACATTATAAAAAAAAATGTATACATATAAATATGAGCTACATCATATATAAGCTTACAATGATAAAATAATAATCCTCATAACAGTTATTTAACTGTTGAGGTCATACCAGAAACAAGTTTACCATCGAACGAGGTGTGTGTTAACACATAATGTAACTGTCACACGCCTCCATAATATTATAGTTTTTCCTCTCTCATTGATAAGGATAATATACACATGAACGTCAATGGAATCACTTAGACTAATTAGAGCAATTTTAACAATTAACCCCACTCTCTTTGTTTTAAACTGATTGCCCAATAAAAACAATAAAACAACAGCAAAGAGCAAAATATTTTCTTTAAAATAGCGATTTAGCTTCACGTGGTTTTATCAATACTAACATTGCGTTTTATACTGCTGAGTTGACCATCATGACAATGTGAAGCTAGCTAGTCAAGGAGACTTGTCAACACATCATGCAATGGAGTACATTCATCTCCATACAGTGGCGTAGCGAGGTCGGGTGTCACCCGGTGCGGCACTTAATGGTGTCACCCCCCCCCCCCCCAGAGGCATAGAGACCCTTCCCAGGGACAAACTTTCAAATTTTCGATTTGCACCCCCCCTCAAACTTTCGATTTGCACCCCCCCCTCAAGTTTTCGATTTGCACCCCCCCTCAAACTTTCGATTTGCACCCCCCCCCGAGTTTTTCTCTATATATTTTGCTATTTTTTGCCTTGGTGTCACCCCCCTAAATGGTGTCACCCGGTGCGGTCCGCACCCCCGCCCCCCCCCTCGCTACGCCCCTGTCTCCATAACCCAATTTTTTAAATTGTAATGCCCTGTTAATATTTTTATTATATCCCCCCCCCCCCTAGCACATCAGAATGCTTGCACCCATGAGACGGCTACACATCTAGACATTTTTGTTTGCAACTCTTTATGTAGTAGTTAGAAACTAGGGCTTTGCGCGTCCAGCATAGTACCTTCTCCTTATTTAAAAAAAAAAGGCTTAGCAGTAAATACAGCTGGGTAGCTTATTAAAAAGCAAAATCCTGCTAAATATTTTTTTAGGTCAGCCAATGTGATTAACTTCAAGGGATGTAATGGATCATAAAACAATGTGCACCAATGAACATATAGTTTAACTGTCTATAGAATCGACTTTGTTTATAAAGGACTACAATTATTATAATGCAGATCCCATTACACACATGCTATGCTTGTAATGTTCCAAAATATTCCCACAAGGAGATCGTATTTTTATAAACGTATATCACATGGACGCTAACTCTAAAAGTCTCGAGTTATCACCCTGGGCAGATGAGCCTCGTCAGCTGGTAACAAACATCAGCTCGTTTTGGAAAGAAAACAACACAATCAAACAAACGCTGCCTTGCAGATTTTACTTGAGTAGACAACAGAGTTTCTTCCAGGCACCTCTTTGTAAAAAAGTCTGCCACCCCCCCCCCCCCCCAGAACGAAATGGAATTTATATAGAAAATATATACTTTTAACAGTGTCCCCCCCCTCCCCGAAAATTTCAAGTGCCCCTTCCCCGGAGAAAAAAGTGGTAGACAAAGAAAGAAAAGCAGACCAAAATAGGAGTCAACGGAAAGTATGGACCATATTTTGTGTTGAAAAAAATCCCTTCAATATTGTAATTAAGAACCAAGAAAAAAAATCACCAAAAACTTTCCTCATTAAAAAACAATCAACAATTACTGTCTCAAATTACATTTTAGTATCATTACCACAATTGCAATAGCTGCTATGATTTGTGCATTATTGGTTTTAGTTTAGTTAGGAATATATTAATATAGTATTTGATCTGTAATTCTATATAGTCAGGAGTTTTGCAGAAACGTTCATGAAAATAATTTGTGGGTAGAAAAAAAATTGTCCAAGTCACATGACAACTTTAAATAGAAAGTCCTACTTTTCACTCTAAAATATTATTAAAACCATTTACTTTTTGTAAACATTCCGTATGCTACTAAATAAATGTTTACATATTTTTTTTTATAAATGGGTAGAAAACTTATTTAACTAGAAGCGGTCTAGAGCTCAAGTGGTTATAATTATAATTGTCTCAATGTCGAAAAAAGAGTACTTCATTTTTTAAAAATGTATTAATGCGCCGGAGTGTAAACAAAAATAGAATCAACCATGAGGCTAAAGGCAGAGGTGATTGTCTGTTACGATTTTAAACTACTCAGAGTTGTAATTATTTTAAGTTATACTATATATTAATATGCGTTATCATTTTAAATTTCAGACCATTCGCAAGCGGTCTAAAGTTCCCCTTCATGTGGCTAAGTTTTTGGATCTCTCAGGCCTAGAACTCGGTAACTTATGACGCCGTTGCTTCGTAACTATGCCTATACTTCCTGTTTTCAGAAAGTTCTAATAGATCTATTTAAAATTAAATAATGAAAATATATGCAAATAGATCTAAATCTACTAATAAAACATTAAAATACGCTTCCAATTTTCTATATAAATAGAACAATTATTAGATCTATATGAATTAAAACCCACACTCATCCAATTAATCATTATTTAAAAAAAAATAATCATGACTTCATTGTCTTCATCATAAAAGTTCTTAATCTTAAGACATGAAATAAATGACTAAATGATAAATCTAAAATAATTGTAATTTACAATTATTTTAAATTAATCATATCTCAGACAAAATATCTAATAACAAAAACATTATTTATGATGTTTTTAGTCGAGTTTAACATTAAAAAAAAATTGATGGTCATTGGTTTTTATTTACTTTTTTTTACACATAATATTAATAATAATTATGAGAAAAGATTTGTCGCATAGGGCTACTCACTTATCGAGAAGTTTGTTTCTCCAGACATGTATGGTATACATGTTGCACGCATGTTGCTATAAATAGCTATTTATCATTTTGGTGTCACCGTCTTAGGTAGTGTCACCAGGTGTTAAAACAAAGGTTCCTTAGAAATAATGTAGACCCAGAGTGGTAGTTAATGGAATTGATGATTGGAGGGAGGGGGGGGGGGTAAAAATGTCCACATATTATATGTGCCAGATACTATACAAGTGCATAATGTATGCGTGATTACTAGTGATAATTAATTGGACAGTTAAACTAAAAAATTCTTGTTTAGAAGTTTAAATGTTACACATTATATAATAATTTCTTGATGTAAATTTTAAAGTCCAACTTTTTACTTAAGTCAAGCTAGATCATCTGGAGCAGTGTGAGAACCTTCACTGGCTTAAAGCGCGGAACAACAAGTTAGAATCAGATGAAGGCTTGGAAAATCTCAAGCAACTTTGGTCTTTGGACCTCAGTAACAATCAGGTACAATCATGTCATGGATACGGCTTTTCAGTTATACTTTTTCTATGGGGCTTGCTTTTAGATCTTAAAAAAATGTTAATATCTCACTTTGCGTTGAATAAAAACTTATGATGATAGTGCTTCACCCCATCTTTAATGAGGTTGTTATGTACACACTTTAATTTAGTGCATTGGACAATTGACTCTACTGCTCTACTGCAGGCTATATATTGATTTACACAGAAGAAAAATAGCTGGCTCAGGATCATTACCCTCTCTATTTTAATCCTAGTGCACTTAGATCTTGGTTACTAACCATAAGAGAGGAATTCTTGTTTTGCTGTTCTAGGAGTTAATAAAAAAATGATGCCACAATCCTTAGGATAGGGAAAAGGGAGGAGGGGGGGTTAAGCTTATTTGAATGGTGCGTGAAAAGGGGGGAGAGGTGGGTTCAAACATTGTGCTGTCACACTTTTGCATTTAAAAAGTTAATTTTAAAACTATTTTAGTAGTTTTCATTTTAACCCTTTATCTACTGACGGTACTTATAAGTACCACTTTAATTAAATGCCTGTATTATTTTTATTTTAATACGAATTTAAAAAATTATTGAAGTAATTAATAGTATTATCTCCCCTGAGTCGCCGGTAGTCGGAGGTATCATTGTTTTTTGAAAATTACTGGTGTGACGCCATTTTCAATGTCTTGCTATATCGGTAGTTCACAATTTTTCTGTACATTTCTCACATACGTTCTTGATTTCCCTATGTTTTACCTTATTTTTCAAGTTTTCGACCCCAAATATTTTTTATTGGCAACTTCAATAGTCAGGCAAACGCATTTAACTTCTAGTTATACAATTTTAATCAAATTGTCTTTGTATTAGATCGATGTTTACAAGTGGACTTATAAGTACCGTCAGGGCACACGGTCATTTTTTTAAAGATTTTTAGAAAATGGCAGATTTTTAATGTGGAGTTACATAAATATTGTCTTGATAATTAATTATCGAAATGTACTCAAAAAATGATATTTACACATTTATAAGAAGTTTAGCATATGGTTTACCTAAGAAAGATTGTAATTACATGTCAATTTCTAGTAGTAAAAAATTAACAAGAATAAAGGTATCAGTTGCAGGCTCGTTTACAAGGTTTAGTTTACTTCATTTGTATACCAAAGCCTAGTTCTAGTTGTAAGATTTAATTTGTTAGTTATATTTACTGCACTAAACTGTCTTGCCTACAACAACTAGCATTTACGTAATGTATACATGTAGGCTAGTAATAGTCCATACTTCTGCATATAGTATTGATCTATATGGTAAATTTTAATCAGTAAACAGAAAGGAGTAGGCCACTACGGCTATCCTAAACACATTGAGCTCACTTCTATTTATGAACTTTGCACTGTAGTGTAGACTTTTCATAACATTTTAGTAGGCTACAATTATACTAGTATTACTTGTAGTTGCGTGCTGAATGACTAGGCTTTTGTTTGTTAATGCGGCACATTGTACTAGCTATTGGAAGCTTCCAGCAAAAGCATGTTCATTCCGGCAACCGTTGCTACACCAGAAAGACCACAGACAAGATTGAGGGAGCATGACATGTCGACTACTTTTGCTGTGTTTGAGGTCTAAGATGTGTTCCGATAGAAAATCCAGTAAAAATCGTACTCAAAATATACTTTTGTGCTGTATTTATGTGTGAAAATTACAAAAAGTGATTGTTATAATGATTGCCATGTTATTAGTTAATAAATTATATCGTTTGTTCCTGTTTTGTAAAAAAAAAATTTTTGAAAAAAAATGTCCTAGTTTACTGACGGTACTTATAAGTACCAATATCTGTTTGGGCCATTAAAAATTTATGAAACGAAATTTCCTTCGATATATGCTTTGAATGTGCCAAAAGCAATATAGTAACACATTGTTTAAGTAAAAATCTCATTCAGAACATAATTCCGTAAATAAAGGGTTAAAGATTGACCAATCTACCCAGCTCTGTTAAATTTTAGAATGAAATTGCTGTTTTAAATAATCCTAATAAAATGCAATTGGAGAGTGAGGGTAAGGTAGACTGAAGTAAAATGTCATTTATGAGAAGTAAAAAAAAGTTTGATGCAATTTTTTGACAACCTTTTAGCAAAAAGCATCTGTGTTTATATTTAAAAACTATTATGACATTCCTGAATTTCATTGAATAGATTTGCATATTGAACTCTCTGTCACGCTATCTGGCACTTGGAACAGTCATCCTGTCTAACAATAACCTCAAATGGATTGATCTAGAAAAAATCAGACATGCACACTTTCTTAGTATTAGTCTCCATGGCAACCCCTGTCTGGATTCAGATCCCTACTGTAAGTGAATGGCCTGTATGTAGTCTTTAATGTCTAGTGCAATCCCTGCACATAGCTATATGTTAGTTTGTATATAATTATATATGCTCATAAAATATAGTTGATTAAAAATCATTATGAAGTAATTGTAATGTTAAAAAGAAATAATATATTAATAATAAACACATGAAATGTTTTTATGTGAAGCTGGATGCTTAGAGATAATTTGATATATTTAATACTTTGAATCAGCAGTGCTGAGATTATACTTAAACTTAAATTCTCATAACAGAACTTTATTAATAAAAACCTATCAATAATATTTCTAGGTCAGTTAAATCATACATTATATAAATTCTACAAAATTCCTTTAACTAATGTAATAACAAATAAATAAAAGTGTGTAGAAATGTCTGTATCAACTATATAATATATACCTATAAAGTTTGTTTTAAATGTAATTGCTACATGTTTTTTTCTAGATCGCATTCATGCTATTGATTGTCTACCACTAATATGGGAACTGGATGGCCGTTTAGTTACTGGTAAGTAAATACAGTTGTACTTTTTAAAATCATTTCGTAACTATAATGCAATTAGTTACGCTAATGCTTTCACATACATCTACAGAATCTATTTGATAGTTGTATTAAAATATTGTGTTCATGATTCCAATTTTCATAAACTTTCAGTGACTGAACGGCTTCATGTTAAACAGTTCTTTATTGATTCAGAATTAACAGAACATCCTGTGGTAAATTTATTTTTCTTTAGTAGAGAGCTACATTGTTAACTCAAACATTCAGTTATAAGTTTCTCCCATAAGGGCTGCTATGTGAATTTCTGATTCTTCTTTTGTGTATCATTTAAAAAATATGAATTCTTTTTAAAGTACCACCAAGATATTATTTTACCCTAGGCTTTAGCACATACATTTCTTTCATAAAATTTAATTTGCCATCATAATTTTTTTAAACATTAGTATAAATGTTTCTGTAGGTATTGTACATTAATTATTATATGTTTGTTTCAAATATAACTTAATTGCATGAAGATTTAATGATCTCTTTTCATTCAAAATTGTAAAATCCTTTTCTTTTTTATTCAAATTTATTATTGCTATCACTTTTTCTTACCATTAAAGGAAACTTAACAAAACTTAAAATTTTCATTTACAGCGCCACAAAATGGGAAGAACTTTCCGCACCACAGCAGTAAAAAACATTGGAATTTTAGGTGTTGTGAGTAAACAGGTGCGTTCATGTTTGTCATTACATACATGTCTTACATAGCACATATCTAACGACAGAATATACTTACTTAGTTTACTTGAAATTGTTACATTGCTGTGTAAAAAGATATTATTAACTTTTTTTTTGTTAAATTGAAAACCAAAAAAGCATAGTCATTTCTCGCAAACCAGTTTTTTTTTTTTTTTAAAAATTTTATGTCTACAGTCACATTAAAATAAAAGTGCATTTTTATAAAGTATAACACACAGTTTGGGAAATACAATCATCATGTATTGAAAAACATCTGAAAGGATATTGTGGTTTAATAATAGAACATAGCCTTCCTCAATATCAGATTTCAATTCTTAGTTGATGACAATTCAAATCCTTACTATTAAATTAGTGACCATTTGTTATTCACCCTACTTTTCTATCAGTTTTTATAACTAATTTGAGGGCTTCATCATCAAGATTTTTCATACAGCTGAGGTCACAAGGAGTCCACTAACATTTTTCTTATTAATTTTTAGATTATTTTTTATTTTGGATAATTAGTCTAAGTTTAAAAATTTTTACTATTTTGGGTTCACTATAACATTATTTGATAGGTTGTAAATTGTTATTTTTCTTATTTTGGGTTATTAAGTTTTAAAATTGTTCTTACTTTAGGTTATTAAGTTTTTAAAATTTATCTTGTTTTGGGTTATTAGATTTTAAAATCAATCTTATTTTTGGTTATTAAGTTTTTAAATTGTTTTTATTTCAGTGTAAATACATCCATTCTAAGTTTTTACATTGTTCTTATTTCAGTTTAAATACATATATTCTAAGTTTTTAAATTGTGCTTATTTCAGTGTAAATACATCTATTCTAAGTTTCCTTTGTCAGAAACACATACAAAACGTGAGTTATGTAGATATCCGAATAGGTGCACTTGGTTTTTTAAATTCATGCTTAGTTATTTTATTCTGTTCTTATGTTATTTAATAACAGTAACTAGTTAGTCTGTACTGAAATCTAAAAAATAAACAATTGATGTTGGATAAATTGTATTATTATTGTGAGAAGATACTTGAAATCTCCAATTAATGTTTGGCCCCTTAAAATATTGTTTCAGATACTGATGAGCGCAGGCTGCGTTACCTGACCCGAATGGTCCAGGAAGATATTCTACGCTGGGTGTCGCATGGGGAAAACAAGTAAGTCATGGCAGACAGCAGTCTGAGCAGTTCACGACCCTTGTTTACAATCTAGCTAATCATTTTTAAAGGGATCATTGGATTTCAGTTGAAATATTTTGTTCTTTAAATTAAGTTCTTACTAATTTAAAATGTTACATTTTGTATGTATACACATTTTTGCCTCTTGTTTTTCATTTCTAAAAAATAAACAATTTATTCCATGGCAATAAAAAATTATTTACATTTGCTTGTATTCTTTTATACGTGAATTAGTCTTTTAATATTTTAGGATAACATTAAGATATATACTTTAATTATTCCAGTTTGCCAATTGGACTTTGTTGTTTTCTTTTAATGTTTCATAACATGTTCTTTGTTGTTGTTTGAAGGATGGCATCATTTATTTTTGCTTAGGTCTGTGGATTCAAGATCATCCCTACAGTCAATGTTCCCGAACCATTTCCTGGAAAAACTTATGGAAGCCAGAAAAGCTGATGTAGAAAGGTGTAACATGCTGCTGCTCCTGTTGGTGGTAAGATGGTTGCTTGGTTTGTGCTGTGGCTGTGTTATGATGTGGTTGTGTTGTAGTGTGGTTGTGTTGTAGTGTGGGTGTGTTATAGTGTGGGTGTGTTATAGTGTGATTGTTAATGTGGTTGTGTTGTCCTGTATTTGTGTTGTAATGTGTTTGTATCATATTGTTGCTGTGTTATAGTGTGATTGTGTTATAATATGATTGTGTTATAGTGTGGTTGTGTTGCTTTATGGTCATACTGTATCTAGTTATTATAAGTCAAAATGTTAGCTATCTACCTTGGGTTTAAATTAATATCTGTAATAGACATACTATCACTAGAAGAAGCAGACTTAGAATGTTTTTTAATGCAGCACCACTGATTTAGTCTAATTACTAAAGGATAGCAAATACTAGCAATCCTTTTAAATTTGTAGTTTTGCAGTTATTGTTCATTTAAAATATCTATAGTAAAACACCATAATTATCTTTGGTACCCTCCCCATTCAACATAATTTCCACATTGTTTTTCTGTTTGGTTTGATTTGAAGAAAAAATTAAACTTGTGCGAAAATATTTCAGATCTCTTTGGATTTCCAGCTTCCGACTTCACTGCTCAAATCTGTTTTGTCTGCAGTTGACTTGGACCCTTTTGGGTAAGCTACAATTTTTAAAATTCAATAATCATAAAATAGCTTATACATTATATTCTTTAAAAACTTTAATTACAATAAAGTAAATAAGTCCAAAGGTACAGCTATGTGTTATCAATTAAATGATGTAGATTTTCTGCTATTTTCAAGTTAAATGAAATTATTAAATGCTTAAATGAAACCGTTTAAGTAGTTCTTATCCAATCGATATTTAGTGTAGCGTAAATATCTGCCTTCACAAAATCTAAAATAGTACACGAAATAAAAAATTCTCTCTTCAGATCTGTCAGCATTTTACCATATTTTAAATAAAAACCTCTCCTCAGATCTGTCAGCATTTTACCATATTTTCTACTGCCCCCAAGTCACCGGACCCGCGTCATCTGCATCTTGTTGAATGCCGCAAAAGTTGATCGTGATAACAATGCTGTGAGTTGATCTTAGCACTGTGGGTTTGAACATGTGTGGAGCATCGTACTAGTATCTTATTCTAACTAGTATCTTATTCTATTATCTTATACTAACTAGTATCTTATTTTAAGTGGTATCTTACACTAACTAGTATCTGATTCTAACTATTATCTTATACTAACTAGTATCTTATTCTAACTATTATCTGTCCCTAACTAGTATCTTATAATAATAGCAATAAATGTTTGGTTAAATGTATGCAATATGGAACAAGAAGATAACAGGTGGGGAGGTGGGCGGCAGTCACAGAAGAAATTGGAAACCGCAAACCTACACCATGCGGATTTGATATCTATAAGATGCAATAGTTAGGTGAAGGCGCATGATTGCCAACTCCAAAAGTTCAAAGCTGAGACTCTGAGGGGATGAGCCCCGTTAGTTTAATAAGACAACCCATCTAGGAGAGCATATTCTAAAATTTAACAACTGCTGCCCTGCAGTTTGTTCTTGTGTAGACAAAGGCTGTGGAAACAAACCCAGAAAGAAAAGCTGGCAATTTAACTGGCTATACAGGCGCGTAACATGTTGATACCTAATAATTAATTTTATTGAAGGATAACCCCTGCAATATTACAGTCAAGAAGAAAGAAATCTATAGCCCACCAATGAATTTATAACTTATAATTTGATATCAATAGTACATCAAGAGAATTTGATATTAATATTACATCAAGAGAATTCGATATTGATATTACATCAAGAGAATTTTATATCTACATCAATAAGAGAAGACATCTATAGTACATCAACAAAGTAATTAGATTGCCATATAGTATTCACCAAGCTGATTTTATATTTCTATATTACAAAGTACATTGTTTTTCCACAGCACCTGATTGGTGGACTCTACCCACAACTGTTTATGTGTATCTACTTTGCTGTTTCCCAGTTGACCAAAATAAGCCAGACTTCAGAGGCCAACATGCATAAAATCAAATCTATTTCTTTGTAAGTGTTGCCAGACTGGCACACAACTTTTATTTTTATTTTACATTCTTTAAACATAGGTAGTAATTTTGATACAATATGAATTTGTTATTTATTTTATAATATTATAGTAAACTTTAAAAAAAATCTTTTTACTTCAAAGCTTTTATAACTGAGCCTTGTTTTTCATCCACCTACCAGCAACCTACCCCCCCCCCTCCACCCTCCCCATCCTGCTACTGACCACTCACTGGTTATATTTAAATATTCTTTGTTAACAGTTCTTCAGATTTTAACAAAATTTATTAGCAAAGTAGCAAAGTCTCCTCATGTAATATCAAAGTTTTGTTCACTATAAAGGGGAAGGGGGGTGCAAGGTGGAGCACCACACAATGACATGGAGTGCATTGTATCAGAGTGGAGCCTACCCTCTGTGATAAATTTATATCACATATGTATATGTATGATATATATGATATATACATATATATATATGATATATACATATATATATATATATATATATATATATATATATATATATATATATATATATATATATATATATATATATATATATATATATATATATATATATATATATATATAAGCTATATTGTTCTATTTTACTGCTGTGTATTGTGGAGATATCCACCCTATCATATATATGTATGTATTTTTATGTTATATTGTTCTAACCAACTGCGCATCTACCTATATCAGACATGCTGATTGTAAGGCTCTTATGGCTGGGGAAATTGTATCCCTGATGTTGCAAGTTCCGAGGTTCCTTACTTACCTTCAAACAGACGAAGGTCAGTCTATTTACACTTTATTCAAAACAATTTATTAAAGACACTTCTAATGTTTGTTCTACTGACGTTTCTTAAATGTGGCCAAAATAAATTATATTTTAAATGTAATTAGTTTTTAGTATTTTATTTTAATAATTTTCCTAATTAATTAGGCATTAAAATCAGTATGATAGTTAAAATAAGGATATTTTATTTAGAAATATTCTGATGAACTAATTAACATGAAATAAGGAAATATTTCTATATTTTAGGTGTATATAATCTTGTAGTGTTTCTGTATTCTAGGCATGTATAATTTTGTGTTTCTGTATTCTAGGTGTGTATAATCTTGTGGTGTTTCTGTATTTTAGGTGTGTATAATCTTGTGGTGTTTCTGTATTCTAGGTGTGTATAATCTTGTGGTGTTTCTGTATTTTAGGTGTGTATAATCTTGTGGTGTTTCTGTATTCTAGGTGTGTATAATCTTGTGGTGTTTCTGTATTTTAGGTGTGTATAATCTTGTGGTGTTTCTGTATTCAAGGTGTGTATAATCTTGTGGTGTTTCTGTATTCTAGGTGTGTATAATCTTGTGGTGTTTCTGTATTCTAGGTGTGTATAGTCTTGTGGTGTTTCTGTAAGCTAGGTGTGTATAGTCTTGTGGTGTTTCTGTATTCTAGGTGTGTATAGTCTTGTGGTGTTTCTGTAAGCTAGGTGTGTATAATCTTGTGGTGTTTCTGTTCTCTAGGTGTGTATAGTCTTGTGGTGTTTCTGTACTCTAGGTGTGTATAATCTTGTGGTGTTTCTGTTCTCTAGGTGTGTATAGTCTTGTGGTGTTTCTGTATTCAAGGTGTGTATAATCTTTTGGTGTTTCTGTATTCTAGGTGTGTATAATCTTGTGGTGTTTCTGTATTCAAGGTGTGTATAATCTTTTGGTGTTTCTGTATTCAAGGTGTGTATAATCTTGTGGTGTTTCTGTATTCAAGGTGTGTATAACCTTGTGTTTCTGTATTCTAGGTGTGTATAATCTTGTGGTGTTTCTGTATTCAAGATATGTATAATCTTTTGGTGTTTCTGTATTCTAGGTGTGTATAATCTTGTGGTGTTTCTGTTCTCTAGGCATGTATAATCTTGTTGTGTTTCTGTACTCTAGGTGTGTATAATGTTGTGGTGTTTCTGTATTCTAGGTGTGTATAATCTTGTCATCTGTATTCTAGGTGTGTATAATCTTGTGGTGTTTCTGTATTCTAGGTGTGTATAATCTTGTGGTGTTTCTGTTCTCTAGGCGTGTATAATCTTGTGGTGTTTCTGTTCTCTAGGCGTGTATAATCTTGTGGTGTTTCTGTTCTCTAGGCGTGTATAATCTTGTAGTGTTTCTGTACTCTAGGTGTGTATAACCTTGTGGTCTGTGCTGCTGGCAGTGAGGATCTGGTTGATGAATGGCAGGAGGAGCTGATCAAGGCAGAAAATATTTTTGTGAGTCTAGTCTTTAGTATTCCTGTCAGGTAAAGGTTTATTTGAATTGGAGTATTGTCAGCTAGCACCCCCAGTTCACCTCAGGCGAATAGCTAGTCTTGTGTTACATACTATAGGGCCGGATGATGAATTTTGTCTTTAATGACTTCCCATGTGCCTTTACTAATATACAGGCCTACAGGATGGAGGTCATCGATTATGATGTCCACCGGGGGGGGGGGGGGGGAGCTCTAAAATAATAAACATTTGAGAATGTGTGAACGTCTGCATGTTAAATTTAACATCAAAATGCTTAAATTTCAAAACGAACATGAAACATGTATCCTGCATGTAAAAAGGAAAATAAAAAAGAAAGTTAAAAAAAACTCCATCCCAATGTATAAGTAAAGTACAGTACCTATATACTTATATGGTCTTCTATACCATAAGCAACATCAAGCATTTACCTCCTCCCGCAACCTCACCCACCAACATCACATGCCATCACAAAAAGCCAGAACCCAACACCTCTTAAATATGTTACAAGTAAGAAACATTTATTCACACAACAATTAACTTAGTGTTTGATTTCTCAACTAATTAGGGATGTTAACAATTGATGTTTGAGAGTCAAACACCCACACATAAAACACACAAATAATTTCAGCTGATGTGTGATGTTAATGACTGATGTTTCAAACACCCACACATAAAACACCCATTATAATTTCAGCTGATGTGTGATGTTTATGACTGATGTTTCAAACACCCACACATATTACACCCACACAAAAAACACCCACTGTAATCTCAGCTGATGTTTATGACTGATGTTTCAGAACAAAGTGCCCATGCGTAAAGTCCACTCCACGGTAACTGAGAACATTCTCGCGGCTGTCCACACCAGACTGGACAAGATTGATGTCAAAATGTCTGACATTCCTGTTGGTGACAGATACCTGGCAGTAGGTTGACCTTTCACCTGAATGTACCTGTTTAAAAAAAAATGAAAAATAAATAATCCCTTATCCGTTATTGGGGCTCCAGAATTGGTGTAACTAGGGCTAAACTTGGCATGGCGGTGCCCACCCCTCTCCATGCCTGAACACAGCCGGGTGCCTCCATGCATGAAGCTCGCCTTGGTCACATGGAAGTTGAAGTTCCTCTAGGAACTCTTTTGCTGTGACCGGTGACCTTTACTAGAAGGCTATACGCCTGTGTTTGATTTTGGAGTTGTCTCTCCTAGATAGGTTGCTGTCCCCAGCTATCGGATTCTAAGTCAAAACTTTTCGGTTTAGCATTTAAAAAATAAATGACCCTCTATTTTCTTCAACCTTTAAATTTAGCATCTTGAGTTTGACAAACTATCTGTTAATTGTTATATTTTACAGGTTTTTCAATCTGTTGCTTTTTGCTAATCTGAAAATTTTCCTCTAAAAAATAATTCTTCCCATCCCTCCCAAAATAAATAATTCACCCTCCCTACTAATTTTTTATTCACTGTAATGAAAATTTGTGTTTATTTCTTCCTCTCTGTGGTATGTTTAAACTTTTCATAGACATGATCTCTTTGGGGGAGTATAGTCTATTTATTCTGTTTATGATATTTTATTTATTATTTAATGAAGTGAAATCCTTCTGTTGTTAAAATTTATTAACTTATTAATCACTTATGAAAACCATTTAAACGTTTTATTCTCTTTAAATGATTTATTTTGATTTTTGACATTTCACTGATTTTATAAAGAAATTTTTATTGATTACCTCCCCTGTGATTCAGTTGTCAGACTCGCTTCCCTTGAAACCAACCCACTCGGTGATCTGGGCCTCCCAGTTCCTCACTAAAGGCCAGCCCATCCCAAAGCTGGAGCCTCCCATTCTCAACCCGGCCAGAGAGGCAGCTAAAGAGAAACCCCAGCAACCAAGTTAGTACCAGTTTTCTTGGGGAATGTTACACTGAATGTTGCAGTGGGTGGGGTAGTTGTATTGGTCTGGGGTGGGGTGGGTGTGGGATTGGTGTAGGTCGGGGGGGGGGGGGGGGGAGATGGGGTAGTGGTATAGGTCTTGGGGGGTGGGGCAGTGTTATAGGTCTGGGGTGTGGGGGTGGGGCAGTGGTGTAGGTCTGGGGGGGGGGTGTGGAATTGGTATAGCTCTAGGGAGTGTTGGGGTGGAGAGGTATGGTAATCTATTAAGCTAAAGGTGGCTGAGTTCTGCTCCTTTAAATATGTATACAAATAAACTGCTTGGTAGGGCTTAAACCTTGCTCTTACACTAACCCTAACCTATACCAGTGTTGTTTATAGATGTATTTTTTTTTATAAGATGGCAAAAGTAAAATATCCCTGCATTGTTTGTATCAAAAAATTTAAAACACTTTGTGTGTGTTTTAATTTAAGTTAACTTTTAATTTCAGAACTTGGGGATAAAGTCTTGTTAAGCCCACAGGTAAGTTATATACCCACATATGAGTTACAGAATGATAAGATAAAGAGAATTTAGTCTAAACACTTGTGTCCAGCATGTATGAGTTGGTTTTATCTTTTGTCCAGCATGTATGAGTTGGTTTTATCTTTTGTCCAGCATGTATGAGTTGGTTTTATCTTTTGTCCAGCATGTCGTATGAGTTGGTTTTATCTTTTGTCCAGCATGTATGAGTTGGTTTTATCTTTTGTCCAGCATGTGTGAGTTGGTTTTATCTTTTGTCCAGCATGTATGAGTTGGTTTTATCTTTTGTCCAGCATGTATGAGTTGGTTTTATCTTTTGTCCAGCATGTCGTATGAGTTGGTTTTATCTTTTGTCCAGCATGTATGAGTTGGTTTTATCTTTTGTCCAGCATGTCGTATGAGTTGGTTTTATCTTTTGTCCAGCATGTATGAGTTGGTTTTATCTTTTGTCCAGCATGTGTGAGTTGGTTTTATCTTTTGTCCAGCATGTGTGAGTTGGTTTTATCTTTTGTCCAGCATGTATGAGTTGGTTTTATCTTTTGTCCAGCATGTATGAGTTGGTTTTATCTTTTGTCCAGCATGTATGAGTTGGTTTTATCTTGTGTCCAGCATGTATGAGTTGGTTTTATCTTTAGTCCAGCATGTATGAGTTGGTTTTATCTTTAGTCCAGCATGTATGAGTTGGTTTTATCTTTTGTCCAACATGTCGTATGAGTTGGTTTTATCTTTTGTCCAGCATGTGTGAGTTGGTTTTATCTTTTGTCCAGCATGTATGAGTTGGTTTTATCTTTTGTCCAGCATGTATGAGTTGGTTTTATCTTTTGTCCAGCATGTATGAGTTGGTTTTATCTTTTGTCCAGCATGTATGAGTTGGTTTTATCTTTTGTCCAGCATGTATGAGTTGGTTTTATCTTTTGTCCAGCATGTATGAGTTGGTTTTATCTTTTGTCCAGCATGTATGAGTTGGTTTTATCTTTTGTCCAGTATGCATGAGTTGGTTTTATCTTTTGTCCAGCATGTATGAGTTGGTTTTATCTTTTGTCCAGCATGTCGTATGAGTTGGTTTTATCTTTTGTCCAGCATGTCGTATGAGTTGGTTTTATCTTTTGTCCAGCATGTATGAGTTGGTTTTATCTTTTGTCCAGCATGTGTGAGTTGGTTTTATCTTTTGTCCAGCATGTATGAGTTGGTTTTATCTTTTGTCCAGCATGTATGAGTTGGTTTTATCTTTTGTCCAGCATGTATGAGTTGGTTTTATCTTTTGTCCAGCATGTATGAGTTGGTTTTATCTTTTGTCCAGCATGTATGAGTTGGTTTTATCTTTTGTCCAGCATGTCGTATGAGTTGGTTTTATCTTTTGTCCAGCATGTATGAGTTGGTTTTATCTTTTGTCCAGCATGTATGAGTTGGTTTTATCTTTTGTCCAGCATGTATGAGTTGTTTTATCTTTTGTCCAGCATGTATGAGTTGGTTTTATCTTTTGTCCAGCATGTATGAGTTGGTTTTATCTTTTGTCCAGCATGTGTGAGTTGGTTTTATCTTTTGTCCAGCATGTATGAGTTGGTTTTATCTTTAGTCCAGCATGTGTGAGTTGGTTTTATCTTTTGTCCAGCATGTATGAGTTGTTTTTATCTTTTGTCCAGCATGTATGAGTTGGTTTTATCTTTAGTCCAGCATGTGTGAGTTGGTTTTATCTTTTGTCCAGCATGTGTGAGTTGGTTTTATCTTTGTTGACAGGTGGTTGGTGAAATCAGCATGCTGTTGGCTGGGGAGATAGCTCTGGTCAAAATAGATGGGGTCCCAGGTGAGTAGAGATTATATGTCAGGTGTGTAGTCCCAGATGTGTGGAGATTGTAATCCCAGGTGTGTAGAGATGTGTAATCCCATCTGTGTGGAGATGTGTAATCCCATCTGTGTGGAGATGTGTAATCCCATCTGTGTGGAGATGTGTAATCCCATCTGTGTGGAGATGTGTAATCCCATCTGTGTGGAGATGTGTAATCCCATCTGTGTGGAGATGTGTAATCCCATCTGTGTGGAGATGTGTAATCCCATCTGTGTGGAGATGTGTAATCCCATCTGTGTGGAGATGTGTAATCCCAGGTGTATGGAGAGGATACCTGAGGTGAACAACCTTAAGTGTGTATTCCTGGGTGTGTAATCTCAGGTGTGTAATCCCAGGTGTGTAGAGATACCACTGTAGTACCTGTATGTAGTGGTGTATGTGTGCAGTATCATCTCCCACTCCCGACTCAGTGTTCCCTTCTCACCTGTTGATTGACATGACTATATTTAGCTCTATACTAGTTGATAAATACAACTGTTAACACTGACTAAAACATTCAACACCAAAAATATAAGCACTACAACACTTGTAAACATTGTCGCTAACATTAATTGATATTTATTTTATATTTATAAAAAAATAATTGTAAGAAATTGAGCGATGTGCTGTGTATCTTCCCCACCAACTCCTCCCCCACCCCTAACTGTTGTTGTTGTATGTGCTTGCAGTGTCCACTGGCGGTATTGTCAACAAGTTTAAAAACAGTGAAGCCCACTACAGCTATGTTGACATGAGGGCTATGTGCTTCTCAAGGGACATTGGCATGTGGAAACCAATCAAAACAGATGGCAATAAGTAAGTCACAGTTATTTCCCTTTAAGCTCTTTAATAATATCCATAATTATATAAAAGTTGGGTTTTATGATTTGAAAATGTTTCCATATTGTTCTTAACTGTAATGCTCTAGAGCAGGGGTTCCCAACCCTGTGCCCGCGGGCGCCATGGCGCCCGCTGAATGATTCGTATGTGCCCGCCTCTCACTATTCGACAGAGACAGAATTTTTTTCATAAACATTATTTTAAAATATGATTTATTTTTATTCATTTGTTACAGTTTTAATTTTTTTTTGACTGCCTAGGTATATTAAATATGTTCAATACTTGTCCCAAATTGTCTAGAGGCGAGCCAGACTGCACTATTTACGCTAGCCTGAAATGGCTAGTGCCATTTGAATAATTTTTTGGTTCGACATATTTATACAAATCATTGTTTTCAAACATGAACTTAATAAAATCAAGATATAGATCTCGACTCACCGATGAGCATCTTTATGATTGTCTGCTAACAGGATTATCGTCATACGCTCCAAATTATGAATCTCTGGCCAATGAAATGCAATGCCAAAGATCACATTGACTTTATTATATTTTTTAATTAAATGTTTTCTTTGTATTAATGTGTTTTGTTTACTTTCTTTACGTTTTGTAAATACATTTCTCAGTGTGTATGCAATTTGAAAAAAATGCCAAATAATTTTATTATTTTGAAACATTTTTGTTTATTATTTATTAATACATTATGACTATAAGAAAATAAGAAAATAAATTATGGGAAAATGACAAGTTATGGAAGGAGTTTGTTGATTTAAAATAGGTGGTGCCCGCCACCCTACCGATATTTTAGAATGCGCTCTAGAGTAAAAAAAGGTTGGGAACCCCTGCTCTAGAGGTTATTACATGTCATCTTGTAATGTGGCCCATTGACTTCCCCTCTGCTCTTGTTTCTGGATTTGCTTCCATAGCCTTCTGTCCAGCCAAGAACAAACTGCAAGACAGCAGTTGTCTGATTTTAGAGTTGTCTCTCTTAGATGGGTTGCTGTTCACAGCTAAAGAGACTCATCTACCCCAGGGTCCAAACTTGTGGAGTTAGTTATCAAACACGCTTTTATCCAACCATGGTGTTCAAAATGTTTTGAAATGAGTTGGCTCAGAGAGATGTGTTTATGAAAACTTTATTGTTTTTCTAAGACTTATTCATAGATGAGACTTATTTCTTGAAATGTTATTCATATTTATTTTTTGTAAGTATAAAAAAAAGCCAGTAAATTTTTTTCCCCCCTTTGCCATGTCTTGACAAGTTATTGTCAGCAAACAAGACACCTAGGTGATGTTGATGTTCAGCAGTAGAAACTACAGGGGATGACTGAAAATGAGACCACAGTATTGGTGTTGATTAAAAAAATAAATTCTATTCAAATTGTAACTTTTCAGATTTACCCTCCACTTTGCAGTGATTAATTTAAAAAAAAAGAAATTGTCTACAAATTTTAACTTTTCAGATTTACCCTCCACTTTGCAGTGATTAATTAAAAAAAAAATTGTCTACAAATTTTAACTTTTCAGATTTACCCTCCACTTTGCAGTGATTAATTAAAAAAAAAATTGTCTACAAATTTTAACTTTTCAGATTTACCCTCCACTTTGCAGTGATTAATTAAAAAAAAAATTGTCTACAAATTTTAACTTTTCAGATTTACCCTCCACTTTGCAGCGATTAATTAAAAAAAAAATTGTCTACAAATTTTAACTTTTCAGATTTACCCTCCACTTTGCAGTGATTAATTAAAAAAAAAATTATCTACAAATTTTAACTTTTCAGATTTACCCTCCACTTTGCAGTGATTAATTAAAAAAAAAATTGTCTACAAATTTTAACTTTTCAGATTTACCCTCCACTTTGCAGTGATTAATTAAAAAAAAATTATCTACAAATTTTAACTTTTCAGATTTACCCTCCACTTTGCAGTGATTAATTAAAAAAAAAATTATCTACAAATTTTAACTTTTCAGATTTACCCTCCACTTTGCAGTGATTAATTAAAAAAAAAATTGTCTACAAATTTTAACTTTTCAGATTTACCCTCCACTCTGCTGTGAGTAAAGGGAAGAATGGAGCCAATGAAAACTTACTCATGCTTCTCCCAACTGAGGTCAGTTGAGGTCATTTCCTGTTCTTGCTTTCACCTAATGATTTGATCAGAGTAGTGGTTTAATTAATGGAATAATGAATCCATCCAAATTTTCAATTTTAAAATTTCCTAGAGTTATAAAATTCTTGGTTTTAAAACTTACACATAGAAGAGTTTTATAGAGCGGGAGGAACTGATTTTGTTTTTGTGATTTCCTTTATAAGTTACAAATTTTTATTTTTCCCAGGCCAAACTTTCTCATACGGGAGGGAGTTTCCTGACCAAGAGGGCCATGTCTGCTGGGCCGCTCAACAAAAGAGCCTTGTCATCTGAGTCACTCAACAAGAACAAACACAATGTTAGTGCTCATGTAGATGGTTTCATAGCTTGTACTCTTGCAGACTTGACCGCCCATACTGCAGATGAAGTAGAATGGCTTTTAGAGATGTTGGCCCATATTACAGATGACAGGATAGACAATAATACAGATGAAGAGGCAGATGAAGTAGAGTTCGTATGCTTTAAGCTTTGAGCTCAGCATATGAAGGGATAGTGTGGCCTACACTGTGCCGAGCATTCCTTTAGTTTAACCAACTCATGCCAGATACTCATCAGAGCTGGGTGGACTCAGGGATGTCTTAAACATTCCCACTTGGGAATATAACAGCATCCATTTTATCTGATGGTGATAAGTGAAGAACCCAGTCTACACCAGATGATCACAACATCACATGATCAGATGATCACAACATCTCATGATCACAACATCACATGATCACAACACTACAACATCAGATGATGACAACATCACATGATCACAACATTACATGATCACAACATCACATGATCACAACACTACATCATCAGATGATCACAACATCACATGATCACAACATCAGATGATCACAACATCACATGATCACAACATCACATGATCACAACATCACATGATCACAACATCACATGATCACAACATCACATGATCACAACATCACATGATCACAACATCACATGATCCCAACACTACAACATCAGATGATCACAACATAAAATGATCACAACATAAAATGATCACAACATCACATGATCACAGCATCACATGATCACAACATCACATGATCACAACATCACATGATCACAACACTACAACATCAGATGATCACAACATCACATGATCACAACATCACATGATCACAACATCACATGATCACATCATGACACCATCAAAACAGAACAAGAACATTAAGAATCTTCATGTTTATTTTGACCCCCAGTGCAATCTTCAACCATTTCATGCTTGTACCTCCATCTCAACCAGGTGAACAGAAGTATGAGCCAAACGTATGAAGACGTACATCCAGGAGCCCCGCTGTTTGAGACTGACCACTCTGTTTTCATCACCGACCTGTCCCGATATAAATTTGACCATTACGCTCATGATGGCGCTGTCGTTGTTCCCAACCCCAGTCAGTACCTGGGCCTGGAAGGCAAAGCTAGCCAGAGATCTTTATCAGCGGTCAGTTCCTTTTTATCTTAGCTAGAACTGCTGGTAGGCGTAGCTAGCCAAAGATCTAAACCATTGGTCAGTTCCTGTTTATCTTAGCTAGAGATGGTTGTATACATTTTGATGAAGGCACATATCATCCCTGGGACATGGTTTTAAGTTGTGCAGAAGCCAAATAAAATTTTAAGCTGTATATGAAATAAAAGAATACTGCAACCAAATACAATTTTTTTGTTCAGGCTCCAATAGCTGTTGTTACTTTTGTAAGTGAAGTTTTGATTGGATGTTTTCATCAGACTTTTTTACTGTTCTATTGATGAGATTTTTTTACATTGTTTGATTTTTAACAGCAGCACCTTTTTTGGTCTGCATTTTTTTTTTAATGAAATCTGGATTTCGTTTTTTTATTTTGCTTTATTTCTGGTTCTTTTCTCAGCAATTTTAATCTCCTTTTGTAAAATTAGTGGAAAAATATTTTGGGTTTGTGAAATAAAATAAAAATTCTTTTTTTTGTTCCATCACATTTGAGTAGTTACAAATAACATTTTGAAAATTTTTTCAAATGTTTTAATGTCAAAATTTTTTGTTGGTAAGTTCCAATTATAAAACTGCCTTTGTCTTGTCGGCATATTGTTGTCTTTGAGTATTTTCTTGTATATTTTATAACTTGTTTATTCAGCTTTTATTTGTTCAATTCTAATTCACTGTCAAAATGTTTGGCGTATTTTGTTGTGATAAGATTGTTTTAATTAAGCTTATGATTTTTTGTCTGAATTTTGCACTGTTCATAATTTGGATCATTATAAGCCAACATTTAGTTGGATTTGCTATGGGCTAGCGTATTCTATTTTAGACTAGCTACAATGAGTCTTAAAAACAGAATTGACTGGCTAAAGAATAGAAAAATATTGTTGGAGCCAGATCACAGCAGATCAAAAAAAGATGTTTCCCAATGCTTATTGATTTTGTTGCATAGTTTATTAATTTTTAATTTATATGTTCATTTCCAAAGTTGTTTTGTTTTAAATGATTAATAAACCAACTAGTATGTAAATTAGCAGTCTAAATATAATAAAAAGCTGGTAGGGGAGTGAAATTCAAAATATTTTGTTACTTTACTTACTCTCTACGAAAACAACAGGGGCAATTTAAAACTTTGTAATTATTTTTGTGTAATCAGATTTGATTGGCATCAACAAGCAATTTGTTTTCCGTAACATGCCAGTCTTCATGTTTTTCTTCTCCCTGCAGGTGCCATTTCCTGACTCTGTGGATCAGACAGGCAGGTAGGTTGTATTTACCTTTATATGGCATTTGTGCTGTTTTTGGTAACTCATACCTGCATCTTACCTGTCTAGGTAAACATAGGTATTCTAACAGAGCTTTCAAACATTTCAGTGTTAAGACTTGGCTAGGCCATAGAGAGGAATTCTCTAGACTTATGTTTTTGGTGTAAATACTGTTCTTGTTTTTGACTTAAGTTCTTAGGATTCGGTGAGCTCACTCAGTCCTAACCTAACGAGTACCTAGCATTAGTTGGTAAAAAGAAAAAAATTGCTGGGCCACAATTGTCATGTATGTGGGCAGCATGAAACCGTCATCTGTATCTGCCTCTTGGGCAAACAGGTCAAAGAGGGCATAGTTTTTGTGCATTTTATTTTTTTTTTATAAATTTTTTCCCCTCAAAAGATATCCGTGGTGCTTAATAATAGGTATAAAAACGTGAACAAAAATTCTAGATTTTAACATGCATTGGGACGTTATTTTAGATTTAGACAAATTTGAGGATTTCAATATTCGTTGGGAAATCATTTTCGATCTAGAAAAATTTGAAAATTTTAATCTTAATTAGGAAATCATTTTTGATGTAGACAAATTTCTACTTAAGGTATTTAAATAGCCACTCAAAACTCTGAGTAAACGTAGAATAAATTACGTATTTTAATGAAGTGCTATCATAGTTGTTGATTTTTCTGAAAAGTTATTTATGTAATGTCAGGAGCGATGGTTCAGCTAGACAAGAGAACCTGGACCAACATGGATCTGACCTGCACGTCCCCAACTTAATGAGTGAGGTCACACCCGGGGCAAAGTCTGTGATCCAACTCCCACACCATACAGTACCCCAGGCCACGGAAGGTCTAGAGCAGCTGACCCCAACATCTGAGCCGGGAATGGAACAATTGACCCCTGTATCTGAGCAGGGAATGGAACAATTGACCCCTGTATCTGAGCAGGGAATGGAACAATTGACCCCTGTATCTGAGCAACAAATGGACATCTCGAGCCCATCTCAACAGATAATAGACAAGCCTGACCCAGTGTCTCAACACAAAACAGATCAGTTGACCCGTAAATCTGAACAAAACATGGACACAGTGAACTCACTATCTGAAGAAAAAGTGGATAAGATGACCCTAACATCCGAACAGGCTGCGAAAAATGTTTCGGGGGTCACACCAAAGAAAGGAAGATTCACAAACGGTGAGATGTTTGTATACTTAAACATGCCCTGTCATGTGATCTGTGAACTTTATAGCTCTTCTGTGAACAATTGTCTAACATATGCTCAAATAATCTGTAAACAATTGTCCAACAATTCTATCCGATAAATATTTGTTAAACAAGTGTTTAACAAATATAAAAATATTCTCTAGGCAGCTATCTGACAAATATTCTTTAAACAAGTGTCTAACAAATATACAAATATTCCATAAACAGCTATCTGATAAATATTCTTTAAACAATATCTAACAAATATAAAAATATTCTATAAACAGCTATCTGACAAATATTCTCTCAACAACTATCTAACAAATATTCTGTAAACAACTATCTGACAAATATTCTGTAAACAACTATCTGACAAATATTCTGTAAACAACTACATGACAAATATTCTGTAAACAACTACATGACAAATATTCTGTAAACAACTGTTTGACAAGACAACTATTCTCTCAACAAGTGTCTATAAAATATTTTGTAAACAAGTGTCTAAAATAATCTGTAAACAATCTCAAGACAACTATTCTCTCAACAAATGTCTATTAAAAAAATCTACTTCCATCTGCCAGGGTTCCTAACCTCAGACGCCGCTGAGAAAAAAAGCATCACGTTTCAAGACATCAAACTGAAGGAGGCGGGTCTTGTGGAACCTTCTAGTGTTATCAGGTTAGGCTTGACCACTGCTCTTACTTAAGGTTAAGTCTTTGTGAATTGTTTAATGCATTAGCAGGTAGGATTTGGGGCCTCGTTAGGAAACAAACTGGAACAAGACAAACAGTTCCCATCAGAGTGCTGATGTAAGGCTGCGAGTTTCTCCATCACCACTACTTTGCAATAGACGGAACATGACTTTGATCCAGAAGTTATTTTGATTCCTGAAGCTTTTTTTTTTTGTGTTAATTTTTACAATTTAAAAAAATCTTAACTGATTGCAAGAACAAATAACTTTATTACTTTCTAGTAAATGTTAGTTGCCCAAAAATTAATAACGCATCTTTGCCAATAAAACAGATAGATTGTACTTACATAAATTAATTAACAATTTTTTTTTGATTGAAGAAGCAGGTTCTAAATATTGTAAAAATTATCATGTTTTATAGTTCTGAGTAATTTGTGATAAACCTTTTTTAAAGTATTTAATTTAAAAAAAAAAAATATCTCAAGGACTATCAATCCTTGTTAGCTTATCTTATAATCTTGTAGGACTAGGGCACTTATCTTATAATCCTGTAGGACCAGGGCACTTATCTTATAATCCCTTAGGACTAGGGCACTTATCTTATAATCCCTTAGGACTAGGGCACTTATCTTATAATCCCTTAGGACTAGGACAGCTCTAAAAAGTGCCTCAGAAAGACAACTCTTCCATGAGCAGCAGTTTGAGAAGTTCAGACGCCAGAGGCCATACACTGCCATTGGTCATCAGAGAGCCATTGGGTGTGGTCAACAAACAGCAGGGAATCAAACTCTTGGCAGTGGTGAGCCCTTCACAACTTTTTGTGCATAATCAAGCTTATTAAGAAAACTTTATCATTGAATTTTTATTTTAAACAAATTTTATTTGTTCAGTTTAATTTGAGGTTTCAGTTTTTATATTTAGATTTGTTAGGCTTAAATTACATAAAAGTTATCATAGTTTTTGAAAGTAATAAAAAAACATCAGCCAAGCAGTATTGTATATCATTATGCTGTATTAGCTTTTAATATAAAGAAACCTTTTACAATTTGGCATGTTACAATTTGTTGTGTCACCATGTAATGGAAATATTTATCTGGCCTCTCTGCCCATTAGCAATGAAGGCTCCACCTCCACAGCGTCCATCGTCACCTACAGCATCAGAGGAACCAAAGCGGAGACCTGTGAAAATAGCCCACGCAGGGCAGTGGTTGGGGGGTGGGCGCGACCTGTTCTGGGAGGAAGTCAGGAAAAGGCCAAAATCTGGACACGTACCTGGATGGAAGGAAGGTCTGCCTAAGAGCATGACCAAGCCCAGGCCTAAGTCGGCACTAGTCGCTTATGTCCGGCCGTAAGTGTTTTTTTTTTCACCTGTACTAATGTTAAAATTGAAATTTTTTTTTTAAAGAAGATGAATCAATTTACTATAACTTATTACTGTGACATCACCCACTCATTACTTTTAAAGTCAGGGAGTTTTTTTTTTGAAGATTTAACCCATTTATAGACTGGTAGCAATCCAACATTATCCTTATGTTATCCAGGGATCAGCATGGCCCAAGTTATCCACTGGATGGATCCATGTACTCCGAAGATTTCCAGACATTAGAAGACCAGTACAAGCTGGCGTATTGGTCCGTTCAGCCACTTCACACATGTAGCCAGGTTTTTAGCTCCAGACCTGATGCAGACACGGACAGAATGTCAGTAGAATTTTACTTTACTCAAACATACGTACAAACATGTTGTAATCTAACTTTTTAATAATTAATTAATAATGCCAAAATTATATTTAAAAATTTTATACATTAAATAATTAAAAAAAACCTGTTTTAAAATTTCAGAATACCCATACTACTTTTGAATTTTTGCTATAGTTTATATCCATTAGTAAAAATTCAGGGATATAATTTAAAAATAGAATAAGCTTGTTTTATTGTGTCATAAGTCTTGTTTCTAAATTCAGCATCACTTTTCCCATTAGTGCCCAAGACACCTGGGGCAGATGAAGTAGAGTTCATCTATTTCAATGACCTTGGCATATGAAAGGATAGTGTGGTCATTCCCTAAAATGAGTTGGGTACATCTTTGAGCTGAGTGGACTCAGGGACATCCTACAGACTCAAATCCATGACTCAAACTCAAAATGTTTGGGTTAGCTGTTGTAAGCTGTACCACCTGAGCACGCCATTCCCCTGTTTTTATATTAGACATTATTTTGTAACTGATAATTTCTCAGAATTTGCAGCAGTTTTATAATATTCTAAATTTTGTTTCAGGTCTGGTCTAAGTGTTCATGGGTTCCCATTGCTTACAGCAGATGAGGACACGAATGGTGTAGGTGAATTTTATACTGCTGACAAGCTGAAAGGAAGTAAACTTTTTTCTAAAAGATCAGCTTCCCCAAGGGGGATAAGTTCAAAAGAATTAACAATCAGGCACACGAATGAGAGAAGGGTAGGATATACCAGTGACTACGACAGGAACTTTCAAACCGCAGGAAATGACAGCCAACCAGGACAGGCTGTTGTGCCGTACTCTGTTGCACCTGATCCAGCTGATGCACAAATTGTTGCAGACAGATCTACGCCAGATAAAGATCATGGACCATACAATAATGTACCACAAAATTTTGTACCAGAAGCACCTGGAAATAAAGTTGAGTCCGTCCAGATGAGGCAGGAAGGGAATGAAATAATCCATGTCAGTATTGAGTCGAGGAGTTTAACAAAATTTGTTTAACAAAACTAATCTTGTCAGTGTATACCTAAAAGATAAACTTTCAGTTTCTCAGTTAGTAAATTAGACATGTTACCTCTTTAAAATACTAAATAACAACTTGGCTGTTACACATTGTTTAAAAAAAATTGCCATTCCACATCTAAAAAAAAATCTTGACATTTCCTGGTTACATTTGAAAACTTTCCTGCACATGGAAAAAAATCTGGACTCAAGTTGATAGTTTGTCATAGAATAGGACCCATCAAATAGGGTAGTGTGTATACAAAATCTGGCATATAGACTGTTTTTTTTACAGACTGCATGATATAGTAGGGGCTAGGCATTCTAGAAGCTAGGCATTCTATGAGCTAGGTTTATTTTTTATTGTAGGAGCTACCCCTATTTATACTTTTAATTAAAAATTTTTTTTCATTCAAATAAATTCTTGTTGTAAAGAATGATTAGGTCTACAGTCTACAATACAGTGTTAGCATGTTATTGCAACCTTTCATAACTTGCTAGGCTCTATGTTTAAGTGAAATTTAGTTATATTTCAACAACAGTTGTTATATTTTTGAATAAAAATATTGATCTCATTATGTTTTGAATATATTCTAGCAACTAAAATAAACATTGGCAATGTAATAAAAACTTAAAACTTTGGTAACTTAACATTCTAAAAAAACATTACTGAAAATAATCAGTTCACATAGGTATAGGATAATGTAGACACGTAAGATATTGTAGCATACTTTGTTATATGCTGTAGAAGATTATTTTATGTTGTAGTTGTGTTATTTAAAGGAGTTTTGGTGTTGGGAATCTGGTCACTTGGATGTGCCAAAATTTTATATATTTTTTCATTTCACTCGAATGGGCTACAATTTTAGTATTATATACGTCTCTTGAATATGCTACAATTTTATTATTATTTGGGTTAATTGAATGTGGTGCTATTATAAATGATTTTGGTATCTTGAATCATGAATGTGCTTCAATTTTAACATGACTTTGGTATCTTGCTACAAATTCAATATGATTTTGATATGTTCAAAATGCTACAATTGTATTATTATTTTGGTTACTTCATTATGCTACAATTTTAATATGACTCGGTGCTCTCAATGGTAATCTGTAAACGATATCATGCATATGGATTGGGGAGGGGGGGGCGGAGCTTAAGCTTGGCTAAAACTGCAGATAATCGAACATGGATGACCCCTAATTTAAACTATTAAATATGATGTGTTACCTATAGGCATTCTACTGGCCTCTGTGATATATTTCCTTCAAAACGTCTCAGACATGTTGAACAATACATTGTTACCTATAAGTATTGTACCAGCTTTTGTAATATTTATCTTTCGAAAAGTCTCAGATATGTTGACCGATGCATTGTTTTGATGCAAAGGAAGATTTTTATATAGCTTTTACACCTATTGTAAAGAATATATTTTTATAAATATTTTTGCGATTAAATTATTTTTGTATAAACTTGCATTTTACTTTCATTGCCTTTGCACTGAAAATAAGAAAATAAAACTAATCTGCTTTCTTTAATAAAAGTATTCAAAGCATTATAATAAAGCCTTTATTTTCTAAAATAAGCGACCAAAGGTTTTGATTAAAGAAAGCAAATTAGTTTTATTTTCTTATTTTCAGTGCATTTAAGATCTTGTTATTATAAAAGTTTATGTATTTGTTTTATTCGTATTTAAAAATCGCCAAAAAATAAATAAATAAATAAATAAAAAAAAAAAAAAGAAAAAACTACCCAAGACCCATAACTCTAGTTTTAAAAATAATCCATATCAAAAGTCCCCGTGAAGACTAGTTGAGCGATCGTCTGCAAGTTAATGTGAGCGCGGCGGGGAATCCTTACTGAAAGAGACGTTATGAAAGAGACCTGCTTTAGATTTCGACATACCATGAGTAGCCTTATTTTTTCGTGTTTTTTTTTCGTCTTCTTCTAATTCTGTTTTTTTTTAAAACTGGACAAGACTGAATTGCGGCAACGCCATCCTTGACCTTCCCTTTCACGAAAAAAAAAAAATAAAGATAAAAATTACCAGAAAGGTTAAATGAAAAAAAAAATCCGTTTATTTAAAAATATTTTTACATTAAATCAGTTTGGAATGGAATGTTCGAAATCAGAAATGTAGGCCTAAGTGACAAAACATCGTAATTCCGAAATAATTCATTAATAAAATTTGAAGTTTTTATCACAAGTTGGTCTAGGTTGTAACATGCAGCTTATCTTTGATTGAGTTGTCGACTATTAGCCTATAGGCTACACAGAGAGGCGTGGCAATCTCTATATATAATTCTCTTCTGGGAGACGCTAGAAAACAAGCTGTAAACGCACTCCCTACCACCCCCACCCCTACATGGTCTGGTGAGCTGTGGTTCACTCTAAATGTTTACAAACAGAGCCGGGTTTAGTGACGACAATTAGGGGCAGATAATTTAGTTTGAAACGATTTTAAACGTAGGGGGGGGGGGGGGGTAACTAAGTGGAGTTTACTTTAACGGAGGGAGGGGGGGGCGGGGCGGGGGAAAGGAGGGGAGGATTATCGTCCTTAACGAGCTACTTATAGTGTTTTAAATAAATATTTTCAGTGGCAGCGTTGGTAGTGTCGAATTCACAAATTATGAATAACTGAAATTTAGTAAAAACAACAACTAAATAGCGGCGTATGATATGCCGCGGGTCGGCTCGTGTGTTTATATTAAATGTGTCCCATAGAGACTAGGCATGTATTAAAACAAGATCCGACTTCATTACAATGCTTCACTCTAGCAGTCTTTAATACAACTTTGTAGTTTAAATATTCATAACAACAAAAAAAAAAAAAAAAACCCGCCACCAACAAACAAACAAACAAACAAACAAACAACAACGCCTTTAATAGATTTGACGTTGGACATTTTTTTAACGGTTCCAACTGGACTGAGTTTCGGATTGAGACTACAATTTTAAAAAAAAAATTTTAGGTGCGAAATCGCGTGCTGAAATTATACACGACAATGCTTTATATGGCAGAACAACGTTTAGAGGTAAACTACAAGAGGGTAACAGCAACAGGGGATATACGTCGGACAACTATTGCAGGCAACCAATAAGGGAGACAACTTAAAGACAACTACAAGTTCGGTGTGTAGGCACTGCAGGGAAACGACCATACAGAGAAACTATTAAAGGGCGACTACTACAGGGGTGTTGACAATACACAGAAACAACTACAGAATAACCATTAAAGGGAAACTACTATACGGCTATTTCTACAGTGTGTAGGCATTACAAGGGAAACAAAGTACAACCAGATGAATAAAGAGAAACCAAAACGAAACACTACTTAAGGACGACAACTACGGTGTATGCAGTATAGGCAGTGGCTTAGCGAGGTCGGGTGTCACCCGGTGCGGCACTTAATGGTGTCACCCCCCCCCCCCCCAGAGGCGTAGCGACCCTTCCCGGGGACAAAATTTCAAATTTTCGATTTGCACCCTTCTCAAACTTTCGATTTGCACCCCCCCCCCCCTCAAACTTTCGATTTGCACCCCCCCCCCCCCCCCTCAAACTTTCGATTTGCACCCCCCTCAAGTTTTTCTCTATATATTTTACTATTTTTTGCCTTGGTGTCACCCCCCTAAATGGTGTCACCCAGTGCGGTCCGCACCCCCCCCCCCCCCGCTACGCCTCTGAGTATAGGGAAACAATTTCATCGCCCATTCCTAACTTAACACGTGAACAGTTCGCAGGTCGATATTTCAGCTCCATCATGTAATTGATCCCATCATTCAATTTGTTCTTAAATTTAAAAACTTCACCCAACAAAAAGTCCGGCTTCATGCCTTTCACATCGCCTTAAAAGGCAGGGATTTTTTTTTTAAAATACACCATGATCATCTACAGAATATTTTCCTTTAACATTCCATTCCTCAATATATTCAATTTTGGAAAAGCCCAACGTAACTACATTTAAACATCGCGATCTGTTTTATTTTGAAGCTTCACTTTTTACCACTTCCGGTTGTATTGTTAGGAAACAGACCCTATTGGCGATCCTCTGTCCCTCTCATCCCGACCCCCCCCCCCCCCCTCCCCAAACCAGCTACCCCTCTACGTTGTCTATGTATCCGCAAAAAGATGAACGCCATTGCCGGATCTGGAACTTCTCATCCGCTGGGTAAATCGTTTTATGGAAGCTTTGATATGTTGGAGCAGGATCGGGGTGAGAGCGAGAGATTCGATTACATCTGATGCATGTCAGAGTTATGCCCCATTTTCCCCCGCCGCTTCGGGCTAATTCGGAGAGGGAAAAAAAAACAACAGCAGCCGTTTGTTTTTATTTTGTCGGCGTCCATTATTTATACGATTATGCCTCTCTCTTTTTCTCTGTGTGGCATGTGTTTATAAAAGAGCTGAGTTGCCCTCTCGCTAACCCGGTTACTAGCTTAGCTACTTCTAAAAAACTAACAATCTTTTTATCTATTTATTGCGAAGATAAATAAGAAAAAAAACCTTCGATAAAAACACACCATTGATTATGTCAACTTATTTTGTCGTTGAATTAACTTCTAAAAGTTTGGAAAAAAAATTTAGTTTCTCCTCCATTTTTTACCAAAGGAAAGTCTATAGTTGATGGGGATTGTGATTGGCTTGGGGTGTGTTCATCAGTGTCAGATAGTCATAAAGGACAATCATTCTAACGTTCCGAACAATCGCTGCAATATTTCTCTCCCTTTAACACTGATTCGATTGGACAAATATCTAAAAATAAATAAATAAGTAAATAAACAAGAAAAAAAAACACAACACGAAATCAACTAATCTGAACTTTTTAGAAATCTTCATATTAAGAATATACCGACGTGCTTTTATTATTATCAGTTAGTAAAATGTGAGGTACTGAGCATAAACCGACAGTTAAAATGCTACAATTAGGGTATCATCGGTAAGAAATTTAAGTCTCGATGGTGAAACCATTACTTTTGTTAGACATAGCATTTAAAATATCTAGATCTAGATTGTTACAAATATGGACTTTGTTTTTAAATTTTTGTTTAAACATAGTTAAAGGGCGACAATTCTGTTAAGTTCCCCAGTTTAAAGAGACTAGCGATCTCAGACTCGAAGCTGATCATTTAAAGCATCGCAAGAGATTCTTATAGAATATGGTTCAATCCTTAAGAAAAAAAAACATTTAAAAACAAACGTTTTTAACAATGAATGAACGAGAGGTCGTATACAAGTTTAAAAAACAAAGCAAAAAATAAAAAAACAAAACAACGTAAGTCACTTTAATAAAATCAATTTATTAAAATTCGGCATTTTGATGTTTACAAAACAGACAATGAAGTTATACGAAACAAATTCTGAATGTGTAAGCTTTCACATCTACATATTAGACAAAAAATAGACTCAATTATAAAAAAAATCTACTTTATTCGTTACTAACATTACAAATCTACTTAATAAATAGGTTAGGTTTGCCTGTCGTCCCTCCTGGGACATAGGCCGCTGACAAGAGCTTTCCAGGCATCTCTGTCCTGGGCTAGTCTCTCCAACTGTCCCCAGGTGTATCCAATCTTCTTGGTGTCTTCTTCTAGGTCACGTCTCCAGGTCTTTCTTGTTCCGCCACTTTCTTTTGCCCTGTGGATTCCGTGTGAGAGCCTATCTTGTTATGCTGGATACAGGCTTAACTGGATATAATGTATAGGAGATTAAACAAATCTGATTACATATACCTAATGCAAATTAAAAATCGAAACAACACACCTAAATGATTAAAAAACTAAATTATTTAGACTAATCTTCGTAGATAAAAATAACAAAATAGATTGATTGCTAATTCGCTATTAGGTCTGCAAATTAAAATACATGAATTTAAGCTTTAATTAATTACAATTTTTTATTAAAAATAAAATAACTGCTCGTTATACTTATGTACTGAGCCAAGCTTCACCGCTCACTTCATTAAATAGCTAATTAGCCTATCGTCAATTTGACCGTCCATAATAAAGTAGCGAAATAGCCTGTCGCCAATTTCACCGTCCATAATAAAGTAGCTAAATAGCCTGCCGTCAATTTGGCCGTCCAAAATAAAGTAGCTAATTAGCCTGTCGCCAATTTGACCGTCCATAATAAAGTAGCTAAATAGCCTGCCGTCAATTGGACCGTAGAAAATAACAGTTTCAGAGGCCAGCAAGACTGATGGTTTTTATTACCCCACATCATCCCACCCACACACCCTCCCACACCCTCCCACACCCCCACATCCTCTCACATCCCCCACCAGTAGCGTAGCCAGGGTCGTCTCATGGGGGGGGGGGGGGTTCAAATTTTTACCCGGGACAAACTTTCGATTTGCACCCCCCTCAAACTTTTGATTTGCACCCTCCTCATACTTTATATATATACCGAGGGGTCTATGGGGGGGGGGTTATGACCCCCTAACCCCCCTGC